CCCCTATACGCACCCCTCAACCCCCTTCTCAACCGCGCACAAACCCCCCAACACCCCTCCCACTCCGCCCTCGCCCCCTCCTTCCTCTTAACCCCCTCACTCAAAGCGATAACCCCCAGATGCGTCGCGAACCACGCCTCGAATCTTGCTTCTAACAGCGGCGATCGACCCGCGTGCGAGCTGAGCCAGAGGGCGATATTTCTCGTGGCGTCGGGCTGGGAGACGGTCTGGCGAGTTTCGTCCGCGGGCTGGAGGTTTTGTTGGAGGTGGAAGTTGAACGTTGTTCGTGATGTATGTAGGCCCGCGGCGATGGTTTTGGGGGGGGGATGTAGTCCGGTCCTTTCCAGTGCCAGCGCACACCCTCTCCATCAGCATCCCCATCACCAGTATACTCAAAGACTTCATCGAATTTGAACTCCCCACCACCACCGTCACAACAAGCCTTCCTATACTCCTCCACCTTCCGCGCATAAAACGGATGTCCCGTCGCCTTTAAAGCCTTCAGCTCCAAGTACAGAACGAGATGGTCCAAAGTGGAGAGGGTGGAGTGTGGGGTGCCCATGGGGAAGTGTTCACTGTTCGTTGGGGAAGAAAACTTGTGGTGAGTGAGATGGCGAGGGCTCAACGATCCAGAGATGTCGTTATCGTCGCACACAGGCGCCAATGATATAGACGTTCGTCATGGTGACGGAGCCAGCAATGAGTTTGTTGGAATCGACGGGCGGTGGGAGAGCCATGGTGGCCTTGGGTCTTGGGGGACTAGATCTTGAGGAAGGTGGGTTGGGCGTGTTGGGAGAGGGGGAGTGGTCATCTAGTTCGTTGTGAGGAGGTGGAGTTGCTGTCATGATGACTCGTGGCGACCAGAGTTGAGGTTTGATGGTCTTCTTTGTTCGTGTGCGAGAATCGAGTCGATCTTCTAACTCGGTTGTTATGGCTTGGGCGAGGATGTCGCTGGGCACGTTCCAAGAAAAGCAACTTACTACATACTGGTATCGCCACTTTGTGCTGTGGTCAGTCTGCTTGTTGTTCATTTCCCTCAACTGGGACTTCCAGAGAGTCGAGTCCCAGCGATGGACCTCCCCCTCCTCGCATAAAGTATGCTCTAACGCAAAGCCTACCAAAAGAAAAAACCATAAGCACATAAAACCATCATATCATTCGTCAACGTCAAAACCCTCTACCACGCAAAACTCCACGCTCTAGAACCAAATCAGTAACCAAGAAACCCAAATCTATCACAACGCCCCAAAGAAAACAACCGCACTCCCCAACCCCAGCCCCACCCACCCCAACACAAACCACAACCCCCCCTCATCCCCCCGGCCCCTAAGCAACACCCCCCTGGCCTCACTCTTCTTACTACTCGTCGCCTCCGCCCCATACGTACTCTGACTCGCATAACTATAAGCCCCCGTGGTGCTCACATCAGGCAAATCCGTCGGGACGAAATTCGGCATGAACGTCGTAAACGGCGCCTCGCTGCCATTCACCGCCAGGACGTCTTTATTCGTGGGGAGGACGGGCGCGGCGGTCGCGGAGGTGGGGTTCGGTAGGACGGCGGCGTCGTCCGGGGAGAGCACGCCGTCGATGACGTGGAAGACGCCGTTGTAGATCAGGACGTCTTGGGCGACGATGCGGGCTTGGTTGATGAAGTAGGAGTTGGGGTAGAAGCGCATGGAGAGCGAGGTGTTGGCGAGGGTGGAGAGGGAGGTTGCGTTGGCGAAGTCGGAGCTGTAGAGCGGGCCGGAGGTGCCGCTGAGGACGTGGTATGAGAGGATGGAGACGAGGTCGGGTTCGGGCGTTTCGAGATAGTGTTGTAGGGTGCCGGAGACGGCGGCGAAGGCGACGTTCGCCGGGATGAACATGGTGATGCCTTGGGTTTCGTTAATGTATTTTGCGAGGGAGGTTGTGTTGGCGAGGGAGTAGACGGCTCCGAGGAAGGCGGTGATTGCGTAGTCGTAGTTGGCGAGGTTGTACGTTTCTGCGGTGGGCACGAAGTTGTCCGGTGGGATGAGGAAGTTGTTGAGGACTTGGATGAAGCTGGACATCCCCATCAGTTAGCCACACACCCTCAACCCTCCCTCTCTATCTCAAGGTAATATCGAAAACTCACCCTCCCTTAAACGGCACATCCTGCACCGTAACCACGCTCCTCGTACTCTCCCCACTGACCCACACAATCTCCCACTCATAAAAGCTCGAATTCTTATCCCCCGGCTGCAAAACACCCCCAACCCTCTGGCCCCCCTCAACCAAACTAAAATTCGTCCCACTCGTCATGGTCGGCAACCACTGAAAACTCGTATTCAGCGTATTGCTCGTCCACTCGCCCATGATAGAGTGGTACGCGATGACCTTGGAGATGTAGGCGGTGTCATTGTTGGCAAAGGGCCCGGAGAGGAGGGGCGAGTTGACGAGGGAGTCGAAGGCGTCGTTGTTGGGCGCGAGAATGGTGATGGGGTCCGAGGTGGCGTCGAAGGTGTCGAGGGCTTTGAGGATGGCGGGGAATTGCGTCTCGAGGAGGGATTGGAAGGAGCTGAGGTTGGCGTGTTGGGAGAGGACTTCGGTGAGGGAGGCGGTGGATCTGTTGGAGGGGGGTTGTTGTGCGTTTGCCAGTAGTGAGAGCAGTGGGAGTGCTGCTGCTGTGTAGGAGAGGAACATCTTGTCTTTTCTTTCTTTTCTTTCTCACTCTTCCCAAACCAACACAGAAGAACCCAATACCCAGCCAAAATGATACGAGAGAACAACAACAGAAAGAAGACCCTCAGCCCTCACCTCCCCATCTCCCAGCACCATACTTATGAATCCACCCCACTCCCCTCCATACCCACAAACTTCAGCACATCCGTCTCGAAGCACGCCCCAAAAGACACCAGACGAAACTATTGCAGTCCCTCCCTCACAAAAAAGGCAAACGTCCGTCCCAAACCATCCAACGTGGCTGCGCTACAGCTGCACGCGACCTCTCGATTCGGCAGCTCCACGATCCCACGTGCGTGCAGAACGAGGTGATAGTAGCGTGCGGCGCGAGTCAATTGAGCAAGGCGTGCGAAGAGCAAGTCTGGACCTCGTGGTCGGTAGTCAGATAAGACGCACGGCGTAGAGTTCAAGCCTCAACATGGCGAAGGGTTGGCAGCTGCGAGTGTGAGGCGTGTGTGGGCGTGTGAAGTGCTTCTCTTCGTTCGGGCGGACAAGAGCCGAGACCCCCAACAGAGTTTTGCGCAAGCACACTCCAGATTCCGGGGCTGAAGTTTAGATCAGATACGAGACGTCACGTGGCAGTTCAATGCTCTTGAATTGAGTAGAAAAAACGAGACATCTCATTCATGCCTCTGGCTTGTCTGGTCCTCGCTCCAACTCAATATGCACAAGAAGAAACAGGCAGACAGACACCAGCGACCAAGCTTCTGTGTCGCAACGCTTTCTCCCTTCCTTTCCCATTCCCATTCTTTTTTAGGCGCGCCGGCAACAAAAGAAGCCAGGGCGCTGCATATGCTGCCTCCCACGCGCCGTGCAATGCAGAAGAATCAGAGTGACCCTTTTCCCAAGAAACATTAGAACGGCAAAGTGGTATCTCTAATTCAAGAAGCCCTTGCAGTTCGCCGAACCGCACAAACAAGGAATCCGATCCGTCGAGCCGATTTCGCGCTCGAACTTGTAGTCGTACGTCAATTCGTCATCTGTTCACATCGTTAGCATACGTCCGCAGTCAACAAGCATCGCGGTATACATACTCTTCCCAATGTCCTTCAAGGCATAAATGACGATTCTTGGCGTGCCTTCCACCTTGATGATCTTGGCCGTGCAGTTGGGATCGCAAGAATGGTTGATGAAACGTGCAATGCCACCCTTCTTGGTAGCGTCCACAATCTCATCATCCATCATGCGGAACAGGTATGACGAGCCAACACCTTGCTTGTCGTACTTCTCCTCTCGAAGATCCGCCACCTTTTGCCGCACCTTCTCACCAACATACTCAATGATGAGCTCGTTGATGCCGATATTCTCTTCAGCATACAGACCCCAACCGTGAATGGCAGACCGGTCGAACTTGACGAGCTTCTTGCGCTTCTTGAGTTGGTTGAAACGAATCGCGACATCTGCGTCACTGTTGGCCGTGGCAAGAGACTGCTTCTGGAGGTTGATGTCGTTGACGAGACGGCGATTGTTAACACGATTGCTACGAGACGTCGCCGTCTGCGCGATCTTCTCGGCAGCGACGATCTTGGCGGCTTCAGCAGCTGCAGTCGGATTCGACTTGGCCATCGCCTGGCGTTGCTCTCGGGCTTTCTGCACCTTGATGCGATGGGGAAGGTACTTAGACTTCTCCTCGTTCAAAATCTTCTTCACGCCCTCAGTTCGAGCACAGCCAGTCGGGTTGGGCACGTAGTATCCCTGGATTAGAGACTGTGGTTGCGCAGTACCGGCAGCGCCATCGCTGTTCAAAGCCTTGATCTCCTTTTGCTTCCAAGCCCAAAGTCTCGCATCGCCAACGTCGGCAGGCATGATCTCAGATAATGCCTTCTTCGCAAACGCAAGGTCCTCATCATCCTTGATGAAATTCTGCCAGCCGTCCACATCAAGAATGACCCCACGGTCCTCCTCAACCGTCCGCCTGGGCTTGTCGAAAGTCAGGTGCAGCTCCACGTCCTTGTCCTCAACCTCATCGGCGGCTTCAAGTTCAAGCTCTTTCTGTTCAATCTTTTCGACCGTATCTTGCGCAACCGGTTTGCTGGAAGCCTTTGCTTTCTTCGCTTCGGCTTTGAGTTCTTCTTGCTCGGCCAGGATCTCTTTCTTTGTCTTGCGTTTCTTCTTGGTCTTCTCTTTACTGGCTTTCGCATCTGCAACAGCAGTCTCGTCCGCTGCATCTTCGCTGATATCTTTGGCTTGCTCGTTCTTCGTCAAAAACAGGTCGTCGTCGGCTTGGGATCGCTGGCGAATATACAACTCGGTCCTAGCTCTTGTGCTGTACTTCGAACCTCGGGGAAGGGTGTGCACAACCAGCTCAAGTTCGCGTGTTGCGAGCTCCTCAGGCTCCTTAGACAAGAGGTGACCCAGTAGGTCCTTTTGAAATGCAGTGAACTGTTCTGGTTTGTCGTCTTCATCTTCAGAATCACTGATCTTGGCCCGTTTGCGCTTGGGTGTTTCAGCAGTCTCCGAGTCAAACGGCGTCGAGTTGCGACTTGCGCGACTAAGTGGGCGGCTCTCGAGATCTTCCGTGTCGCGTGTGATGGAAGTGTGTCGTTCATCGTCTGAATCTTCATCTTCGCTCATCGCTGCTCGCTGCAAGCGGAAGTGAAGACCACGAGCATGCGACGCGCGTGGTGCTGGCTTGCGCCTCCTCTCATCGATGAAAGCATTGCTTGGCTCCATCCCTCGATCGCCTTTACGTCCTCGCTGCCGATTCGGATCATGAGGTCGCAAAGGCTTAGAGCCATGCCCACGTCGGCCTTTAGGTGTGTCTGGTCCTTGTTCTCCAGCTTTGTTGAGTAGAAAGGCGGGTGCTTTGTTCTCGATGTCGGAATGATCTGGCAGGCCCAGCTTCCTCCTCTTCGCAACATGCTTCGACGGGTCCAGACTGTCGTGGAAAATGGGAATGGCGATTCTCGTCTTGATGTCGCCCATGATCTTGTCGCGCAACTCCATTCGAAGCTGCTCGAGCGCTCCTTGAACAGGGTCAAGATTCTCTGCCCTGTTCTTCTTCTCGATCTCAAGATCTTCGGCTTCCTCACGCTCCAACCGCTCAATCTCCTCTTTCTGTTTCTTTTGAGCGATCACCCGCTCTGGGCTTGGACTTCGTTCGTAGTCAGGATTGCCGTATTTCTGACACTCCATTCCCATCTTGTAAGTGAACAAAGCCGCCTTGTTGCACTCGTTGAAACATCGCTCAGTCTCGTCTTCTCCACGCTTGGAATCTTCAAACACAATGTAGTATCCAGTCGCATCCAGCCGAACCTCGCGCCAATCGTACGCTTTTAGGCGCTTCTTCAAGTGAGGAATCGTAGTGCCAAGCACAGGTACCGAGGAGTGTGGTATGTGGATGTACGGCTTCCGCTTGATCTTGCTGAGAATGGGCTCGTCTTCGATCAGCGACGCAGCTCCAGACTTCCGAGCTGGAACGTTTGCCGCTCCTTTCGCTGCTTCTGGAGTTTGTACCGCTGCCGCCGCCGCCTTCGCTGATGCTTTTGCAGACGGTCCCTTTGGCGCATTTGGAGGAGGTGCTGGCGAATCTTTCGCTCCTTTCGATGCGTCGGCTGTAAGTGCAGGAGATGCTGCTCTCATGTGTTTCGCACGCTCTTCCCGAGCCTCCCTCAGCACGTTGTCCACATATCGCTTGCATTTCCTGCCCTCTCGATCCAGCTCAACTTTGACTGTATGCAAATTGATCCGCTCTCCATTGAAACCCTCCGCGGCTTGCTTCGCGGCCGTGACTGCGGTAACCTCGAATCCGTCTCTAGCAGAGTCTCGATACTTAATCAAGGCAATGCCGAGAAAGCTGCCGGTTTCTGGGTCTGTCTTATTTTGAATGGACGCAATACTGCCGTATACCCCAAGATTGAGCCTCAATGTCGATTCTGGCAAGAAGGGATCAAAGCCAATCACCACCACCTGTTGTGCTTCGCCGGGCCCAGTCGAATGCCGGTCCACCTTGAACGGTGGTAATGTGTAGGGCGCGATTCGAAGAATAGCCTTGCTGGGCTGCAACTTCGGTCTGCATAGCCCAGACATGTATCCAGGTATGGCCAACCGCGGATCTGGTGGCGGATCCGGTTGATATGCCTGCCATTATCCAAGTGTCAGCGAAAGGGTACAGAGCGGTTTTTTTCCCTATCATCACTTCAAGTTATGTGTATCATCATGTTGCGCAAGCTCAGCAGAATATGAAATATGTAGCGTACCTCGGCACCAAATTCTCTCTTTCTAAGTATTGCGCGCTTTCGCTCTTCTTTGCTGAGCTTGCCGTCCAATTCCGGATCCCAAACCGCTCTGTACCCTTTCACTGTGCCTGGTGGCGGGAGCATTTGTGGGCGTTGTGGGGGTTGCTGGTCGGTATCTTGGCCGTCAGAGGCAGGCACGTGCGAGGAGGCCACGACGCCGTCGATGGACTCCATGGCAGAGGCAGGTTTCGAGTGGAGCGGACTGTTGCCCTTGGGCGGCGAAGATTCTGTGACGTTGGTGAGGGGGGTTAGGCCGTTGGCGGCAGAGCCTTTTCGGTTCTGCGCGAAGGCATGTGAGTTTTGCGTAAAGACCGACGAGGCGGCGCTGGCGAGAGAGCTCGCAGAGCCCATGCCTCGAAGCATGTCGCCGTTGTCTGTCTGCATCTCGTCCGAGTCTGGGGAGGTGTATTGCTGCTTCGGGCGTGCGCCATTCGTGGAAGCCATGTTGTGCGGCTGGAGGGTGCTGGACGCCGTCGCGCCGTTGACGAGGGCGGACTTTGCGGTCACGCTGCCCGCGGCAGATCGTGATTGTGAGAAGTCAGGAGTTTCGCGCTTTCGCTTCAGCGAGCCTGGCGAGGCGCTCCTGCTGATGGCGTCGAGGCCACCGCCAGACTGCGACATTCCGCCGCTATGCCGCTCACTCCGCCTTCATCACCACCGTCACTTACGCAGGGATTGGTATCATGCACCGAGGGGGGTTGGCGCCGCCGTTACGGGTGCACCCCAGCAGCGACCTCGGAAAAGTTGGCTGAGGGCGCGCGGTCGCGTCGGAGGGGCAGACCAGCTGGTCGAGGCTGGTGGTGGTGCGTGGAAAAGAGGGCGATGGCGTCGCCGGCGGTAATGAGCGAGTCTGATGAGGGCGGGAGGGAAGGAGGCCGGTCAGACAGGCAGAAATGGGGTCGAGGTGAGGATTGGAGGTGCAAGGAGGAGTTGTCGTCGCTTGAGCACAGACCTCCAAGCAGCATTCCAAGCGTTCAACGGCAAGCGGCGGCGACCCCTGCGCCAGTCGAAGCTCTCAACTCTCGGTTCACTCTCGTCCACTCATTCACTTCATCCACTCGACAACATCAACCCAGAAGATAGAACGACAGGCGACAGTAATCGGAGTCGAGATACCGTCTCACGCCTGCAAAAGCACGCACTGCGCCTCGAGTCCGCTCAATCCGAGGCGGTGATAGCCAGCTAGGAACGTCATCGAGATCGCGTGCAGCACCCTTCGCTCAGCTCGTCGCATCCAACAAAATCAACTATTACACCGTTCAGAGCGATACAAGGTCGTGAGAAGAACTTGCTTGATTGGAAAAATATCAGAAATATCAGGAACCAGTATCACGTTCAGGTTTCAGAGAGGTCACGTGATCGACGACAATCGCCGTGGGTGATGCAGTGGAATGTGCCCCAGGGAGCTTGTTCATGGTGTGACAGACTCTTAGGCACAATATCACCGTCGTTCTGGTCGAAATAGAGTGTCGCGTTCCCATGACCCGCGAGCTATACAACTCAACTGGAGGCGCGGCCAGCAGCTTCGTCGCTTTCGGACTGATGGGGAGCACGACAACCATCACTCTCGAGTCTGCACCGAACGACCAAGAAATCTCAAATCAAAGGTAGCATTCCCATCAAAACGCCCCTCGCCGAGCTCTCCGCATAATACGCATCACTCCACCCTCAGGGTATGCCTTAGTCCAATTATACACTCGAAACAACAGTCTCCTGCCTCTCTCTGTCTATTGCTGCTTCTTCTGTCCCTGAGCCTGCGGCCCCATCTCCTTGCTAAAAGCCATATACGACACCTCCAAGCCCGCAATCGCCGAGATCCCAACGTAGAGAATGCCGAAGAGGAGGATGGAGACGGAGAGGCCCATGAAGATACCTGTCATCAAAAACACGTCAGCGCTGTGCGTTTTGGATGGAAAGACGGTGGTAGGTACCGGGTGTCAGAAACTGATACTTCTCGAACAATGGCAGATCTCTCTGGAAATCATCATTCCCGCTGTCTTGTCTTCTTCGCAATCCGCGCTCCAAGTCTCGCTTCAGGTCCGTGTGCATCACCTCGTGGAAGGGTGGCTCGTCCATGCGGTAGTCTTGCTGCTGCTTGACGTCCTCGCTCGTCTCGTGCGCGAAAGGCACGGAGACGTAGATAATAACGTGCGAGGTGTGGTTCGACAAACGCTCCGAGAGGGTGTTCTCAATAGACGCATCTAACACCACGTTAGTCTCCATCCTCCTTTAGCCGTCTCCACCTCTGTGTGATGAACGTACCAGTATCCCCCAAAACCTGCCTCCGTCCCTCCACACTCTCACTCCCCAACACACCAGGAACCACAACCACCTCCGCCCTCTCCCCACCAACCTTCTCCACCACGTTCTGGAGATCCACGCCCCCAAGCACCTCCGGCACCTGCACCACGCTCTTATACTGCTTGTCCTCTATCCTCCTCCTCAACTTGGGCATCGCGCTCCCATCGCGGAGGTCGTTAGCGGCCACGCCGCCCTGCTCGATGAAGATGAACTGCGTGTTCGCGTCGAGAGCGTCGAGGGTGGCGAGGAGGGAGGTTTGGAGGGAGGAGGCGGTGGAGAGTTGGGTGGATTGGAGGATTGTTGAGGGGATGCTGGAACGTGGTAGTTAGTATGTGTCGCCTAGGCGGGAGTGAGGATTGGATCTGTCGCCTTACGCTTCAGTCGAAAGCAGAACAAATGGATACGCATCCTTCAATGCATACGCCGTGCTCGCCGCCAGCAGCAGCGCCGTGCATGATCTTATCAACATCTTCGCTGCGTGTGTGTTTGTCCTGTCGTATCGTAACCGTCACCTGCACCGCAAGCAAGCATCAAGTCGAAGCTCCAAGGTGACGTTCGACGGCAACTCCCGCTCTCTACCCAAAACTTCCACAACCTCGAGTTCCAATTGTCCCGATCATAAGAAATACAACCACAAACACAAAAATGGGCACAAAACGAAAGCTCGCCGAGGGTCAGGTTGAAGACCTCACATTCGACCCCTCCGCCCGACAGGAATACCTTACGGGTTTCCACAAGCGCAAATTAGCTCGCAAAGAGTCCGCGCGCGAACAGGCGATCAAGCGAGAGAAGGAGGCGAGGGTTAAGGAGAGGAAAGCAGTATGTTGAAGCAGTACCACAAAATTACCAGAATTGATTTGTGTTGACGTGGTATGTCATTCTAGCTCCGCGACCAACGAAAAGAAGACCTCGAACAACATGTCAAAGCCGTGAACGAGGAATTGCGAAAACAGAATGCTTTCGTCAATGGAGAAGATCTCTCGGACGAGGATGAGGACGAGGAGTGGGAGGGCATCGATGAGGGCGCAGTCCAGGCTCAAGAGGCGGAGCAGTTGCCTGAAGATGAGGAATATGTGGACGAGGACAAGTACACGACTGTGACGGTTGAGGCTATGGGGGAAGATGAGGAAGGAGAGGAATATGTGGACGAGGACAAGTACACGACTGTGACGGTTGAGGCTATGGGGGAAGATGAGGAAGGAGAGGAAGATGATGACGCGGCAGAGAAGAAGGCTGCTTCGGTTGCTGGGAAGGAGACTAAGAAGAAGAAGCCTTGGGGGAAAGGGAAAGATGGAGAGAAGCCCAAGAAGAAGAAATTCCGGTATGAGAGCAAGGCAGAACGACAAGTCACTAGGCAGAAGCAGAAATCGAAAGGTCGAGCTGCGAAGGCTCGACGGGAGAAAGGTTGATGACGCGACTCCTCTTCTTTGCTGAATACCATCTCACGCAGGCGTCGGCGACGGCGAGTAGGGCGTTCTTGTGAAGTGGTTAAAGATGAGAGTAGGTTGCAGTGGGTGGCATCAATTTCAAGGGGGTATTGTGCATGCCTGATTAACGAGAGGTTCCACATGTCCCATGCACCCCATCTATCGACCAGGCAGATTAAGGAGGACAAGAACAACTCCGACGACTGCCGTATCCATGCATCTCTCTTGATCGCAGCTTCTTTCGTGATCCCAAGTCCAGGAGCAAGGCCATCTATGCCTCACCGGTGAGTGTTTGCCATTATCGGAGGCTGCATCGTGGCTCTGGCCCAGTAGGACCAGCGACAGTCAGGGGTAGGTGTGGTATCATGCACAGGCACTTAGATGTTGCCAATCTCAGCAACAAAGTCGTCGAGTTCCTTCTTGGTATCGGCGTATTTCTTGGCCATCTCCTCGTACTTGGTCTCCCACTGGTCTCGTGCTGACTCGAGGGCCTGGACTTTACGCTCGTAGTGACCGGCCTTGACATCGGTTTGACGGAGCCTATCTTCATGTCAGTGGATGTCCTACAGTCAACCCATGTGACGTGACGTACTTCTCGTTGGTCTCCCTCAACTGCTTGTCGTTCTCTTCGGCCTCCTCCTCAAGCAGCTGAAGCTTTCTCTGAAGAGCATCGTTTTGTGTGCCGTGCTGTGCGCTCTCGTCTGCGGCGGCCTTAGCGTCGCCGTGCAGCTTCTCAAGCTTCTCCACTTCCTGCTCGAGCATGCTGTTCTTGTGTTGGAGGGAAGTGATCTCCTGCTCCTTTTGCAAGTTCTCCTGCTCGAGCGACTTGACCTTGGTGGAGAGCTCATCGACCTTTGCGGCGGACTCGTCGGCCTCGATGCGGAGGGCATTCATGCGCTGGAAGGAGAGGCATAGTTAGCATGCGAATGAGGTGCATCGTGTTGTTGGAGTGAGTCGTGGTGTCGAGTGCGGGTTTTCTGGAGATCATGTGCATGGTTGTTTGGGGGGCTATTGAGGGGCATGGCGGTCAAGCGTACCTTCTTGATCTGATCCATGGTTGCGGTAACGGTTGGCTGAGGATTCCAGTGGTTGAGTGAGAGGTGACGTTTGTCGGTATGTGGAATTGGTCCGAGAAGAGGGTCTGGTGTGAGTGAGTGCGAGTTGGGCGGTGGTTGCCTTTGAGATGTGCTCAGCACAACGCAGCAGCAGCCAGCAAAGAAACGACGACGGATCCTGGTGACCGTCGCAGCGCGCACGGCCCATCCCGCCGGCTCCAGGGTCCAATGTTTTCGCTAAACCCCATACGGCAGTCGTCCCCAAGCATCTCCATTAAACATTCTCCGACCACACATCTTCCAACAAACACGACACAGCACAACCGGGATGATTGGCGACCGTTAGCATCATGTTCGCCTCACGAAACAACGAAAATGCCATCTACGAGCAGCAACAGGCCGCCGCCGCCAAACCCCTGAACCAAGGAGTCAAAGGCCTTGCTCCCAAGACTCCCGCCAACAAGCCTCCTAAGACGCCCTTCGGGAAGGGCAGGAATGACGAGAATGCTGCTTTGCTGTTTGGAAAAGATGGCGGCGCGAAGGAGGGGAAAGCTGAGCGCAATGCCTTCGTGACGCCAGCTAGTAAGTAGCTACTCGACGATCAGATTCAAAGGTACACTCCCCTAACAAGTACTGCAGACCCACGCACGCGAGCACCATTAGGCAACAAAACTACCAACGCCAAAGCCTTCCAAACCCCAGCACCGCTTCTCGCCCCCGACAAGCCAAAAGACGGAGACCGCCCTTCTTCCACCAAGCCCACCAGCCCACGTCTGCGCCGTAGCAAGATCAAGGTCCACGAGACAGCAGAGAATGTCCTTGCCCAAGATCCTGAGGAGCGAGATGTCGAGTACATGCCACCTCGCGAGGTGCCAAAGGAGGAGGACTACGACGACATCTGTCCTCGAGACCGCGATTACTCCATGCTTAAGGGGAAGAACTTGACAAGAGGCTGGCTCAGCGAGTACCTGCCCAAGAAAGAGGACAACGGTGACGACGATGAGCTGAGTGACTTTGAGGAGAAATATCAGAAAGCTGTGGAACGGGAGAAGAAGGAGCTCGCGGCGAAGAAGAGGCCTTTGAGTTCGAAAGGAACGAATGCTACTGGATCGAAGGCAGCTCCAGCGACGATGAGAGCGCAAAATGCTGCGTCTGCACTTTCAAGCCGACCAAGCAAGCCACTTGTGCGGAAGTTTGGTGCGTCAACCACCGCCGCGAAGGCTCGCCAACCCATGACCTCTTCCTCTACGGCAACCAAGAAGCCCATTTTCGAGAAGGGCAACCCTCGCTTCACAGCCGCCAAAGCCGCATCCAACAGCACGATCGGCTACTCCAAAGGTCGCGTCGTGTCTGCCCATCGACGACCCCTGTCAGACATTCACTCGCAACCAGAGCCGAAAGAAGAGAAGACCACCTTGGACCAGCTTCTCAATCTCGGTAGCATGGAAATCGCAGACGAAGATGCCGACCTGGGCTTGACCAGTCCAAATAAAGGCATCGATCAACTGGTCGAAGACGACGAACCAGAAGTCTTCCAGCTTGAACCCCCTCAGGAAATCTGAGCATTTTGATGAAGCATGAAGAGAAAGGAGGTCGATTGAATTCTGGCGTTCATTGGATAACAAAGGCTTTTAGGCGTTTCAGGTAACGACAGCGATACCACTACCACCACGGACGAAAGACATTATAACGCAGCAGATTAGTGTACGACTAGAAAGGAGAATTTCAAAACGCTCATTATCATCCATCCATCATAAAAACGCCAGTCTCGCAATCCAACCCTCCCGACATCCCTACCCATCCCTCCTCTCATCCCTCCTCGTCCTCTCATCCCTCCCCTGATCCTGATCCTCCCCCTCCCCCTCCCTCGAAGCAGCAATCAAAGCCTCCAACTCCTCCCTCTCCACCTGCCGACACATCTCCGCCCCAACCCTCCACAAAAACCTTCCCACATCGAAATCGTGCGCGGGGATAGGAGCTGGGAAATTCATCGGTTGTGGAGGTGCTTGCTCAGCTGTGTGGCGAGAGGGGCGTTCGGTCGAGGTTGTTGTTATGTTGTGAGAGGAGAGTTCGGTGGTTGTGTTGTGTGAGGGGCGTTCGGGTTCGCGAGAGGGGCGTTCGGGTGGTTCGCGGAATTGGACGGCGCGCATGCGGCGGAGGGGGTGGGCGCGGGCTTCGTAGGGTTGTTGGTGGGGTTGGGGAGGGGGTTGGGATGTGGATGTTGACGCGGGAGGGGTGGTCGTGGTGGCGGTGTTGGGCATGGCGTCGGGATGAGGGGAGGTGGTAGCGGAGGTCGCGGTGGGATCTTGAGTGCCACTGTCTTGAGTGCCACTGCCACTACCGCTGCCACTGCCACTCCCCCTCGCTACAGGGCGTTTTCCGGCCGCTTTGGAGGTCGCTGCTGGCGCGGTGTCGGCGTGAGAGATGCTACCGTGGCTCTGCTCCCTGGTGGTAGAAGAGGAGATTCTGCGGTTTGCGTACAGGTCGATGATGGAGGAGTTGTCGTATTGGGACCGCTCGGCGGTGGAGGGGTTGCGGGTAGGGGTTCTGAGATGGCTCTGACTTGGGTGTCTGTTCAGGTCGAGGGGTGGTTGACTTGGGCGTCCCTCGGCGGCGGAGGGGCTGCGGGTTGGGATTCTGGTGAGGTTTTGACTTCGGCGTCTGTTCAGGTCGAGGGGAAGTTGACTTGTGCGTCTGTCCGATTTGGACATAGTTTGACTCGGACGTCCATCGGTACTGGGGTCAGTTCGGCTTCCACGACTGTAGTACCCAGAGTCGTCGTGTCTGCTGCGATGGACAGGAGGCGTAGGTGGCCTCGGCGCTGGCGTCGAGGAACGTTGACGGATAGTGTTATTCGAGCCCGCGCTACCAGTTGGAGAAGGCGATCTTACAACTTCCTCTGCTGGCTCCTCATGCTGGTCCTCATCATACTCCTCGTAGTCTTCCTGGGCGTGAGGAACAGAATCATTCCTCGCCATGAACCTAGGCTGCGGCGGGTCTCTGAGAGCAGGATGTACGCCACTCGGTGGAGGTGCCGTATACCACTCTCCGCGGTACTCCTGAACATGGCCCTCGCTATCGGTGGCGAGCGTGCTTGCTCGGTTGCGAGTCCTGGGGCCAGTCTCCTCGGAGGATTCCATGTCCTGACCGGGAGGCACACCTGCGCTTGGCCTCGTGACGGCGACGTCCATACCGAGTGGTAATCTGAACGACCAGACGCTATTGCGGGATCTGAGACGATGTCGCTCTTCACTCGTGCTGATCTGGCTGTTGCGGCGCGTGTTCTCGCGGGTCTCGCTGCGCAGGGAGAGGCGAGAGGCTGCTCTGCGGAGGCGTGGGACGAGATGGTCTTCTTCATAGTCCGATTCAGAGTCGCTGTTATTCCGGTCTTTCTTGAAGACGGATTTGAGGTTCTTCATGGAGAACTTCTGGGAGAGTCGTTGTCTAGCCATGATGAAAGATGACTTGGGGGGTGTTGCTGTCGATGTAACTGATATAGGAGGTCGCCCAAACGCTGTGATAAAGGGGATGAAGGAACGATGATGGGTGAAAGAGATATCAATGAGTGCGTGCGAAATGAGAGTGTGTTGAACACTTGGCGAAGGGAGAGAAGAAAATCTGTGGCCACTGTCGCCCACACCCATACCTACCTCCTCTCCTCACCAAGTCCCCCCTCCGGACCCATCCGGTCTATGAGGGAGACATCACCGTTCAGGGCATGAAGCCCACGGTAGCTGTATACCAGGCGCTCGGTAGCGAGAGTAGCAGGCACTACTCTCGAGCTTGTCTTTGAGAGCTGCACAAGGCTCCGTTGCTCGTTGCAGGTAGTCACTCAGCAGCCTCATACGACCTTGAGATCGATTCTTCGAGCGGCCTTCACATCTTGGACCTTCCCGACACTTGGCATGTTGACCTCGACTCGTTGGGAATAGACTTTCGAAGCCCAACTACATAGCGTCAGTGAATTCCCAAAGCGGAGGATATGTGCTTACCAGCCAACCACAGTCCCACCTATAAGCACATTGCCCCAAAACCGCATTCTTCCTCTAATCCACATCACCTCATTGAACCGGGTTTGCATCACGGGACCAGCATCACCAAAGTCGGTTCGAAATCTTGGCGCAGTGTAGCAGCATTCAATCAAGGACATTTCGGCCAGCCAATTTCGACACTCTCATGGCCTGCACTTTAAATGTCACAACCCGTCCGCTCACTCTGTCTTCTGTCTCGAGGAAGAATAAACCGTACGACCGCGAAGATGGATAGCCAGGCACCCACAGCAAGACCATCCCTCGACTTCGGCTCAGCACTCATAAGCTGCCCTGGCGACAATAACTTCCCCTGGCAGTTCACGCCCTTCTCCTGCAAGCCACGGCGGTTCCTCTGGAAAGCGCAGTGCGGATTCCCCCTGAAAGATGTGGCCGTCTGCCCCATCTGCAGCGCCTACCGCAAGAAATCGCAGAAGAAACCCCTGAACGTCTACGAGAACCAGAAGATGTATGCCCTCAACATCGAACGCGATTTGGGCGACTGCAAAGGATGGGCGCGAGAATTCAGGATCATCGTGAAGGGGCGCGTTGCGGTATGATTTTATCCCGCTCCTCCATGGGCGCCAAGCTGACCTATGAGTTGATTGAGAACTTCGTGAGCCACGTCTTCGATACGAGCGCTGGTATGATGAGACTCAGAGTCGAGTTCGACAACGACTTGCCATTAGAGTTGGGAGGGAACGAGCGGCGGAAGCGATGGTGTTTTGGCAAGCGGCGTTGATATCGAGGATGTTCTTTACTTCAGGAGCAGGCCCAAACCCCCGATGGCAGAGTGCTCGATGGCGTTTTTGTCGTTACAGATACCAGACTCGAACTCGCGCTTTTCAAGGCGGAAAAAAGGGCAAAAGAACTAGAGCCCCTTTTTCAGAGTTCTAGAGAAAACCGACTATAGTGGTTTTACTTTTTTATCGATCCCGCTCCTGAATCGAAAGGTGGTATTCCGCCGGGATTCGAATTCAATCGCATTCGACGTTGTTAGTAAAGTCATGCGCTTTCCGACTGCGCCATTCTATTCAATCAATCAGCTTCATGTCCCTCCCACATCAGTCTGGCTCATGTGGTGAGGACATTGAATTGAAAACAAATATAATATTTAGAGGCCTCTTCAGTCTATGAAATTGTGAAGGCATAAAATTGGGAGCATAGAGTGACTTACCATCAGACCATGGCGCTTTCAGCAGCGTCTTTCCGAGTCTTCTTCCGATGGCGCATATTGAGCGAAAAGATGTGGATCTCGTAGAGGATCCATCTGGCAGTTCCTCGATCAGGGCACCTCATGATACCGGTCATGAAGGAAGGAGAACGAAGCACGATGTTGGCGAGTGGAAATTGATGTCGTCGTCTCGGTCTTTCCACGGCAGATTGATCCCCAGCAGGAGCGAATCCTGACTTCACCTCATCAATCCTCTGTGCCCACTGTCGCCAGGAAGCCAAGAGGAGCACTCACTCATACCCATCGTCGGCGCCATACCAGAAGCACAGAACGCAGAGCACACGGCTGATGAAGCACTGCCTTCATCTCGGCTCGGAAATAGACTTCGCCTGAAAGAAGCTTAATCAAACCGCCAGCCCTACTTCTGTCACCTGCAGCGCGGCTTCCACGAGGGAGGACATTTCTCGAAACACCCCCAACACACGATAGCCGCAACAGTCTTGCCCTCATCTCGCCCCCGGCGCCATTGGGCATGTCGCTCTCCTTGTACCTACTTCCTGATCCAGCCGTCGAAAACCCTCGGACGGCATGGCATGGGGTCCCGATTTAGGGCGATCGCGCCTCCTTATACCACTTCCCATGCGCCTGGAACACCAACGTTCCAACATCATGGCTTCAGGCGAAGGAAGACTCTATCTTCAGCCTCTCTCCCTCGCACACTGTCAAAGAGGTAATATAGTCCACCAATGCTCCCTTTCCCTCTCCACTACATATCTACAAACACACCCGCAACAAGGCCAAGCAGCGGTATCCCTTTCTGTCCATCGCTCTCCTCCCCACCTCATCCCGACCTATAAAAATCCCCGAACCCCACCATGCCTTCGTCAAGCGAGAAGAAAGAGGACATTCGCTTCCTCGACGACACCCAAACCATCCCCTCCGACACCACCAGCTGCGGCCTCCAAGTCATCGCAGCAGGCCAATGGCGCTGCGCAACCTCCTCGCTCCAACTCGCCTTCGAACAGATCCTCGACCCGCCGCTCGCGCCGAGCATGCACGGCGCGTACCTCATGCCGCACCCCGAGAAAATCCATAAACTGAATCGCGCAACACGCGAGAAAGACAAGAAGAAAAGACAGGCGATTCTGCGCGAGATCTACACGGGCTACAACGCCAGCAGCGACTGGCCCGGTTTTGTGTTCTTGAACGATCTACTGGATATGTACCCGGACTGCAAAGTCATCCTAAACAAACGGAAAACACCCGAAGTACGCACATCCCCCTTCCCCCAAACCAACCCAGTCCAACCCAACTAACCACCCCACCCCGCACCAGTCCTGGGCCACCTCCACACAAACCTCCCTAGCCTTCTTCTCCACCCCCCTCTACGCCCTCACAACCCTCCTCCTCCCGCTCCCGAGAGCTCACCACGCCCTCTACACGCACTTCAAATGCCTCGCCGCCAAACGCTACGGCGTCCCCGCCACGACCGCCGGCATCTTCAGCAAGGAATGCTACAACAGACACAACCAATGGGTGCACGTCACCTGCGCGGCGAGGGGAAAGCAGGTGTTGGAGTGGGAGCCGGAGGATGGGTGGGAGCCGCTTTGTGAGTTCTTAGGCAGGGAGGTGCCGAAGGGGAGGGAGTTTCCGAGGATGAATGAGGGGGAGGAGATTCGGAAGTTGAAAGGGGTTTTGGTGTGGCAGGGGTTGGTTGCTTGGGGGAGGTTGTTGGGTGGGATTGTGTTGTTCGTTGGGTTGTTGTGGGTTCTCTTGTTGCGATTGGGGTGGGCATGACAGTGAGTGATGTGCAAATGGCGTTATGAGCAACGAATCTGTCGAAATTGAGCGAGGCGTTGGGACTATGGAGCGGATTTGTGAAACATAGACAGCACATCTGGTAATGAATGCAATACTCTGTATGTGCGTTGTGCGGGTATTGACCAATAGCGCAACTATACTGCAACCTGATCAAACACGCTCTATTCGATAACCTCCTCAGACTCCTCCAGAATCTCCTCGAAGATCTCCTCAACCACCTTGCTCTCATCGCCGTCGTCATCGACAACAAGGGCACGTTGCTCGTCAGAAAGTTCAGGCAGACCCAAGTCCTGGCGCTCCTCAAGCAGGTCGGCCTGCACACGTTCGCGCCATGCCAACCATTCGTCGAGCTGCCTACGACGGGCCTCGATGACGGCCTTGTCGGCACTGCTACGCTTGGCAACATCGGCCTCTTCGAATTGGCGGGAGTACTCGCGCAGGTTCTTCCTCACGTTCTTCATCTCTTCCTTGCTGAGCAGACGCTCTGGTCGTGGTCGCCAAGCCCACTGCTTGAACTGCTCGATGGGTTCTTCGCGAAGGAGCTGACCGGAGAAGCTGTAGAGGTGGTATCCGTTTTCCATCTAAAGTGGCGAGTCAGTAACAGATTCATGCGTGTGGTGATGATAAAACTTACTCTGTGCTTCCAGACACTGGCGCTGGTGGCAACGAAGCGTCCGCTTGGGTCCCACTCAATGTCAGTCAAGCCGTAGTGATCAGCAGTGGCCATGAGCTGCAAGTTCGCAGTCAGATCCTTGTCCTTCTCCTCCTTCTCACCTTCAAAGTCAAAGTCGTAGAAATCGAGATCGAAGCTCTGCTGGTTCAGCACCGTGGCCACAATCACAAATCGACCATTAGGAGACCAGTGGATGGCATTGTTGTTCTTCTTTTCTACCGTGCGAATATGCTTGAAGTTGCCGACAGCATTGCCCTTTGCTTTCTCGGGGCAGAAGAACGAGACGGATGTCTTTGGCCCAACCGCTGCGCCTTGGACGGCTTCGCCAGCAGTGATGAGAACGAATCGGTCACCCTTGGGCTCCCATGCGAAGTTGACGACGGTTTCTTTGATGTCGTCGACCACCTCGACTGGAACACCCTTCTCCTTGACGCGGAAGATCTCCAGGTTGGTGGCGTGCGACTTCTTCGATTTGCTGTGTCGGTCGACCTTGACGCAGACAAAGGCGGACTCTGACTGCCAGTGAAGCTTGGCATCGCTGACGTTGAACAGGTTCCGAGTGCGGACGATCTCCTTGGATGGGATGGACATGAGACCGACCTTGGCCGGGTTGGAGCCCATTTCAGGAGTCCAGTAACAGAACAACTGCTCGTAGTCTCTCTTGCCCTCGCGCTGAGGGTTGCTTGGACACCACTCGAAATCCTCAATGCCCTCGATCTTGACGCTGGCCTTGTCCATGAGTCGCATGCTGGGGAGTTCGTACACGCTGATGCTCTGCTTGTAGTTCATACGTGCAACATACTTGGCATCAGCAGACCACTTGAACGCAGGCCATTGGATCTTCTTCTTGACGGGGTTGCCTTCTGGGTCGAGGGTCGGGCCAGGAGCATCGAGTGTGACAAAGGAACGGAGCGGCTTCGCGGTTGCGATGTCCCAGATAATGTAGTTCTTGCCATCCTCTTCAAGAGAGAGGACTGGGTTGCCTTCGCTGATTTCCATGGGCTTGTGGGACCAGGTGGTGAGGAAGCGCTCGTCTGGCGAGAAATCCACGAGATTGACGCCTGGGTGCATGAAACGCTTTTGCCTCGACCAGTTCTGACCGCCCCAGAGCTGTACACCCTGGTTGTGCATGGAGGTGAGATATGTGCCCTTCGGTGACCACTGCACGAATGACTCGGTCCAGTGCTGGCGATCCACGATCGGGTCCGGTTGTCCATCCCTCTCGTTCCAGTACACACCGACATTGTCGCCGCGGTACATGACAAACTGGTCTCGGCCCTCTGCATCGCCCAACCACCATCGCAAATGCTCCTTCTCTTCGAATGCCGGGATCTCGGGTGGGTTGTAGTTCTCGTCGATTCTGCCCTCGCGCCCATAACGCTCGATATCGGTGAGTTTGTTGACAGATATGGTGTGCTTCTTGTCGAGGGGAGTCGCATGGAGCGCCTTGACTGCGGCGGCGGCTTGTGCGGGCGTCTCGTACTCGACGAAGGCGAAGCCTTCGGACACGCCATCGTCGCCCATGGGCATGTAGACATTCTCTTCCTTGGTCTTGCCGACCTTGGTCAAGCTTCGCAGCAAGAACTTGACCAGCTTGTCCTTGTTGGCGGCGGGGACTTTTGGAAGGCCGTCGATCACGATGAATGTGTCGAGGCCTTCCTCCATGTTGGTCTCGAACTGCTCGCGCAGATCTGGTTGTCCTCGTCAGCCTTCGCCCAAATGTGCATCGCTGTCTTCGCCTTACCCGAGAAGTCAATCTCCTCGTCATCTTCGTACTCGGTCTCGGGGTCGAGCTGTTCAAATGAAGGTGCCATGTTCGCGGTGTTGGTGTGTGTCTGCGACCAGGCGCGTGTTTGGCGGCGGCGTGCGAACAATTTGAAGTCGAGGGTGGGGCTCCGCTGCGCCAAGGATTTCATGCCTCAGGCTTGAACTTGCTCTGAGTCAGTCTCAACTGCATCCCGCCCCGTGCTCCATCTGTTCAGTATATTCACCTCTCTGCGCGAATGGCTATTGGATCCATACGCTGCTATAATCATATGAATCAAAGCTAGAGGATGACTCGAAGTTCAATGGCCACCTGACAGCCAAAAGTACCCCATCAAATGGCAACAATATCGACGTTCATGTGCAGATCGAATGAGAGGCCACACCATTGGATTAGAATCAATACTTTGCATCCAGTGGCACATGAGTCAAACCAAGCACTGCCTCCTGCTTACAACGATCAATCGAACACCTGGTATTCACAATGTGGGGCGACGTGACAGAGAACTTTACCAAAGCCTTGCCCAAGGCCGAACTACACGCCCATCTGACAGGAAGCATCAGCCCAGAATGTCTACACGAGGTCTGGAAGCGGAAGCGATCAAGTCCGGCGGGCTCGCAGCTAGAAGACCCTCTAAGCGCCTGTCGACCCGAAGCCGAGCATCACGATATCCTGTCTTTCTTTCCAGTGTTCGACAAGTACATCTACAACCTGTGCAATGACACGGAGTCTGTTGCGTTTGCCACGGAGCAGGTGCTGAAGGAGTTTGAGGCTGATGGGGTGAAGTACCTCGAGCTGCGGACTACGCCGCGAGAGAGCCTTGAGAATGGTATGACCAAGGAGGTGTATGTTCAAACTGTGCTCGACACGATCGCAAAGCATGGAAAAGAAGTTTTGTCAACCTACCTCATCCTTTCAATCGACCGACGCAATACTCTAGAACAAGCCATGGAGACAGTCAGGCTGGCCATTAAGTATCAAGACAAAGGCGTAGTCGGCATCGACCTCTGCGGCAACCCCCTCAAAGGCGACGTCACAACATTCCGCGAAGCCTTCAAACTAGCAAAAGCTCACAACCTCAGACTCACCCTCCACTTCGCCGAAGTCCCCCAATCCAGCACAGAGGTCGAACTCCAAACCCTCCTCTCCTACCAACCCGACAGACTCGGCCATGTAATCCACACCACCCCAGCCATTGAAGCCGAAATTTCATCTCGCAAACTAGGCCTCGAACTCTGCCTCTCTTGCAATGTACACGCAAAAATGCTTCCTGGTGGAAAAAGAGAGTTCACTGACCACCACTTCGCCAACTGGTACGGTCAAAGCAACGCAATCGCGCTATGCACGGATGACGTAGGAATCTTTGGGAGTCCGATCTCGAACGAGTATTTTCTCGCCGCGTGGCATTTCAATCTTAGTAGGTATGATTTGGTGGAGCTTTGCAGAGGGGCTGTGGAGTCGATTTTTGGGGGTGAGAGGGAGAAGCAGAGGCTGTATAGCTTGCTGGATGAGTTTGAGAAGATTTGTGATAATGCTGAGGCTGCTCCTTGAATGGACAAAAACCGGCAATGTTCGTCAATCCGGCGACAGTGCTTGTCACAATGAACTAGAACCGAGACATGAACAACGCCGAGACGAGGCTGCGTTCATGATCATCAACACCCAAAGTCTACCTCCTCGCCAAATAAGACATTCTCACAGCACGACCAGTCTCGGCACACACATCGGCATCTGAATAGCACGAGTCAAGCAGTCGTCGGCAAAACCATGAGGCTTATACCTGCATGCATGCGTGCACCCACATCCCAACGGAAGAACACCGATCGTCTCCGGACCCCAGACCGATCTCCATCCTTTGCCCGTGGAGTTCGGCCGCAAAGGTACCTCTTTCATTAGATCCAGAATCTACATTTGTTTGTTTCTCTGCTCGATCAATGTACATCGACTAAGTTACAAGACCCAACCTAGCTTTCGAGGTTCCCTTTTTGCACATATCCAAATATGACCCTCATACACATTGGTACGTTTTCACCGACCCTTTCGCACGTCCTAGAATGTGGTGGCTAATGTGATGTCATTGACAGTCCTCTTCAAATTCCGCGCCGACGTCTCCGCCGCTCATAAAGCCAGTTTCCAAAGGGAACTCAAAACCCTCAAGAACCTCGCCTGCGTCAAAGACCATCGTCTCATAGTCGGCGGGCCCTCTGTCACCACGCCCATCGAGCGGAGTCAGGGTTTCCATTATGCCTTGCTGAGCTACCATCATGATCGCGCGGCGTTGGAGGAGTATCAGGCGAGTAAAGAGCACCACAAGTGAGTCCTTGAGGAGTTGCGGTGTGGATCGGTGCTAATAAGTTGCAGGGTTACAACGGAGTTGATGTGGCCGTACAAGGAGGATTTGATCCGCTTCGATTTCGAGGTGGAGCCGGAAGACGAGTACATGTGCGACTTTATTGCCAAGGGCGCTTTGAAGAATGGGATTGCGACGCCGCCGGAGCCGTCCTCGAAGGCATAAACCGCGCTGGAGCAGCTTGGGATTGGAGGTTTCCACAGAGGATTCCATAGAGGATAGACAACGCAGACTCAAGGCCACGAGATATTTGAATAATTGATATCGCTCAGCCAATCGAGATCGAACCAAGTACTCATGTCGCCCAGCTCGTCCATGATCATGCCGGGACCTGGAAGGGAGTTTCCAGCTATGAGGTCGTCCCATGAAGGTTCGAATTGTGATGTTGTGCCGTCTAGGAGGTCGTAAGAGCCAGGGACGCCCTCTCCCGCTGGGATGTCATGTCCTTCGCCGACGGTGTTCACGTTGATGGGTACAGCGCCAATTTGGCCGCGATTGTCTTGCCTCAAGCTATCAGAAGTATGGCTGACGAGCTTCTCAAACTTCATCCGAGCACTCTCAGCCACCGACCACGTCTTGCCGAGCTTTTGCAGCACGCTCGTGCAGGCACTAGCATGTTTCGACAAGTCGCTGATTGATGAGTTCTTGCGTACTTCAGGGCTCATCCAGAGGCAGTACAGCATGGTAATCCCGCTTGTGAAGACTGCATGTGCTGTGAGCCAGCTGTTGACCAGTGTTGCGAAGCGATTCATCTCTGCGTGGATTCGAAGAATCTCCACCGCGCTGCTGTAGCAGGCTTCCATCGCGGTCGAAGAGGGCTCTGGGAAGGCTGGACTCGGTCGGTACAGGATCATGAGACATTGATGGTACTGAAGTTTATTAGCCTGATACACGGAAAGATAGTTGGGGCATCGCATACCTTGAGTGTGAGCGAGTGCATCAGATGCTCGTAATTTCGGCCTTTGCGAATGTGTAACACGCTCTCAGCTTGTGAGAGAATGTTTCGACAGGCTTCGTGCACCTGCATTTGCCACTCGCTGCGATTGTCGGGCCACGGAAAGCGGTGCGGGAGGTTCACCACGCGGTAGACCATCAATTTAATCTCTGCAACGATCCGATCAAACCGGAAAGACAAGACAGATAGCTCGTATCCAGGCTCTGCCGCAGGTCCGCTATTTGAGGACATGGACTCCAGTCGCGCGCGTTTGGCTGGAGGTCTCTGTGGATTGCGCACTTTGGGGCCTGAATCCAGAGCAGCGACCACAGCAGTGCTGTCGAGCTCGTCGCTTGCGTGACCACCTGGAAAACGAATGTCAATTGCCTCATCGCGTAGAGTCAGAGGCCTGCCGAGGATAACAGAAAGTGTTCTCTCGAGTGAATATCCAGACCAAAAGATAGAACTACGGAGATTCTCATGTTGCGTTAGCTTTAGCCTGTCCTCTTCCGAGAGCTGGTCGGATGGTCGAAGTTGTCTTCTTTGCAAGCCAAGATCAAGACAACTTGCGATGATCGCAGACACCAAGAACCAGGCATTGCCGCCTTGGGGGAAAGAGAAGCTACAGAGAACCAGTAGGATCATCGCTTGAACCCCACGAAGGCTGTCGTGGAGGGGTACTGTGGCGATATGCTGGATGGCTGTGGCGTAAAGGTTACTGGAGCCGAAGTCATTACCGACTCTAGATTCGAGCTAGCAACCACTGTTAGATCTGGGTCATTTTCCGAGGGTCGCTAACTTACAACTTGGGCGCCCAGCGCCAACACCAAGAAGCATTGGCCCAGATCCATCGATGTCGCGGGATCGATGGCTGGAGCCACAAGGCCATGAAGGCCGTGATGGGTCTCATATAGTCTCTCTACCATGCTGTGAAATGCTTCCTCGTCGAGAAAGGGATATATCGGTTGCCAGACATCGAAGTAGGCGTTTTCGAAGTAGTGAAGCTCAGCCTATGGCATCGTCAGCTGCAAGATCGCAGAATGCGTTGTTCCCGATGTGGAAGGAGAGAACTATCGCTTCATCTGATACGAACCTTTTCTGGAAATTGCGAGACAGCAGGCTGAAGTCCAGCCTCAGTATCAACAGGGGCAAGGTTCCTGGCCAAGGCTGTAGGAATTCCCTGTGCCTGAGGTACGACCGCATGGATGAGACGCGCGAAAGTGACACCTGAGGAGGGACCGAGGTATTTTGGATCGCCGCTGTTACCCAGCGAAAGCAATCCAACATCATGAGCCAAAGGCTGACTGGGTCCGATATGGCTATCGATAGACGCTGGCGTGGGAGCAGTTGGTAGATGGCCCTGCCCTGGGCTCGTCACTCCTCCTTGAAGTGAAGGATTGAAGGCTGAAGTGGGCGAGTCCTTGAACGTGGCACTGGGCTGGTCTTGAGCGTAGATGGCAGCTGACTGGGCAGCATTTTGCTGTGCGCGTAGCTGACTCTCAAGATCATGGATCCTCCTTTCTAGCCCGGCGATATGCTCGCTCGATTGGGATGTCTTGATGCAGTCGGCCTTGACCTTCGTGCAGTTGGAGCACGATGGCGACGCTCCATCACATTTGATCTTACATCATCGATCAGCCTTATCTGTAGCATCGTGAAACGTGTTTGAGGAGTGATCCATACCTTCTGCTGGCGGCAGCGTTTACATGCATTCCCGCGCCTCTTGATTGGCGCCGGCGACGAGTCCATTGTTGACAAGGTCAAGAGAGGTGATGTCGGCGTTTACTTTCTCCGCTCTCATCGGAGACGGTCCGATGCGGACGCCAAGATCTGTCCTCTTTTGGGGGCCAGACTCCCAGCTTCTCTTCACTCCTTCGCCCAAACGACCGATAAATCTCGTCTTCGTCCCGGCCATCCTCATATACCCACTGCGTCCCAGACATGGCCAGGGTCTGCGTCGTACGCCTCGGAAAAAGTTTTGTCTAGCGTCGCGACATCGCTTCAGCCCTATGGCTCTAGAGAGCAGTAGCGATGTTCATGGTTTGAGCTGGTCGCCAGGAACGTCATGGTATATCAGTTTGGCTTCATTCATCAGCATTGCGACTGCTGTTATGTAAGCCTTCGTTCAGCTCATACAGTCCACGCCGCTTATAATCTGATCGAGAAAGGTGTACAAGCCGAATGGGCGCATCAAATTCGACCGACCAGTCCACGTGGCCGGGTCTATGCCTTTCCGCTCGATCCTAGCATATCCATCGCTCTTGCTATATCCTTCCTGTACACTTCCACCCCCTGTTGCTTCAGTATAGTCAACTCTAGCTTCCCAGCATTCTCCGCCACGAACTTCGTATATCCATCTCTCACGTTCCTGTTCAGATTGACCTTCGCCATACCGCACCGAATTGCCTTGTGGAACAGCTCATCGCTCACAGGATGCGTTCCATGTAGTGCCAAAGGTGTCCCAGGTATCAACTCGTGGATTTTTTGTAACCGGGCCAGATCCCATGCCTTGTCTGCCCCGCCTGGACCATAACCTCCATGGATATTGCCGAAAGACGGTGCTAAGAAATGGACTCCTGTGGATTTGATGAAGTGAGAGGCCTCATCAGGGTTGGTCATGATGGTCTCCATGTCCACGTTTGGCAGTCCATCTTCACCGCCTTCGATTCGCCCCATCTCGGCCTCAATGCAGATTCCCTTCGCCACCGCCCGTTCGACATACGCTTTGCAAGTCCGGATGTTCTCTTCTGGCTCGCTCGTTGAGGCGTCGATCATTATGCTGTCGAAAGGTGGATCCAGGCTGAGCGCGAGTTCGACATCTTCAGGCTTGATGCAGTGATCGAGGTGGACCGCAATGGGCACTTTGGCCTTGTGTGCGAAATTGATCACATATTTTACGAATTCGACGCCCTGGAAGTGAAGGGTCCATGGAAAGAGCTGTATGATGGCTGGAGAGTTGTTCGCTTCTGCGGCTTGGATCATCGCCATCACTCCATCGTTGTTGTAGCTGCGATTCCATCAGCACTGGCTTGGCATTCCGATCTCATCAAACACATACCAGTTGTACGCGCCCACTGCATAGCCGCCCTTCGCAGCAGCGTGAAGAATCTGGTAAGTTCTGTTGCTCTGTGGGAAGCCTGTCATGGTCAATTCCTCGCAGCGGCCTTTCAATCGGGATTATGAAGTGTCTATTGGGAGCGTTCACAGCTCTTGAACTTGTCAACAATATTCCTTGAAGGAGCGGATCCGGACCATTCACAAGCAGCTCTACCTCAGCTATAGGCGAACATATTCGGATCCGATTCTTTCCAGTCGCCTTTATCGGCCCTCGGCGAAACACCGAGCAAGCCGTACATCGGCTGTACCGAGCCAGCTTGTGTAGCAGCGATACTGTGAGAGGTCGCTATATGGCCGATGATAGGTAGAATGCTGCTCAGGATGTTGATATATGAAGCACATAGGCATGGAGATGGAGTACACGTGGAAGGAGAAGATCGACCGAGAAGCCCTGTCAAGACGAAAAGATTAATATGGCGGACGAAGACAGTTCTATCATCGCAGACTTACGGAAATGGACTGCGTGCGACGTATATTCACCCATAGATTGATAGTCGAAGGCGAAAAGCTGATCGTTCAACAGGTAGCAGATGGCCTGTCAAAACTCGGCGAAACGCACGGCGGATTCCTCGAAGGCCTTACCATGTTCTCCCCAGAATTCCAATCCGGCAGCACGAAGATCGTCGGCAAAGCCTTCACAGTCAAGATGGTGCTGAAGTCAGAGACCGATGCACCAAAGCTCCAAGGGAATTATGTACGGATGAGAATGCTTTTACGTCCCTCGCTTCTAACATTTGCTTCCCAGATCGACAAAGTCCCGAAAGGCTCCGTAGTCTTCATGAGCCAGCCAACGCCTCATGTAAATGCCTGCTACGGCGGGCTCATGAGCATGCGGGCACAGTATCTCGGTGCGGAGGGAACAGTCGTGGATGGACGAGTGAGAGATTTGCAAGAACATAGAGATCTCAAATTCCCCGTATTTTCCCACAATCCCCTTTTCTCCAAACTTCAAGACTGACACGTGCCCCAGGTATTTTCGAGAGCCATCGGCACAACAGCCGCCACAGCAGTATCCAGACCTTCTGAGATCAATGTGCCCGTCAAGCTACAATCCTCAGTCCAGGACGCTACGATTCGGCCTGGAGATTTCATCATTGCAGACTTGGATGGTGTGGTCTGTGTGCCGAGGGAGTTGGCGAGGAAGGCATTAGATGCTATTCCACCGAAGGCGGAAGCAGATGCAAAGACTGCTGAGGCTATTAAGAAGGGCATGTCTGTTGAGGAGGCGTTCAAGACCTTTAGGGGTAAGTGAGGGTACTTCGGTATCTGAGCTATGGGTTGGTGTGGGGTGCATTGAGCAGAGGCTGCTAATCAACCTGTTCGAGCCATTCGAGTTGATTTCTATCCACTGTAGTCTGTCAAATGGTCAAGCTTCCAGAAGAGATGGATTCCAGGAAGCTTCTCGAAGATGCAGATGGGCCCCACGTTGTGTGGCAAGACAAAGCCTCTCAGACAGCACGTCCAGCGCCGCCAGCTGTTCGAATAACACTGCCCCCTTTCTGGTCTCTGAGTTACCTACGCCCTATGCTCCTCCACCTTCTCCTCTCCGACCCCTTAAGCATCCTCACCGAAATGCACCCACCACCCAACCCTCCCCCGAGCTACAATATTCACCCTCAACCTCCCCTCACCATCCACCACAGATCCCCACGTCGTCACATTCTCTCGCCAGAAAATTCCATACCCTCTCCAACAACCGACCACTCGATACTCCCTTGCGCCCTCGAAGATCCTGCCCGGTCTTGAGGATTCTTCTTTGCTGTTCGCAGGGAAGAGTCCCAGAGACCATCGCCGTGAATTACTGTCAGCAAGGGCAATCCAGCCGTTGTCGAGATTGGGTTCGGTCCCTGCGAAGTATCTCGCGTTGAGGATGGCGATAAGGGTTTGGGAGATGGTCTCGGTGGTGAGCGAAGAAGTCGGTTTGCGGCATTCGGAAAAGCTTTTGTCTGCTCGTGCGATGTAGTGCAGATCGAAGTGTTTGCTGTGGGTTGGTCGGAGGGGAGGGATGTCGGAGGTGAGGATTTCGTCTTGGGTTGCCCAATGGAAATGGGAGGGCAGCGGTTTGGTCAGAAGGTCGCTGGCGGTGGTTAGGATTACAGACAGAGAAAGTTGTCGTGACTTGCTTTCGTCGTTGGCTTCTTTTGAGTATGCAGTGATCAAGGGGTGTTGTTGAGAAAGTTCCATGAATTGCAACTCTCGCGTGATGGAGCGAGGTATGCCTTCGTATTGATTTAGGTGGAATAGCACTTCGTCTTGTATGGTTAGTTGGTCTTGTGTGTCGCCTGGAGAACGTGTTAGTACTTCTTGTTAGTTGCATGTTTTATGAAGAGGATGCGAATGCATCTGCGAAGTTCAGCGTCGGCACACTGAACTTTTCCTCGTGTTCGACTAGCAGCAAGGACTTTTTGGCGAAGATGAATGCACGAATTGCAAGCGAGTTGCATCGCTGCAGCCCATCTTTTTGCTTGTCGTAGCTGGCCAAGAACTGTTCAGGGGTCAGCATAAGCCAGTGGCTGGTACCTGCGGTCGCGTCCATGGAGTCTTTGGTGTGCGGCGGCTTGTGAGTGAAATCAATGCAAGTAGCAGGCGTGAGAAGGTGGAGACTTTGTAGGAGTACTAAAGAGTCGGATGATAGTGAATGATGGGTGGGTGGAGATTGTGATAGAGCTTACCAGTTGCACGTTTCTGAGCAAGACATATTCACCCTGTAAGACTCCAGTCTTCACTATTCGCCTTACAGTAAGAGAAAGCATTGTTGTCCATGGCATTCGCAGAGCACCATCTCGTAAGCTCCCCAGCTAGCAACATCTTGTTCGTCCTAAGACAGTGAAAGGCTAATGTTACAGGCAAGTCAGTCCCGGTCTGAATGCTTAGTCATCTTTCCCGAATAAGAAGTTGTGAGTGAATGAATAGAGATCACGGCCCAGACAGTCGTCGAGCCTACGCAGACCTTCTGGAGAAAGTTCCATCTGGAGAGAAGGGCTCACGTGGTCCTGGATATACACGCTCTTTGTCTTGATCACTCCATCCTGGTTCTGCAGCATTGCTGTTGCCGCCGGCGTCGCAGTCTTCGAGGACAGCTCATTCTTCGCGCACCTTCATGCTTCCTTGACAATGGATTCATAGCATGCGATAGAATAATACCGCTCCCCAGACTACCTAAACTAATTACCATCATGCAGAATGTACTCCCTCTGAAACATGCGGTCCGCCACCGCATTTCCGCTCTCCCTTCCTCCCCCTACTCCCATTCCCGACCCACTCCCCCCCCTACCCTCCCCCTAGTATCAAAAAGCTTCAACCATTCGAAAGGCTTGTCGGGAACATCGAGAACGCTGTTCCAGTAACACCGTCCCGCGTCCTCAAGCGCGGTATTCCCGTGCCTATATCCCTTGCGCATCTGCACTCTGTCGAATTCCGCTTTCTCCGCCCGAATGACCTCCACGGACCACTTACGTGGCTTCTTAGTGACTGTGAAGATCGCGTCGAAGAACTCGATTGTGGGGTCGACGAGCTTCTGGGTCATGACGATGCCCAAGAGGGCCGAAAGGCAGATAGTTCTAATGGGAGGGCGCGGGCCCACCTTGCTGTCCTCGAGTTTGTCTTTCTTGCAGGTAAGGAGCCTCGCGTGGGCAGCGAGGATTTGTATTGGTGTGACTCCGTTTATGGGGTCGATTATCCAGCTGACGAGAGGGACTTTCTCGAAATCCTCCCCCGACCTCATCCAGCGGAGTGTCTTGGTTTGAGGCAGGTTGGAATTTTGAGTGGAGTCGGCAACGTTTTGGTTGGCGTGGGCAGGATGGGAGGTTGTCAAGACTATCGAAAGAGCCAGTTCGTCGTCAGGGGCGTGGGGAGTGGGTATAGTAAGGAAACGTGTTGGGGCTGCAGGGGTATCGTGGCTGAAGTCCATGAACTGGAGTTCGTGGAGCACGTCGCGAGGAATGTTGGTCTGTGTGAGATGTATGACTATTCTTTGGAGGATGGAGTTGCAGCCGTCGTCTCTGTCACCTTCCCCAGCTATGACGAGCGTACTTGTTAGTCTTCGAGGGTATCTTTTGCATGTTTCAGGGGCTACGCATACTCCTGTACTGTAACGCAGGCACCTTCCAATCCTCACCCTGCCGCTGCAGCAGAATCTCTTCTTTGTGAAAAATGAAGATCCGAAGTGTCAGAGTTCTGTATCCAGGAGAGCTTTGTCCTTGTGGCTGCTGAGCAGTGGATGTCTTGTTCCAGCTGTCCAGAAACTTTTGAGGCTCTTCCATGAGCCAGGGCAGTGCTAATTCGACTTCGTTGTCAGTTGTAGCCGTGGACGGCCCTACTGTTGCTGTGTCGTTGTTCGTAGTAGCCATCGTTGATAGTGTTGTTGTGGTAGATATTACAAGTGCATTCTAACCGAGTCTTTATATGTCCTGGATGTGGTCATGAGTGTACTTCAATTGCTTCGTGCAGCTGGTGCGGGATGCAATATGAAACTGACCTTGTGTTTCTTGCGCGCGCATAGAACTGGGTGGTAAAAAACAACAAACTGAACTTAGCTTGCACGCAGAAGAAGGCAAATACACACACGAGGTCTCATTTGAGGATTTGATCAGAGTGACTTGGACTTCGTGCTTGTGGCCACACGAGGCTATGTTTCCTAATCATAGATCATCCTTCGCTGGTTTGTCAACGAGCCATGACCCGGAAGCAAAGATTGATGACCAGGCTGTCCTGGTTCATGCGATCGATTTAGCAGTCTAAAAGCAATTCTCTTGCCTTCCAAACAGCTAAGAAGCATTTGCTGCCGGTCATTTTCCACCACGACAAGCATGCCCAACACCAGTCACGCACTCCATCTTTCCCACTTAATCCCAATCCCACCCTAAATTCTCCCTCAACCTCCCCGACAGATCAAACACCTCTCCCCAATACGCAAACTGCTCAACGCCCACGATCTGCTCCCGACTCCACTTCGCCGCCACAATAAACACCCGGTCCCGGTCACTCGTATACAGCGTCTCACTGCCCACGGCAGTTCGTTCGAACTCCTCCGCGGACATATTGCCAGAGAAGAAGAGCTCTCTCTTCCCGGGTGCTTTGTCGACGAGGACGCGACCATAGCCTGGAGTGTCCTGGCCCTTGACGATGGCTCGCGTAATGAGGATGCTGGTTATCATGGAGTTGCATACTGAGGCTAAGGCGCGTTGGGGATTGGGAGACGCGGCTGCACGGCCGAGGAGGGTGTGTTTGGAGCAGGTGGTTAGGCGTTGGTGGGCTTGTTGAATGGTTTCGGGGGTGAGACCGCCGCTGGGGGTGGTTTGTGGAGAGAGGTTTATCATAGCGCCGTGGTCGTTGTTGACCCAGCGGAAGTTGGTGTTTTGAGGGACGGAGATCTGATCCCAGCTGGCAACGTTTCTGGTGTCTTCTGGGTAGGATGTTGTCAGGACCGTCATTATCGGTGTCTGGGGGATGAAGTCGTTAGTGAACTAGTCTTACTTCATTGCACTGTGCATACCTGGAAAATACATCGTAGGCACTGTCCAGTCGTTTCCCTCTCGAGTGAGCAAGACAGCGTCTTTGTAGAAGATGAAGATCCGGACGACGAGGACATTGTATGGGAAACCATCTACCCCTGCTAGACCCTGCTCTATGTTGAATTTGTCGAGCAGCTTGCCTGGGCTGTCTGCGAGCCAGTGTCCGGGCATTTGCGTTGTCTGGGTCGGAACTAAGCTGTTGTTAGAGGAGAAGCATGAGAAAAGACGAGAGGCAGTTATATCTTGATCATGGTCGTTGTCCATCTTTAGATTGCTCCAAGGGAAGTTTGCGAAAAGTTTTGGAAACTATTGGTCGCTTTGTTGTGGCACTCAGCAGAGATGGCTATAGCTTTCTGTATGAGACTTGGGCAGAGAACCTTTGTGTTGTCCTTACCCTGTGGCTAGGCTGTAGATCCCAGACATAGATGGGCCCAAGCCTGTCGATGGGCTACGATCAAGTAGCAAACCGCCTTGGTCAGGGTCCGCCGTGTCGTACAAACGCTTCCGCCGTCCAAAGGCGTCATTGTGCTCTCACATGGGCCGCTCGTGCTGGGACGCACTGACAGTCATCGAGTGACATCTTAAAGAGTTATAGGAATCAAGTGGCGAAAGACTTTCAACCTCCAATATTGGTTGCTTCTCCAGATTGTGCGAACCGTCCGAAACACCCTGTCCGTGTGAAAATGTGTCTTTATCAATTTGTCAATCTGCTTTGCATGGGAACGAAGGCGTATTGCATTGGGCCCGCGATCCTTGGACTGCCTTCTTCCCCACAATGCCTTTAGCAGTCCAAACACGCTGGTGTCTCTTACCGAATGGACAACATCCCGTCTCGCCCACACTCAACTCCTCCCTCTGCCATCAAACCCAATCCGCCCCACGCCCCTCCCTAACCCGTCCCGTCTGCTTGATGACCAACCGCCAATGAAACGGCTTCGAACATCTCACCTCGAGTCCCGTCCAACGCCCCACAGCAAGAAGCTGAGCATCGGTGTCCTGTATAAAAGGAGGATCGTCATCGTATTCGGTCTTGGAGATTGGATGAAGCGAAACGGACCTCCTCTGCGGATTGTTCTGGCTGACGGCGAGGAGGTCGCATCCCGGATCTGCGCCGCTCTGGAGGATGCTTCGGGTTGTGAGGATGCCGACGGCGGTCTGGATGGTGAAGTGCTAGATTTGGTCGTCGGACAGTCGGGCGGCGAGTTGGGGTTGGATGGGGGCTGTTAGGCGGGCTTGGATGTTGTCGAGACAAGAGAGGGGAATTCTGGGGTGAGGTCGGTGCCGATGAGGTTGTTCTTCAGTACCCAGCGGAAACGGGTGGTTTGTGGTATCCAGCCCAGGGTGATTCTTAAAACTTCCAATTTCTGCAGCTGGACAGCTGGAACTTGAATAAATCGACAAATGTACCGTACCACGAGAGAGAATTACGTCAGTGCATCTGTGCCACATGCAATGTAAATACCTCCACTAAACGTTCCATTCCGCATCGGAATCTACAGCCACCTTAACATCATGAACGAGGTACCAACAACAGCGACATCAATTCCGCCGCGAGAATATGGCGCAACGCCGGACACAACACAGTCCGATTTCCATCAGCTCAAAGATCCCATCAAGCAAGCACAGATGCGCCAGCAACTGACAACATACCTCACACAACACAACTACCAAGCAGAGACGCAGCGTCCCCTTTCGCCCGAGACCACATCTTCGCCGACACAGGAAGACGTAGAGGCGATGTTCCGTTTCCTCTACCACCGTATTGATCCAACCCATCGTTTCGAGAAGGGTTTGGACGTCGAAGTGCCGCCGCTATTGGGCAAGATGGGTTATCCGTACAAGAACACTATTTGCAAGGCGCATTTGGTGGCGGTGGATGATGGGAGGCTTTGGCCCGGCTTTGTTGTGATGCTGCATTGGATGATGTTGTTGGCGAAGGATGGGGAGCGGCATTCGAGTGGACGTGCTTAAAGCGATGCTTCTGTGGAGGGCATGGAGGGTATATAGGATGTGTGCCATGCGTTCGCCGTGCGAATTTCTTCCTCCCTTTCTCAAGCCTCAAGATATCCCCTTCTCCCAATATCGACTCCCTGGACGTAGTCATTGCCCTGGGGATAGATCGTCCTTTATCTGAGGGAAGTAGAACTCCACCCTGTCCCTAAAGGGCTTTTCAAGGGTGAACAGCTTGTCTTGTATAGCGTGCATTGTTTTCTCTCGGAGGTTGGAAAGTGGATGAATCGACGCGCCGACGCGACTCGAAGTCGCGTCGGCGCGAGTGAATATGAGTCGCCGAGTCACGCGATCTGCACTTAGTTCCACGACGCTCGACACAAAGCGCGCAAGTCGCACCCCTCGACAACAACCACAACCACCACCAAACCCAAGATGGCGACAATCACACCACCCACATTCCCCCACTGGCTCCACGAGCCCGCGCGCGTCCTCCTCCTGCGCTGCAACAACATCCGTCCCGCCAACGAGCCGACCTTCACCACCCTCGAGCTCCAACTGTTCCTCACCGCCGCCAACCTCACCACGCTCCTCCTGGGCAAGGTGCCCGACTCCACCACCTGGACTGCCCCCAGCGTCGTGCTCGCCGCCGACGAGACCCGCCTCCTGAGCGACATCGCGCTGGAGGTGCTCAACAACGCCATCGAGGAGAGGGTGCTCCCCGACCTGCAGTTCCTCGACCACGCGAGCCCGAAGCCGACGATGGAGATTGCGCAGCCTGGCAAGCTGGTTGTCAAGGCGTTCCTCTCCACTGCGACACCGAAGCTCGACGAGGAGGTTGTGGTCCATGCCGATGAGGCCTTCGAGGAGACTCGCTGGGTGGCTGTTGTGGACGAGAACCCGACGGGAAATCATCTGGAGAGGTATCTTGCGCCGGGAAAGATGGCCATCACGCGAGATCTGCTCGGCAGGTTCGCAGGCAAATTCCAACAGGTCGTCCAAGGCGGAGGACCGGCGTTGCGGGAGCTGGTCAGCAACACCATCAAGACGACCATCAAGCTCCAACAACTCGACCTCGGCGGCGAGAATATCACGCACACGCTCATCGTGTGGGATCGCAATGTTCCGGATGTCCTGTACCTCATCAAAGCCAACGCAGAGTTGATGGCTCAGGTTCGGCAGCAAGAATTGAGGGAGGTTCAGAGCATTGTGGCGGTTCCGGGCGGGGAGTATGCGGTGAAGAGGTACTGGGTCGCGGGCGCTCTTGTGGGAGGGTCGATTTTGCTGGATGGGAGGTACTGTTCGCGTGGCATGGTTGGAGAGGGATGGAGAGTGGCGATTGAGTGGATTCAGGTGACGAAGGGGATGAGGTTGGGGGGTGTGGGAGTGCCGGGGCAGGCCCAGGCCCAGGCGCAGGGATGAGTTGGAGATGGATGATCGTGATGAAGAAGGTGATTATGGATGATCGTGAAGAAGGAGGCGGATAGGCGATGTCGTGCTGGAAGGACACCCTCAAGGATTTCGCAATTGCTGTGGTGTTGGGCGCAAGTCGTGGCGGTATGGTTTACCATGGAGCTATGGGAACGGAGTGGCATCTTGGACGTCGTACCAAGGTAGTGATTCGAAGACTCCAGATCCCGTCAATGACCAGCTCCTATCTCAAAATCTTCCTAATCCGCTCTTGCTGCTCCATCATGACACCGCATCGTTCCAGATAAGCCGCGATTCCACCATACTCCTCATCAATACACTTCGAGACCTCTTCAACCCATCCCTCCGCACAACCGGCAAACTCATCCGGCAGTCCAATCGCCCGAATCTGCACCAATCTGTCTTCCCTCTCACCCTTCAGCTCCCTGTCACTCAACATGTAGTCCGCATCAATAGCCTCCTTCTCCACCCCTAACAGCAACAACACAAGCAGCACCACCAACCCCGTCCGATCCTTGCCTTGCGTACAATGCACAAGAAGTGGATAGTTGCCCTCATCGCTCAAAACCTCAAACACAGCTCTAACCTCCGCAGTCGAATGCCTCAAACTATCCTTCGCCAACCCAATCAACCCCCGTTTCGCCATGACATTCTCCCCAAGAATACTAATCGCCTCCGTCCTATACCCGACAACATACAACCCAAACAACTTGGCCGCATTCCAATACGACAGCTGCTTGATCAACGCACTCGAATACGGATGGCCATTCAAACTGATGTCCTTGTACTCCACACCCGGAATCCTCAGGGCCTGAGTAGGATCTTTCGGTTCCGTGGCCGGGGAGGTCGAGATTTTCTTGGCGTTTTTGCGGGTTTGCTCGACGTGTTCGGAGTCGGTGCGGAGGTCGATTATGGTTTTGAGGTGGAGGTCTTGGGAGAGGCGGAGGCGGTCGATGGGCGTGGCGTTGTCGGGGATGCCGCTGCGGTAGAAGAGTCTTTGTTTGAGAGGGGGTTGTTGGCTCGTGTGAGAGTTGATTGTGCGGGCGACGTCGCGGAAGTTGAGGATCTTTTGGAAGGGGAGGTCTTTCGTGGGGGAAGTGGTTGTTGTCATTGTGGTTAAGGTTTACAGCCGTGCAGATGGAGCTTCTTGTGGTGATGTTGGAGTTGGAGGGATCCGCGATGGAGTTTCAAAAAAGCTTCAACATTTGGTTCTTGATCACTTCAAATTCTGAATCTAGATCGGACTATGAATCTTAGACGAATGCCTCTCTTTCACAATGAGTGACTGGTAGTGTTAAGTGTGAAACGCCAAATGGCATGGGACGAGGTGAAGTCGAGAGACAGTGGCCAGGATTGGCTTAGGCTGAGCTAGGATAAGTGCGTGTGGAGACGATCCCAGCTGTGGATCCGCAGCTCTGGTTCTGGCCCGATACGAAGAAAACAACAACGACAGGACGCATGAAATCCTCGAATGGTATAGTCGCCGGACTGGAGGACAACATCGAGTTCATTGTCAATCAAAGAACCATCAATATCACATCAAATGGACCAATCAATGTCACGGTCCAGACGCCGCGGCTGTGCTTTGAGCTCGGACGTCGATGACGTCCGTCATTGCCGTCGCTAGGTGAGTGACGACTCGGGCGAAGCTTAATGCTCGCTCACCAAACCTGCTGCCGCTCCTGCAAACACCGCATCTTCCCTCCCACGTTCTCCATATACCTCCGTCACGATACCCTTGCACCTGGTTTCATTCATCGCTTGGTTCATTTGATTTGCGTATTACCTGCCAGTCCTCGTTTTGCATTGGACATCCTCGCTGTCCAGCTCCAGATCCCTGGTCCCCGGCAGCTCCAGCTCCACCAAAACAACAATGGCCGCCGCAACGGCCAGCGAAAAACCCTGCCCGGACCCATCTGTGCACGAGAAACACACCAAGCTGTCGGAGCAGGCCTCGTCCGCAGCCCTCTATGTTACCCATCCAGAGCGAAATACAGAGCCGCGCGAAAGCCGCGAGAGTCCGCTGGGTCCCGATGGCAAGCTGTCGTCCAAAGGTGTGTTGAACGTCTCGTCTCTATACGTCGAGACTGCAGCGCTGAAACAAAGAGCACAGGTGCCGCCACGTCATTGAAATATGCCAAAGCCACCGACCTTCCGTCCTTTCCGAGCCATGGCCACACTGCGGACTCGGCCGGCAAGGCCGCAATGCTCGCCAAAGACTACAAGATGAAAGAGCTGTGGCAGCCTGAGCTCAGCCAGGCTGGCTCGAGAGCTGCTCTCGTTGCGCATGGAAAGGGTGGGAATGTAGAGCTTTGGCAAGCTTCAGCTACATCTGATGGCCACTCTGCTGCGACACTAGCTATGCGGAACAAGACATTGAGCCCGAATGTAGATTACAGCGTCACGCCTGAGAACAGGAGCAAAGCCTTGCGAGCAGCGACCATGTCACACCACACTGGCAGGCAACGAGCCGAATCAACCCCTCAGCCGCCTCCTCCCGCCTATCCCGATTCACACCGATCGGGCGCGAACGCTTTGAATGCAGCGACAGCATCTCATCGTGCCTCGACTTTGAAATCTGCCCCAGATGGCTGGGACTCCGAGGCGAATCAAGCCGCCAGGATCAAGAATTTGGGTGGTGTGATGGATCGATCCATGTTTACCGACCATCCCGACATCGACGTGGGCAATGAAGAAGCCAAGCGTCAACAAGCGCTACGTGCATCGGCAGTCTCGATGGCAAAGCGCCTGTACGAGTCCCAAAACCGCACCGCTTTGACTTCTGACCCAGATGAGATTGCTGGAGCTCAAGCAGCTGCGAACCGAAGCTCAACATCGACCCAGCCAGACTTGAAGACGGAAGCAATGCGATACATCAACCTGCAAGAAGCAGCACACAAACTTGCTACTGAGCGACTTGCCAAAGTTGACAAGAACTTTGAAAACGCGCGATACCGCGAATATTATGGTTACGAAGACAAGCCGAAACGACTATCATCCAACATGTCACTACGCAGCAAAAACCGAGGACGCCAACGTAACCGAGCGTCCAGCGATACTGCAACTGCAGACTTCAGCGACAGTGACGACGAAGAGCAGGCGAGACGCATTCGAACGCAAATGTCGGCTCTGCAAGGTGGGCTTAGCCAGGTTGATCAAAAGAAGCAACAAGACGATCGTGCGAAGCTGCTGGCGGCGGCTGAGAAGAGGGTGTCCGCACGTATGCATAACATGGACGAGAAGGTGTACAACGAGACTGGCAAGATTCCACCAGCTCTGCAAGAACAGTGGGAGGCCCAAGCTCGCGAGAGGGCTCAGAAGGAGCGGGAGTTGGCAGCTGAGAATCCGGGAAAGACACATATTGGAGGTGGAAAGTTTATGGATCAGTCTGAGATCGAAGCCATCGCAGCGGCGAGGTTGAAGCCTACACTAGACGAGATCAACGACACTGCAGAGAAAAAGCGGGCACGCGATGAAGAGATTCGGACCGAGAAAGAAGAGCAGGAAAGGGTGAAGCGCGAAGACAAGGCCCAGAAGAAGGAGGAAAAGGAGGAGCAGAAACGAGTGAAAGGTGAGTAAAGTCCTCATGCGGTAAGGCCTTAATCGCTAACAGCTCGCAGATGAACAGAGGGCTGCTGCCAAGCAGGAAAAGGCAGAGGAGAAGGCTCGCAAGGAAGGAGACAAGAGACTTTCAAAGGATGACAAGCGCAAGAGCCGAGAGCACAAGAGAGACGACGCTGGTATCGTCGCCGCTGGCGGTATCGGAGCCGGCGCAGGCGCTGCAGCATTGGCCGAGGGTGAAGCTGGCGATGAGGCTACGGATGGTGTCCAGAAGCACAGATCAGCGCTCAGCCGGCTAAAGGAGAGATTCCGACGAAGCCAACCTCCCGGAGACGAAAAGGTCGAAGATGAAGAGGAGAAGCCCGCAACTGGCGCAACCGTCGCTACCGGTGCTGCTGGCGGTGCTATCACTGGTGCCACGCTCGAAGAGGCTGCTGACAAGCCAACTCCAGAGAGGCCCGAGGAGCTCGATCACCAGCAGGCAGAGCATGCAGTCGCTGTGGATGAGGCTTCGCCCGTCTCTCCTGTCACTGCAACCGAGAATGATGCTGCTCCTTCTGGCGTCGCAGCTGGAGACGAAGAGACCAGCAAATGGAACCCAGTGGTCACTCCCGCGATCGTAGCTACCGGAGCAGGTGCGACTGCGGCAGCCGTCGCTGTCAACGTTGAGGACACCGACGCACCAGTAGCGAAGAATGAAGCTGCAAAGCCCCAACGACCTGGCTTTGAGCAAAAGCCGAGTCTCGCTGGCTACAACTACGATGAGGACTCGCTCCTGGCCGCCAAGCCTGACTTGGAACAACACATCTCTCACATTCCAGAGAGCGACGACGATTCAGACGATGACGACTGGAACGATGAGCGCGTGGAGAAGCCAGTTCCCACTTTGGGCGCAGACAAGGCGCAAGTTGTAGCCGATAGAGTCGGCACAGCTCCCGTCACCGACAAGCCCATTGATGACCCCATTCCTACCAACGATCGAACCGACGAGACTTTGGCACAGCTGAACGACCAACGAGCCGAACCACCCAAGGATTTGCCGTCGACTCTCGAGACGCCTGGCGTGCCCAAACCTGAGCCTGCAGTTGAGCCTACTGCCACTTCCGCTGCACCCGCTGAGACCGAGACTAAGGAAAGTACAGAGCTGGAGCAGAAGCCAACCAAGACGCAAGAAGCTGCAGCGTTTGCTATTGGCGTGGCCACTGCCGGCACTGCTGATGTTGATCCCACCAAAATCGCAGCTAAATCAAGCAAGACTGAGCCAGAAAAGAAGACTGCCGCCGAGAGAACCGAGAAGCCTGACAGAGAAAGCAAAGGCTTCCGCGGCTTCTTCAAGAAATTGAGGAACAGGGACTCGCGGTCAGAGAACAAAGTACCCGACGCTCTATCGCCCACCGAATCGAATAAATCGGTCCCATACGAGTCAACCAAACCCGGCGACGCCCCAACGACAGACACAACCACCAACGGTGCCAAGCCAACCCTCCCTCCCGTCGAAACCGGTCCAAAGCTCGATGAAGAACACGTCGGCACAGACGGCATCATCGGCTCCAAAGACCAAGTCAGCGGCATAGCCGGCAATCCCGCCCCCGAAAGCCCCTCCAGTTTCCGCCGTGGCGAAACCGCCCTGAACGACCCCGACGACCTGTCCTCATCGGGCGCCGACGAGGACGACGTCGCGCGTGGCCGTGGTACCGGCCGCATCTCCCGCAAGCTCGGCTTCGGCAGAGATAAAGGCAAGGGCAAAGCTACGAATGGGGGTCTTGATGCTGCCGCCGCCGGAGACTCGGACCGCCAGAACAGTAACACTGAAGATGAGCAGTTCGAGGAGGCGAGGGATCATTTCGACGAGACGCTTGCGCCGCCGCCGGCTTTTGCGGGACAGGCGAAGAGTGAGAGTCCCGTGAGGGGGACGAAGTTTCAGGAGGAACTCTGAACGAAGGCAACAGGACGAGGCGGGAGATGGATGATGGGTTTCCTTGCGTTTTGTTGGAAATATGCTTGATACCTCTCTGATTTTGATTTCGATGATTTTGACAACAGTTTGGAAGATTTCGAGGCACAACGGGACAAGAATATGTGATGATGATAAGAAGGGGGAGGGTTGTAATAAGTATGTAATGCTTATATGTTTTTTGTTTTTATCGTTCAAATGCGAATGTTGAAACATGTCAGCGAAGAGATCCCCATCTTCTGTCATCTCTCTGAAGCCGACAATGCCTCGCAGTGATGCAGCTCGCCAGCTCATCAAGACACCTCAGTCCCAGTCGTCCGGTCTCGCGTCCCATACGACCCACCCACTGTACTCCCACCCGTCGAGTCTTCCTCCTCTTCAACAAAACTCCCCACACTCCCCTCCCCATCCTCAAGGATCTCCTCCTCATCCCCTCCACCCTCCGCCTCAATCTCCCTCCTCTCCTCATCCAACCTCACCATCCTCGTCACGAATTCCCCCTGCAAGTCTCCCAGCCATTGCCGAAGATCTTGTTCAGACATCCTCCCATCCCTCGCCTGCATCAAATGCTCTTTGAGGTTCAGCATGAGCTTCCTCCTCCGCGCCGTCAAAACGCCTAAAGAAGGATTCTTACGTCGACGCATCTGGTTCTCGAGCGTAGAGGCTATGTACTCGGCGCGGGGGAGCACATCGGGGGGCAAAGGGAGGAGTCGGGCGAGTTGCAGGCCGTAGTGCGTATCGCTGGACGTGCCGGACGCGAGGCGGTAGAGCGGGGAGATGGTGTTGGGCTCGGAGGTGGAGACGGCGAGATGTAGTGCGACGACGCCGGGGCGTTCGGAGAGGATGGTGGAGAGGCCTCGGAAGTGCGTTGCGAACCAGACGAGAGCTTTCGACTCGATAAGTGCTTCGGCGATGGAGAGGGCTATCGCCATGCCGTCCCGTGTGGAGGTCCCGCGGCCGAGCTCGTCGATTATCGCCATGCTGGAGGGCTCGATGTTGCGGAGGATGAAGGCGGCTTCGCGCATTTCGGCCGCGAAGGTGCTGACGTTGGCTTCGATGTTGTCGTCGAGGCTGACGCGCGCGAAGAGCTGGCGGATGATGGGGAAGGCGGCGTAGGTCGCGGGCACGAAGGAGCCGACTTGCGCCATGAGAGTGAGTAGGGCGACGGTGCGGATGTAGGTGGATTTGCCGCTCATGTTGGCGCCCGTGAGGATCTGGAAGCGGGTTTGGGAGGTGGCGTAGATGTCATTGGGGATGAATTTGTTGCGTTGGAGTTTTTCGCGGATCGGGTGGCGCGCGGCGCGGAGGGCGAGGGCCTCGTTGATCAAGGGGCGCACGTAGTCTTGAGAGGTGGCGGCGTGGGCGAACGAGGAGAGCATGTCGAGCATGGCGACGGATTCGGCAATCTTGAAGAGCGCGAACATGTGTTCGCGGACGGCGGAGATGAGGTGTTGGATGGCTTCGTCGCTCATGAGGAGGACTTCGTGGTGGGCGTCGGAGATCTTTTGGTTTTGTTTGACAAGGTCGAGGGTTTGGCATTCGATGAGTTGTTTGCGGCGGTAAACGTTTATGAAGACTGGGGGGAGTTTCTGGTTCTCGAGGTCGGTGGTGCGCAGGGAAAAGTAGAATTGGCGGGCGGCTTCGAATTTGGTCTGTAAGGGGAGGTTCTGTTCTTCGGCGGTTTCTGTCATATGTGTTAATGCATCGTCTGTGGATTCGCGGTATGTCTGGCGGGCGACGTCGAGGAGTCCGTTGACCCCTGACTTGACGGCGTAGGTTCTTTGGTTGCGCATGTCCAGCGGTTTTCGTGCGAAGGTGACATCTTCGTTGATAACGCTGGTGATGAGGTCGAGGACGGCGTCGACATTCTCGGCAGCACAATTGCTCTGAATTGCCAGAAGCATCTCTGATCTTGCACCAGCTAGGGCTTCAAACACTGGCTTGGCGTTGCAGATCAGATGTTTCAAGGCAATGACATTGTTTATCGCTTGCTCTGTCTCGTGGATGCCGACATGCTTGGGAACCACAATGAGCTTCGTCAGGATCTGGTCAGCATCGAGGAACGTCTTCAGCGCCTGCCGAACCGAGAAGAACATCTGTTCTTTGGTACTCAACTCTTCCACCGCGTCGTAGCGTCTGCCCAGCGTCTCGGAGTCTGTGACGGGCTGCAGGATGTTGCTGCGCAGAGTTCGAGCACCCATCGGCGTGAGAGTCTCGTTGAGCAAGCCAAATAGACAATGTTTCGACTTTGGATCGTGCAAGTTTTGTACTAACTCAAGAGACTTGATCGTAGCTAGATCAATAGTCATCGAGCCTTCCGATGGCTGGTAGCTCAGACGAAGTGAATGCATCGGAAAGGTTTTTGCCAAAGCCAACTCGGTGTACTTCAAGGCTGCTGCGAAGCAGCACACGGCGAAGTAGTTGCCGGTGACAGCCGTCTTGATGGATTCGACATCTTGGCGGAAAGCCAGCTGCGAGATGTACTCCAAGCCGGTGGTCTCCGACCAGTATTGACGGTCAAGCAAGATAATGTTGGCCTGCAGGTCGTCAAGTTGATCTTCGAGGATAGAAAAGAGTTTCGACTTCGGATGAGCTGCTGTGTTGACGATGAGAATGTACGTTGGCTGAAAGACTGTGATCTTGTGAGTGGTCTTGACGTATGTTTGGCTGTCGTTCAGCTGAGAAAGCACAGCTTCACCAGTATCCAGATTTATGAAAGCAAGGCCGACCATTGGAGATACACCACGAGACTCGCTCACTGCACAGACGATCTCTTGATTCTCCATGCCCAGAGTCGAGTAGCCTGTGCGAGGCCTGGTGGTTGCAGTGCCCGGTCTGCCATTGCTGCGATACACCGTCGGTGGTCTGGATGCTGTAGCAGTATCATAGTCATTGGTAGTATTCAGGTGGTAGGACGTGCTGATGCCATCTGCTGCTGCTGGCCGAGTTTGATACGAGGAGTGGTGTGACGTGGAGTCACCGCCGGTGATGGGGATTTTGTATGTCGCCGTGCGGGTGAAGTAACTTGAGGCCGTCGAGTACGACGTCGATGGCGGGCGTATTCTAGAGTCCATGGTGGATGTTGTGGTGTTGGAGATGGAAGAGCGAAGATGAGGTGAGGTTGACTGAAGCTGCGTCCGTGCGCTTTCACATGTAGGGAAGTTACGACGCAGCCGCGCCTTCCTTAAGCAGTCGCAGCCTTGGCAACCTCACTTCTCAGTGGTAGCAGCAGTTCGATATTGAAATGCGACACTGAACAAGCCATTGAAGTTATTTGATCAAGAAACCGGTTTCCGACCAATGCACCGCTGGGTCCGCATGTTCATCCCGACCTTCAATTCCTCAATCTCCTGCAAAGCCCTCTTTCGCTGTTCCATCCACTCGTCGATAGCTTGTGCCCTCTCCGGAACCTTCATTCTCAAGTGACCAAATCCTTCCTCCAAAGCCCATATCCAATTCATCATGACTGGTTGTAACGTGGAAGGCCTCGACTCAGGGGCGACGTACTCGACATCTTTAAGCCCAGAGCGTTTGAATAGATCCTCGAAGTTATTGAGCCACTTCAAGTTCTGGCTCCGCTTTCCTACAATGTCTTGCGCCATGGTGTAGAGTTTGATTACTTCAGTGGGTTCTTGGCCAGTCGTGGCGGTATGCCAACTGTAACGATTGCTGTTGCTGTCGGTCCACTGCAGGTAACCCCCTGGCTCTGATGCAATAATCAGCACAGTCTTTCTAGAAAGTCTTTGAAAAAATCCTCACTAAGCATTCTGAGTAGTCGTTGGATAACAGCATGGACATTCGAATCCAAAACAAAGATCATGACAAACTGCACATGGACAATGTCATAGCGCTCTACCAGTTCCTCGGGTATGTCCTCAAGCAAATTGAATTCTCGGAAGGTTACGTTCGAAGGCAGCCAGGCTTTCGGGGGCGTTTCGTTAAGGTTGATGTCAAGACCTTCAATGGTCAGATTGGGAAACCGCTCGGCGACTTCGAGAGCCCAAACTCCAGTCCCTTCGATTGCATGTCAGCATGGTTGCAGGGCAGTCGTACGAATGAAGTACCGGTTGCGACGTCTGCGACAATGAGAGGTTCGTCACCGATGGGAATCGCAGGGTCGAGCAGCTTATGTTCGAAGTTCGTCTGCGTGAGCTCATGCTGCAGCCTCAGGCTGAGAGCACGGTGTTAGCTTGTCTGATCCATCCTCGAGCAGTAGTCGAAGCCATACCGCGTAGACGCCCAGCTCGTCTTGCCTAACCAATAGCCGTCTGACATGGATTTTGTACGGCTCCCGAATGAACGATTCGTTGTAGCAAGCATCACAGAGCTGATGGTCGACCCATTCAGCCTTTATAAGTTATCCGTCAGCATGTTAGTCATGTGGCATGGCATAAAGCTTGCCCGTTGATCGGCTACTGGGTAACATAATCTTGCTATCCACCCACATGCCGTACCGTGGAATCGTTCTCATGTCCCGAATGAGACCATAACAAGTAGGCGCTGGAGGACTTGAGCCGTATCAGAGAGAGACTCAGAAAGCGATGGCCTGCTCTACCATAGTCCCAAGAGCTATGCCTATGGTAGCGTCAAAAGGCCTCGGTGGTGCAGTTCGTTTAGGTGTCCGTCCGCCAGGTGATCATTAGACATTGCCAAAATATCGGCGATGTGGACTTCGATCTTGAGTAAGGGATATCATGTCTCATCTCACATTATATGGCACCCCGTCGAAACCCACGCCGCCATATGGTACTCGCCCTTCACCTTTGCCAAATGTCACAAGCCACGGCTCTTGGAGACCAGGCTGCGCTAGCTGCCAGTACATCTCAGCATGAGCCTCCCCATCAATGTCTTCTCCAGCCGGTCTCCCATCACCAGGCTTGCGTTCGTCGGCATAGTAGAACCTGACATACCATTTAGCACATTGCAGAGATGTCAGTGGCCTTGGAGCTCGTACCGATAACCCTTCGATCCATATGCATTTGCACCATATTCAATGACGGTGGCGCTTAGTCTTTTGGACAGTGCGAACGGAAAGACCTGTGGAATAGGAACCTGGTTTAAGGCGTTGCCCGTGAAGATGAACGTCTTTGGCACCGACTCCGGCAACGTCTTGAAGCCTTTGACTGCTTCTTGTGCGGCTACGTACTGGCTCTCGAAACCAACTTTGCTGCAAGCGTGAAAGCTTTCTAGAGAAGTGCTGAAAGGATCGTCCGGTGGATTGAGGAGTCTATGAGCACCTGTGAAGTCTTCAGCCGCGTTGCTCCCTAGACATAGCGTTGGTATCTCAGTTACCATTGAATACCACTACATTGGGTGGTGCCTGAAAGTGCTCCATGACACTTTCGAAAGCATGTCGGACTGAGCGAGGTTGATCAAGATCGACCTTGACCTGTAAGTATCCTTCTGGAGATGTCGAACCATCTTGCACGCTGCGTGAGGCTATGACAACAGCGTAGCCTTCCGAGGCGAACTTCTTCGCCACGCTGGAACCGACTCGTGGCCCGGCGCCTAGGATTAGGGCAGTATCAGATGCTGACATTGTGATGCTGGTATAATGAGGCAAAGTAATTGAAAGGATTCGGCAGCACAGTTTAGTGACCATATCTGCTCAGATCACTGTTACCTGTAGTATGTGTATTGAAATCTGCTTGCTGCTCGCTGCGTATACGTCTCGCGAGTCCACGGAACATATATTTGTCAAGCCGAATAGCAAGCAGGAGTACAACCCTAGCCTCCGCTATGGCTGAATCTTCATTGCTGCGGGCGGAGGGCATTGCGCAGATCGCCGAGAAAGCTGTATAATCAAGACCGAAGCCTGCAGAAGTCCTAGGTTGGAAAAGGGTCTGACCAGGTCAGGAGAGGGGGTACCAGTGGAAAAGTACAGTATCGTTTCTACATCCATGTCAATTTTTATATCTGCAACGAATACCCCCTAATTGTCTTCCAGATGAACGACCCAGTACAGCCCTGGATAAGGACAAAGCAGGAAAGTGCGCAGTGCGCTCAAGTGCGAGTACATAAAGTTGTCTAGAATGCGTGCTGACATAGCGTTTTGGTAACCTTTGTACTGCCGTAGAGGGCTTTTTTCCAGTGCTGGAGGCCCTAACGAGTCTGGCTTATCTCCCTGCTGTCTTCCGACGCGATTCTCTTCGGTGGTGTATCGGCGGGCGTTTCCCCTGTGAATCGAGGTAGACCTCCAGGTGCATGCATTTCGCCGCTCAGAGTGGCACTTGACTTCCGCGACGAGGCCTTCTTCTTCCACCACGGCGTCCGCAAGAAGCCCCACCAGGCTGTGAAGATCTCGAAGCGGAAGAGCAAGAGGAACGTTTCGATTCCAACAAAAGCCAAGATGAACAGAGTCGCCACTGCTAGGTCCTCGGGGATGATGACGACGTCGGTGTACTGGTAACACTGGCTTTTGTTCTGTCTGCTGACAAGACAGATGATCCAGGGGATGAGCTTGTCGACGTCGCTGAATGCTTCTCGCGTGAGTCGATCGTCGAAGAAGATGAAGACGACGCATACGAAGACCGTGGTGAGGATCGCCGATGCAACTATGGCCAGCGCCCCCCATTGAAGAACCAGGACCTCGCGGACCCTCCGAGCAGTCGCTCGAGCTTGTCGAGCGCGCGAAGAACTCACCACAGAGGCAGATCGAGAGCTTGGGTCGTTGCGGGCTTGCCATGCGGAGCTCATGTAGACTCTGATGACATAGCCAAATGTAGTAAGCTGAAGGAGGAGAGCAATGCCGCAAAAGCCAAGAATGAATCCCCAGAAGGTCGCAAGGGAGCCGACGTTTACATGACAGTAGCCTCCAAACCGGTACGAGACTCCACTATGAGAGATCGTAGCTGCTGTAAGTCCGATAGAGATGGCTCCGGTAACGATAGTGGCGATTGTGTGAGTCAGGGCCAGTGGAGTGTAGTTCCAGCAAATCTGAAGGTGCATGAGAATGGCTCGGACGGTAACCCAGGTCGTGAAGAACATCAGCCCCAGAGCTACGCATGCTGCAGAGAATGCGCAAGTAAAGCTGCTGCTCTCATTATTCGGCGTGATCGGATCGTAACACTGCTCCGGCTGCCGTGCCAGGGGGATGATGAAGCCGAGCTCGAGGACCATGATTGCTGACAGTAGCACGACGTTAAGATAGCTTCGCCGTGTAGCCGTCGATGGGAGCACGAGCATAGAAAGAAGCAAGAAGCCACGGCAGATGAAGCCGGCAACATGCACCCAGGCAGCGCCATCTGTGAGTATCTTGAAGTCATTCCGGTACGTCCAGTCGAAGACCGGGCACGGTATACAACATCGAGTCGCATTCGGGCCCGGAGTCAAGGGGTTCTCAGCACAGTTCCGTCCGCCATAGACTGTCACATAGTTAGTCCCTCGTCATCAAAGTAGCCATCTCGTAGAAGACTCACATCCATCCGTAAAAGGATATAGTGTCTCCGAGATGAACGGACTTGGACATGCGTCGACCGTGGCCATCAGTCACCGCAGAGCAAAAGCACGAATCAAAAACGCTCCGTTGAGGTGACAGGTAAAGACAGGTGATGATGGGAAGAAGAGACTTGTTGCCACAGGAGTCTGTCGTTTAGGCGCATCGCACGACTTGGCGCTGCTTCAAAGCAACAGGAATACATGGCGGACGGCCGATGCACAAAGGCGCACATGGGATCGTCAATAAAGAATGACACGAGCACACATGGCTTTCCATAAAGAATGTGGCAAGTTGGGCGTCCGCCCAAGCATTCCAGGCCACTTGGCATGGCAACCATCGTTGTATAAGCGGCACGCGGCTTTCGATGCAGTCGTACAATTTGAATTGTCCTCCTATCGGCATGCTCTGCCTGTAAAGTGTCTCAATGTCAGCACACATCTGCAGGTTTTCGCCGTGTAGCACGGGATTCGGTCCAAGGCAGATGAGTGAAACCTGGAGTTGAGCCAGTCGTGTTTCCGAGTAGCCAAGTGATGTATGTGATTTTCACTACGGCCTGATGCCTAGAGATAATTTACATCCCGCATTTCAGCTGCACTCGATGACAGCTAGAGATCGCATCGAGGGGACGAAGCACCATATCTGTTTCCTGGGCAGCAGCGACGCGTTTGTGTCGGGTGGTATCTGTTGACTGGGTATCCATTGTCTATCATCTATATTGCAGTACTCAAACACTCTTTTCCTGACTTGTCATGGGTATCATGAGGAGGGCCTTGCCCTCTAATGCATCGAAAATATGCCACTGATATGGCTTGCAAAGCGGCTGGCTCAATCCTCTGAGCCTAACGTTGGGGTATCCCGCCATCATCTGCTTGAGGTCTGAGAATTGGTGGCATCGCTATCCTCTCGCTTTAGCCACCTCGTTTCCTTAAACTTGTGCTGCTCTTTCACTTCATGCGTACGCAGTGCGTTCTCGGTCAAGGGGGACTTGCGCGAAGCCTTGTTTTGCTGGTTCTCGGCTTCTATCGTGGACTCGAGAAGCCATTGAAGTCCACCGTAAAAGGAGTCATTAGGCACGAAGCTCGTGTGAACATGGTGCGGTTGTTGGCGTATGGGTAACCCCGTGGTATCGTGAGGGTGGCTGCTTCCCGTCGTGGGTCGGGACGATGGGCTTCGTCGCGCGGATGGCGATGTCAACACATGGGTGAAGCTCGATTTGCGCTTCGTGGTAGGTTTGTTCTCTTCATTCATAGCAATGGTATTCTTAGTCGATGCAGAAACTGGCTACGAAGGGTTTCTTCATTGCTGGGATCGGATTGTGGGGAGCAGACTGCTTGCACTCGACCGTGGCTTCACTGTCGAGGACAAAGGGTGGTTGGTTGTGGGTGTTACACATGTTCGGAGGCTGTGCCGGAGGCCGAGCAATTTATATCTATCTTCGAGGTTGAGAAAGCCTCAGCCTCGAGCTTTCTTCAGTATCGCCGATGCGAGCATATCGAGATTCTGCCAAGGAAATCGGCGATTTATCTAGAACTACGTCACACCCATAGTTTGTCCGACTTTGCACATGCATCTTTGGCATCCACTTACACAAGCTGATTATTCCCTCCTAACCTGCCGAGCCCGATGTGGGACCTCCGTGTGACCGGCATGACACACAGTGATCAAGAATGTAGACTGGACGAGTGGAAGGTAAGAGTGAGGGTTGAAATTTTGGGTGTCTTCACTGAGTTGTTACGGTCCCGCAGAGTATGTATCCAGACCTTGGCAGACAGCGGGGTTCCGAAGGGACATGGAAGGCCAGCCACGCACTTCTAACCAACATGACGTCTCTCATCCGCGTCAGCCTTGACATGCTGTTCATCACAAGTGTTGTCTAGTATCGGCCTTGACACATACGATTCTGTTGCTATGAGGTTCTAGAAGATGCCCTCTCAACTGAGATTTATGCTACAAAAACACTATATGCTACACCGCTTCAAATGCGAACGACTACTTGCGGACCTGACGAGCCAGAACAATACCCATCTAGCACGCTGTTGATCTCCTCAACGTTGTTCAATCCTTCAATGACCCGATAGTCGGTGGGTGAGAGCTTCCCTTCAGCCAGCCATCTGGGAACAGCCTTCCAGAACGCTGAAGCATGTGGCCTAAGGCTCGCGTTGGTCCCTTCAACGAAGGCCGCATCGCAAAGTGGTCTTGATTCTTCGAAAAGCTTCTTCTGGTCTGCAGACATGGGCTGCGTCGTTCGAAAGATGCTGGATTTCGTCTCAGGGAGAAGACCGACAGCCAAGTCGAATGCTGGGCTGTAGGTATCGAATGCAAGCCGCAGGTTGTCTCTTCCAGCAAGCAGGTGGATGTTCGAGATCAGCTTTTCCTTCGGTAAATGGCGGTCGAGGAAGTGAGTCGCGCCCATCTTCAGGAGATCCTGCTGGTTTGATGGACCTGCCACAGCGATAATGGTACCGATTCCCGCCATTCGCGCAAGTTGAACCGCAAACTTGCTGATATTGGAACCGGCTCCTAGGATCAAGACCATTTCGGTTGCGAGATTGGGTCCCTTCTCCTCCCGCGCGATTGGACTCGGCAAAGCGAAGCCAGTATGGGTAAACAGCACTTGCCATGCAGTGACGAGGTTCGTCGGCAGAGTCACGGCTTGCTCGTCGGTGCAATCCACCGGAATCTTGCCAATAGAGTCGACGTCGAGAATTGCATACTCCTGCAGGCCGCCCTGATCCGTCCCGGGAACTGTGCCTCGGGATATTGAGTAGCCGAAAACTCGATCTCCTTCTCGGAAGCAAGTATTTGCTGATCCGATTCGGCTGATGATTCCAGCTACATTGGAGGCTGGAACGAATGGAAGATTGCCCTTGGTGAACAGTCCGAGGTCTCTGGAATAGGCGTCGTGAGGTAAAACTGAGACTCCAATCAGTAAAGGTAATCCACACTACATAAGAGGATCTCCCTTACGCATGCATACGGAAACTTTGACCAGAACTTCTCCAGGCTGCGGTGAAGGTATTGGCCTGCTTCCTAATTCAAGGGGCTTGCCAACTTGGCTGACGAATACTGCCTTTTGTGAGGCGGACATGTTTGGAGAATGTGATCCCTGCGATACTTGAGCATCTGGCTGAATACTATCCAAGTTCTTATTAAACCCCGTTATACTCGGGTTCTCGGGCCTCTTCGTTCACACCGAAATGATGCTGTTGCAGTCTTCCAGGTTCTCCAATGCTCGGTATCGCATTGCGGATCGCAATATCCGCTTAGCAATAGGGTTATCCGTGGCTTCATCGGGAATAGAGGTGGAAGGGGAAAAGCCATTTGGATTTACCTTCAAATCCATTGTCTTTTACATAGATATCTCGCGATGCGATTGCTTCAAGTCGAGCTGCGGAAAGACCGATGGTGCGAAGCCTCGCCCCTGTCACAGTCAGGCTGAGCAGGGACTGAATGCTATCGCCCCCTGACTAACGGTTCGACGAACGACAAAGCATGGAACGCAGATACTGCACACCCGTCCGTGAGCAGAGAAGTCTATTTCCAGCAAGTCTGCCACAACCCAATCCTGTGATGGCTGAAAAGCTTGTGTCGTGAAAGCAAGCCGATGAGCACCAGCATCAGCCAGGTTCAGCCTTCTCGCAACTTCGAATGCAAAGCCAGGGGCTCGCGTTAGCTCGCATGTTTCATCACATTATCCAATGTCGAAGACGAGGATACATCAATCGCACCCTCGCGTTGTGTATAAAGATCGACTGGGCAGCCACTTGTCGGGGCGAACATTGTCGACATTTGAATCTGTTGCCGATCTGCGTGACTTCTTCTAGATCTCAACCGTAGACAGCGACATACAGATCAACACGAGGGTACGTTCGCCAGTTCTTGAAATACTAGCAAGACATCATCATCAGTGGCGAGGCTGTACATCATAGGACAAATTTGGTCATGAAGTCGGTTGTTCACTGACGATTGTGCAGCCACAACTCACCATAACCGTGTTTCTGACGGTCACGAAAGTATCTACAGTTCTTTTAGCCGCCTTCCAGTTCAATCGCCAAGTTACAACCTACTGCCAGTGTGAAGCTAAGATCCGTGGCGACTACTGGCTGCCTCAGGACGCAATATCACCCACGGTTGGCAGAGCCATCAACGCCCTTCACCCAAACATTCCTCAGTGACGCTGGGTCGTACTCGGTGGCGTGGAAGAATAGGTGCAACGATCAAGACTAGTGCAAGGACTAACACGTTGCAATTCACTCGAACAGCTGTACGTGCGATGGCAGGTATCACGATTGTGAATCTCAGTACGGCTTGTGTACTGATGTATGGGTTGCTCCGTGGCAAGGTTAAAGCGTCATTCGGGATTATGGAGGATGGTACAAGCAGGCTCCTATTATCAACGAGCTTCTACAAGATCTTCTTCTAATAGGAGAAAGCATGCCAAGATAGGTTCAAAGGGCAGGATTAGAGAAGACAGTCATACTGAGAAACGCCATCGTGTAGGCTCTATCAACAGGGTCCTGAACCTGAACAAGGAGTCAGGGGCTATTCGCTATCATTACAATAGTTATACACCTGCTAAGGATCTTCCGACGTGCAGGTATGCTTCACGCAAGCTCATACCTTCTCTGGTCAGTCGACAGTTCGCGTGGCGATCCCAAGTCTGCCCCAAGTTCTGGTGGTGCCAACGTCGACTCCGTTGACATTTCGTGCTTCGGATTTGACATTGCCTCGTTACCACCTGGCAAGATCACTACACCGCCATTTCCACTCTCGAACTCATTCAAAGCATGAAATGATGCATCTTGCGTCGGAGAAATGGAAGTTTGCGTTGCCTTCTTCTTGCGTACGAAGTAAGCGGCGGCAATTATCGCAAACACGCCTAATGCGCCACATGAGACTCCGATTCCGGCTTTGGCCCCTACGCTGAGACCAGTGCTGTTAGATATGGGCGGCGGGTTTGTTGGTTCATTTGTAGCGCTGTGACTTGTGGTGCTCGTTGCAGTCGTTGCGGGCAAAGATGTCGACGTTGTGCTGTTGGGAGTGTCTGCCAAAGCTCTCCAGTTTTGGGGTGAAACGGCCATGAATGATTCATTCGTTGGTGTTGTTGTGCAGTTCTCGTGGCCACAACAGTGCCATAGACCTGTAGATGCATTCCAGACGATCCGCGATCGGCCCCAATCGTCTTCAAAAACTAGTCAAAGGACAGCTACAAGATGATGACCACGAGGTGTAACTCACTGCATTGGATTGGGCAAACTGAATCGGAATAGCTTGGATCTGTGCAGCCCCCGGTGTTCCATCCGCTTCGTCCTGGGCTGTTTGGAGGGCCGCCATCGAGTGTAGCTTCAGGAAAGCGACAGATGCCATCCGTTCCGCATTGTGATCCTACAATGCAACACAGCTGAGTTCCACCAGAATGCGTTTCCGAATCCGGGCAAGCATATATGTTTGCTGCATCTTGAGATCTGACGGTGTTGTTGCTCTTCCAATAACAAGGCTGTGCGAATGACTTAACGAATAGGAGAAGGACACAAGACAAGTTTCCCCGCTCGATCATTGTCAAGGCTTTCTTGAGCAAAACTTGGATCGGATCCGAATGGATAGAAGTGGGAGATCAGAGCAGAGTCGGCTCCAGTCAGGCGTTGGCGCGAGCTGAGGTTTGGGGTTTTTGATCACTCGAGCACCACGTTCTCTCAGAGGCGTCAGCTCTGTCGCTTCATGGCTGTCGTGCAACCCCTCGAGACACACAATCTTCAGACTTGGCATCAGGAACTGTTCTCGTTGGTCCGTCCCCATTGAATGGGGCTGAAACATAACACAAATCGTGGCGATGCCGCACCTTTGGCTTGCAGACGACGAATCATGCGATGAAGGCGTGCATGGGATGAAGCAGGGTGACAGCCTCCTTTACAAGCTCTGTCAGGACTCAGTCGTTGCTACTGCGGTCTTTTAAGAGCCAGTCAGAACTTATAGTAAGGTACCTAGGTTACTTACGGACTCGGACTTTCATCAGATAAGCATCATGGTGTTCGCTTTCAAGCCTTGTGTGTCCGAAAGGACCATAACTTCTCCGTCCATCATGCCGTCCACAAAGCATTCTCCGATGCAGCTGTAGTATCCCGGTCGACCAATACAGGGGCGAACGACATACAATGCATTCCCTCCCAAGAAAGCAGCCACACGATCTCCCGGAACCGCAGCTTCAGGAAACAGGCCCAAACTACCTCGTTCGGTATTCCCACCTCGGCGGTCTCGACAAAGACATCGAATTGCGTCGAGTAGCCGAACACGTTGTCGGATGCGACGCTGATCGAGGTCTCTACCGAATTGATCGATTACATCCCAGTCGACACATCCCGATCGTACGTTTATGTCTCGATTGTTCTCATCGCTGGTAACATGTTTGGCATCAGCCACCAACGTTCTGTTGAAGGCTTCGTCTGAAAGTGAGTGGCAACTTGCTCTAAGCTCTCCTGCCCAACTTCTTCGAAGACCTGAAGGTAAGGTCGCGTCCTCTTCACGGCCGCTTGTACTGGTCAAACAACGGATGGTATCGAAGACGAAACCGTCTATCCTCAAAGTTTGTCCACTAACGCTTAAGGCTATGTTAGTACCGGGACATGGTTCGTAAAGCAGGTTGTAGTCTCCGTGTAAGAGGCCTGTACTGTTCAAAGGGCGAATACGACTTGCGATCCTCCAGTCTGGGACCCAGGACGGAAGGAAGCGTTCACTTGGGTGATTATTCTTTTGGTTTGCATCGCCTTTATTTGCGCAGATGTATCCAAGAATTTCCAGGCCACGGCCATTGAGAAGCAGATACTCGGTCAGATCCACGTAAACATCCCCGAGCTCTTTTGTACAGTCTATCGCTGTTAGACTCTCATCGCGTGCCATGTCTACGTCTGAAGCATGGGGTAGGGCAGCGAAAATCTTGTCACGAGGATCGATACAAGAGGTTAATCGTAGATCCCGGACGACAGCAGCCAGCCGTGCCATTGACACGCGGTGGCGAACGAAAACCTCCTGCCTGTTGTTATATGCATTGAGCAGGTCCAGCAACGGTGAGCCCACGCTTGAGCCACGAGCAACGATTAGCTGGAAACGATCAGGCACCTGCCGATTACCCCCGTAGGTTGTGTGAAAAGCATTGAATGCTAGCAGATGAGGCCACGAGAAACAGTACCTGCCGCAGTAGAACTTTACGTGCGGCAGTGTCACTTCTTGGTGAACCCACGTTCGGGACCAGTAGCGTCGCTTGAGTAATTCAATCAGGGCCTCCCATGCCAAAAGTATATCGTCTTTTGATCCAGTTGCGAAAGAGGGCTGCTGGTGCAAGTATTGTAGACACCATTCGAGATTCGCCTTCTGCTTTTGGGCGTCCAGCACATGTATTGGAATTTCCACTAGAGCCTCCAGCAGTCGCACTGCCTGCTGAGTTCGCTCCTCGTTGGACGGCAGCCCAATCCAGGACAGCACGGTCTCCGCTCCCTATTGGTAAGTCAGTTGGGGTAACACGAACAGGATGAGATGAGCTGTCTATTCCTTCGCCAAGGGAAAGTACCTCATAAAGTATTTTCATGAGCCTCACTTGCCTCGCCCGTTCCTCGAGATCCTCCTGATTGATGCAGATGGCATCTACCCAGAATAAGAGATCCTTCGATTGGACGAAGTAGTTCAAATGACTGCAGCATGTCAGGTACCCATACATCGCATCGCCGAACATAATAAGTTTACCGCAAAGCCGAGTACAGGCTGTCGCGGATCAGCATCGGGGTGCTGTTCATGGAAATGACTGGACGATTGCCACTAGGTTCTTCCACTCCTTCATCGTCCCAACAGTAGGATAGGCAGGCGTACGGAGGCGCATGTTCAATGTCGTACTCGTAGAGCGAGCACTTCATGCCCGTATCATCGAGAAACCTCAGGAGCCGAACGGAACTCAGCGGTAACGGCCTGTAGATGGCTGACATCTTCGCTATTGATGAGTCAATGTCATTGCCCCAAGCTGAGGTTGAAGCCATCCCCAAGCTGCAAGATCCCGCAAAGAGCTTCGGCCCCACTGTGAGTGCAGTGGTGGTCTGCACGAGACTTTGGTTTCACAATGGCTTCCCCTGTTAAGAAGTGATGAACGGTCCAACATGCTGACCAAGATCCAATTCAGCAGTAGACCCGTTAAGTTGACATCTGCACAGTCTGTGCTTTGCTGTTGGCGAAGTAGAGAATGTTGACCGATCCATCACTGAATGTGAGAAAGCAGGCTGAGGCGCTCGCCGGACAACTAACTAATTACTTCCAAGGGCAAGTGCTCATACCAACGCACGTATGAAATCGCTGACATACCATGTTCAGCCACGAGGAGTAATGTTGACTTCCGCAATAAATGCCAAACATGTGAATGATCTACTTCTCTCAACTAACATAAAGTCTCGACCGTTTTTAGGACTCTGCGTGGGCACTCTCAGCTCACTCTTTACGAAGTGGATATGACATTCTTCATGAGAACAGCTCTCATTACTGCCGGGCTATCAACCCGTCTCGTGCTTGCTACTCCACGAAACGTTCCCCCTAAGATCTCAGGCGACGTTCAGGTCCTAGGCCACACCTACGATTCCGGCTTTGGACAGCCAAATACATCGAACCCCAACGACCCTGGATTCGTAGGCATTGGTCACCCAAGACGCTCTGAATTTGGTCTTTAACTAGCGATGTTACACAGTACTCCGATGGAGGGGCAGGTGGTCTGGTCAACGGCTACCACATGCTTACCCTCAGTGATGCCAGGGTATACGGCCGAGGCGGCTTGGTACATACTGTCTACGCCTTTACCGATCCTGCAAGTTTCCTTTCATGCCAATTCGTGCTTGGAACCCATTCAGCTGACACCATGACAGGACAGCCCGACCAACATCACCATATTAGGAGACTACAAGGCCGATCCTCACTGGTTCTTTGAAGGCAATGGTGCCGGCCAAGGCGTAGTCCGATCGAATCCATCTGATGCCTGTCAGAACGAGAACTTTGGTCCGGCGCCTAATACGATGATGGTACCGTTGGAGGAAGGCAGCACTACTGGACTCAACGTTTGGAGCATCTACTGTGGGACCGTGCAATATAATACTCTCATTGAATGGGATGCCACAGATCTCGCGGGTCGTGTTGCCAACAACGAAAATATTCCAAACACTAGAACAGTGGATCGTCTATTCAACGTGAGAGACCCAGCCGTCTCGATAATATTCGACACGTTCGCTGACCAGCACCAGGCTTCTCAGCCACTGTATGGCACAGACGGTTTTGCGATCGACGACAAATACATCTACCTCGTCGCCCGCAACGATGCCGACTTCAAAATTGCTCGTGTTGAGAAGGACAAGCGAACAGATATCAGCCAGTACAAGTACTACTACCCGACTGCAGCTCAATGGAACGAAACGATCCCAGCCCCTGAAGACTCGTCCCCAGACGTCAACTTCTTCATCGGCACGGATCCCGGCAACGGTGTGCAATTCGGCTCAGATCTCTTCTTCTCGCCGTACTTCAATACATGGTTGCTCTCGTACTCGAGCGCTGCTTACGTCGGACTCTACAACTTAGCGTATTCCTCGACCGGGAATGTCGAAGGGCCTTATGAAGATCTCTCCGGGTTCTACGCCCCACAATTGGACGACGCATGCATGCAAGAGAGTCCAGGCCACTTGCCTCAGCAGGGCTATGCTCCTCCGGTCGTCTATCTCATGCACTCACATCCTGGGTATGATGCGAGCGGCAAGACGCTGGTTGTTGGGTGGATCAGCTGCAATGCAGTTACGAACTTTGCGAGGATCACGTTTCAGTAGCTGTCATGCATCTACAGAGGCCTTAATATGTATTTCGTCCATGTACTTATCGAACTTGAGAGCTGTATTGATCATGATGCAAGCATAGGGTTCCGATGGGTGCTAATGAAGTGAGACACGGACGACCACGTGAACGAGTGGACAAAGGCACAAATCAAAGACAATTGCAAGCAATGGAGATTGTGACCATAAGTTCCAGAAAGTTGTTGGCCCTTCGTCCCATTGTAATGTCTGATGCAAGCAAACACGCTGTGCTCGACATTAATATAGAATCCGTAGTTTATTGAACATCTACCTTCACTCATCCACATTCTGCAGCCTAGTTCAGCCATGTCCAAGCCTTATCATCGCGTCGGAGTAGGCTGTGGCGGTGTCTTCGAGTTCCCTCTCTCAACAGATGACGATGAACCAATCTACACCATCGGCACAACAGGCTGCAAGTACTGCGTCGGAATCTACGTTCCCCTGAGCGACACCAAATGCTTCGCCGCACACATCTTCGCCTGCTGCGACGACCCCGACGATCACAACATTCGAACAGCCAAACATGGTTATTGGGTTCCCAATGGCACTGAGGGGACAGAGCTTATCACGAAAGTTGGGGAGTTGCTGGATGAACATCTCGATGACTGTCTCGATGACGGTTACCTTTCGCCGGAACAGCTGACAGCCCTTGCGAGCCGAGCTATCGTTGTATGTCCATGTCTGAAAAAGAAGGTCGATGATGTCGACGAGCAAGAAATGGATGCATCCGGGGCGTACATCCTCGAAGCCTTGAATGCCTACTTCCACACCACCTTCACCGCCGAAAGCGCCCACGGCTTCGCAGTGAACCACAACACCGGCGAGTACGATCTCTTCAGATTCGCCGGATCAGGAGGGGTTGTCGAATTTGAGCCAGCGGGAGCAGAGGTATTCGCGCCGTTGAGTGGGTTCATGGCGTGGACAATGTGGCAGCCTGGTGGGCTTGGGAGCTTCGGAACGGGTTATAGAAGCTGAGATGGCTTCCGGCGAATGACTTTCTCACTTCAATTGCATGCCCTATTAGATGCATTTGATCCTATTGAATGTACCAATGAGGCAATTCTGAGAATCTTTGGGCGGTCAAGAATTCAGCTGCCTAGCGCCACGTTGACAAGGCTGACCAGACCTTCCCCTTTTCGATGTACGGCCGCTAGTCTCCTTGCTGTTCGCACTTGTAGCTGCAGCCACGCAAAATCAGGGTACTGTTCTTGCATTTACTAGCTCGCTGTTGCCCATTAATCTATATAACAGCCCACTCTACACCACACCCAACCCCCCTCTTCCAACAAACTCCAACCAAAACACCCCCCAAAAACCACCACAATGCCCCCCACCGCACCCTACACAATCGGCGTCCTAATCCAACCCAGCCTCCAACTCCTCGACCTCTCCTCCATCGACCTCCTCGGCATGCTCTCAAACACGTACCTCGACACCTGTCCACTCCCAGCCCCCCTCCTCGCCCTGAGCCACAAAAACGTAAAAATCCACTACATCTCCTCGCTAGGCTCCAGGGGCCTACAAAAATGCACCGCCGACGTGGTGATTCAATGCACGCATTCTCTGGACTCGGACGAGGTGGCGCCGGGGAAGCTGGATGTCCTGATGATCCCGGGCCCGGAGCCGAGGTATGTGCCTAGTGAGGTGGAAAGGGGATTTATAAGGGGGCATTATGAGTCTAAGCCGGCGAGGGGGAGGGGGACGGTGGTGCTGAGTGTTTGTACGGGAATTTTTGCTACGGCGTATGCGGGGATTTTGGATGGGGAGGTGGCGACGGGGCCGAGGGGGTTGCTGGGGGATTTGAGGAAGACGTTTCCGAAGACGAAGTGGGTGGAGAAGAGGTGGGTTGAGAGTGCGGGAGGGAGGATCTGGATTAGTGGTGAGTGAAGACCTAATCCGTGAGTTGAAATTTGGGCTAATGTGGCGTTGTAGCTGGAATCACCAACGGCCATGATATGGTCGCGGCGTATCTGCATTCGGACCATGCCAAAGCGCACGGCGTGTCGACGCAGCTTGCAGATCTGGTGCAGAGGATGGCGGATGTTGGGGGTAGAGGGCAGGAGTACGATAACAGCGGCGCGGGAGAGGGCGTTTGGTGGGTCTGGTTGATTCTCCGGAGTTTGTGGAAGGGGAAGAACAAATGATCGGTGAGGAATGATGGGTTTCCCGTTTGGTATATTCAGCGTCTCTGTGAGCCATAATACGTAAAGATACCTCTCAATTGTGCTGAAGTCGCTCACCAAGCCCAACTGCATCACAACTTCTCTTCCCAGAGATTACACCTCTCATTCGCCACATCGTCCCTCTGCATCCTGAGATTGCCGGTCGTGTTGAACACTTTCACTTGCGCAGCACTAGAGTACGCCGGCCAAGCTACAACATCTTTACCATTAGGATCGCCCGTCCTGGCGAAGTTGAGGAAATATCTTTGCATATTGACAGCGACTTGCACGCCAGCATCGTTGGACGAGGCGCCGCTGTAGTACGTGTAAGGGATGTCGGTGCCGTGGATGGCGGGCGGCACGGCGAAGAGGTAGGCATGCGTTAGGTTGTTGAAGGCCTGGATGGGGATGTTAAATTGAGTATTAATTTTAGCATGTGAGGGATTTACCTTGTCAAGATAGAAAGTGTTGCACGTAAAGACCAGTTCAGTGAGCGCCTTATCTGTCCTCCCAATCTGATCCGTGTAGCCCTGGCTTCCGTCAAAGACTCCTGGGTATATATTATTCGCGATGAAGTTGGAGATTACTCGCCGTGGCGACGCGGGCTGGGATCCAGCTGCCGATGACTTGCTTGAAGTAGGTGTCGTTCTGCACAAAGGGGTTGGTGAAGCCGATGCCCTTTTATCTGTATGTCAGCATCGCCATGATCAGCAGATCGATATTGAAAAGTCTCAACATACCTCATTAACATTATGCCCAACCACAACAGCAACACTCCGATCGAATTTCCCGTTCAAAAGCAACTTGGCCGCTAGATCCGGTGCAGACGTGCCATCTGCGGAAGGGCCATACGCGAATTGTCCATATGGAGCATTGTAGATCTGCTTTACATTCGCCACATGCACCGTCGTGAATGGCAACTGCCTCGCCTGCGCCACATTCGAGACGCCCGCCAGCTGCAAAAAGTTCGCATAGTCTGTGTTCCGTTGGCCATCGTTTATCTGGGGCTCCATGCCTGGACTTTGAATTATAGCTTTCTGGAAAGGGGCAGGTCCGTTGGCGCCACTGTATGCAGTGATTTGATGCATGATGGAGCCCCCTCCGGCACTCTCGCCGATGACTGTGACGTTTTTGGGGTTGCCGCCGAATTTGGAAATGTATGTCTGAACCCATTGGAGTGCGAAGCGTTGGTCGAGGAGCCCGCGTTGGCGTCGCCGCCGTCTTTGAGGAAGTTGTTGCCGGCGAGGAAGCCAAAAGCGCCGATTCGGTAGTTGATGGAGACGACCTGTCAGGTTGTACTTAGTAGACTGTTACGACATGGGTGGAGAAAACTCACAATAAGTCCATTTCCACCCTGCTCCTGATCCCTCACAAAGAACCCGGAAGGATTCAAATCTTTCGACCCAGAAACATAACCGCCTCCATAGATCTGGACCAATACCGGCACCGCAGGACCACCACTCCCTACACTATCCAGAACTTTCTTCGGGACATACACGTCCAAGAACAAGCAGTCCTCAGTCGTTCTCGCATCTGGAGTAGTATTCGGCGGTCCCGCAGGTGGAAAGTCAGAAGGATTGAACGTCGTCTTGCCTTGGCCGTAGTTGTATTGCTGCATGAATGAGCCCGTGATCGAGCCCCATGCTTCGCCTGCCTGGGGACATGACCAATGCTGGCCGCCCGTCTGGACTGCGGAGCGGTTTGATGGAGGCGCCTGGGGAGCTCTGAAGCGGTTGGCGCCGGTGGTGGAAGCAGCGTAGCGGACGTCATAGAAGAGGTAGACGTCGTAGGCGTTTGGTACGGTCGTTACAGAGGTTGCTTGCTGTAGATTGTAGCCTAGATCGATTACGGGCCCTGTCGCCGCAAGACATGAGGCTATGGACAGTGTAAACACTGCCGCTATAAGAGATGATGGAGCCATTGTAGGTAGTGGTGTCCGCGAAGAAGCAGCACAACGGGAAACTTGGCTAGAAGAAACATTGTCACTATTAAGGGAATTGCTCCTCCCCTCGCGCATTCAGCCTGAGCGTTGCCTCTGTACACATCTAACTCCGGATCACTCATCGCTCTGCATCGGACTCGATTGCCGCACATGAACTCTCGTCGTTCGCAGAGTTGCATGGCCCGGCTTTTGTTACGCATCAAGCTGTCGCATTAAGAGCTCTTGGAAGGTGGTTGAAGTCGAAGATCTCCACTCTGATCTCCACGGTACCTGCAGGACCGGCGACCGGATGGATTGCAGGAGCACCCATGCAACAATGCAATACAACGTTCTCCATCTTTTCGAAATGCTTTTTTGCCCGTGGAGAGAACACACCGCAGAGCACCAGATGTCATCATCTTCTTGAGTTCGGTCTGTCTGCCCGGTCTAGATTTTGTCACGGTTCGGTTTGGGAGGAGTCTGGAACTCTCTCTGTCTTGTTATTTGCCAGCCGTCCAGGAAATCCATGTGGAGTTTGACCACAGAGTTTGATGTCAAGGGTAAAGCCAGAGGTAGATCTGGCCAGGTAAGATGAAAGGCACGAAGAAGATGCCTGATGAATTTTGTAGAGTACGTTGCAGATTCATCAAAAGACATCCTTTGTGAGGTCTCATTAGTTCTAGTCAGTCCATCGAGCTCTGCAATCCAGTGAGCGCGCAACACTGAAATAACACGAAAAGTCCTCCCAAATACACCATAAAATGCAATGCTAGCATGCCCCTCATAATCGTTACATAAACCCAGTCCAAGAGGAAAGCTTTGCCATCACTCATATGTGAGCAAAAGTGCACCATGAAATGGCTCTTCCTATATTATCCACTCTCAAGCTGACATCTCGTGAATATGACTTGCCGGTCTCGTTGGAGTCTGATTCGATCGTTTCGAAGCCGTGTTTGCCAGTGGTGAGTATGAATGCGGCGACGCTACAGAGAGTGACGTTGACGGCCGTGAGTTTGGCCATTCCGAGACAGTTGTAGCAGACGTTGTTGGCCGTGATGAGTCTCCGCCACCTGGATGCCAGTAGAAGCCCACGGTGTAGCCTGCTAGACGCTTCATCGAATCTTCTTGCGGTACTTCTCCAATGAAGACATTGTGGCCAATTGCAAAAGCAAAGCAGTCTGGTCGTAGTTGGAGGACCTGGCAGCTAAGATGGCCGATGTGAAAGATCTGTCCGTCTCGAAATGCGCCTTCGAAGTGCTTGTTCCATTCGGGGCTTTGGCGATACTGGCGAGCGAACATGCGTTGGACACCGGAAATACTCTTGCCGGTGCAGATACGCGGCATTTGGCCCTTCTCATCACGTAGTTGGGTCCTGAGATACCATGACGAGGTCCGTTGAGCGCGTTCGGTATGTGTTTCGAGGATTCGCACACATCTGTACTGGTAATGGCGGATCAGTTCGAGGATCCTGTCGGCGGCAGTGGTCGAAATGGCGGCGTGGTATTGTTGGCTGTCCAAGACTGGATCGATAATGACGGCGTCCTTCGTGATGGGGTCAGCGACAACCCATTGCCAGGTGCCGGTGGATGTCTCGAAGATGGTATGGACGTGCGGCTCTTCGGGACTCGGGACAACTTCTGGCGGCTCCATGCGTGCAGAGTGGCAGATTGAGTTGGGATGGAGGCGGTGGCGTCGGGCCCCTAGCAGCGGCGGAGAGTGCCGAGCAGGATCCAGCAAAGCTTGTCTGGGTGAGCAGCAAGTGAATGTTCAAGGCGCAGCGGTGGTGGTGCAGAGCTGGTGGTGGTGCTGTCACGGCGAGGGAGAGGTGGTTTTTCGTCGACGTTGCTGGCGTCTCCTTTCTCAAGTCTGGTGCGACCGCGGAACGTGAAACAAGTCTCCGTCCTGAGACATTGCCGACCGGAGTGACCAGGATGCTCGGGAGCCGCCCTCCAATCACGACGTGCAATCTCGCGTGCAGCATGCTTCACCTCGCCTATGCGGCGCCGTACTTATATATCATCCATCTAATAACTCGCAAGGGCGACGATGGCCAGAGATGTGTGCAAACATGTTCCCCAGACGCAACAACCATCCTCCATGCCATGGACCGACGCCTTGTCGCTCTTTCGGCAGCCTGACTGGACTTGGCTATGATGCCTCACACACCGGCAGATCTGCTTTCGTCGCCTCCGCCGCGAAGCAAATTGTGTCTGCACATTTCATCAGTCTGCCGTCTCCAGCGTGTCGCCGGCACACCCTCTGCTGCTCACCGATATATCTGCCACACCCCATCTTCGACTCGTCGCTGCCAGAATGCCTCGCAGCACAGTTCTCTGATCAAGACATTTTCTCCGGCCGACCTTGCGTACTCGCGCATACTGAAATATACTTCTGCTTCTCGAGTCCCGCGGTGCACTTTGGCAGTGATGTTGTGCAGTTCAAAAGCCAGGTCTGCCGTTGGATAACCTTTGGCATATTGCTCGGCGCCGTCGGCAATGTTGTTTGGAGATCCCGTCATGATCAAGTTGGGGTGGACGTGCTTTCGGAACAGGTCAGACTCCAGACATTGTGATCCGGCCTTGAAGTCGGCGGCGAGTGCGCGAGTAAGATGTTCGAGATATGCGGCCGTCGTCTGGCCTTGAGGTATCCACGGACTGGCAGCGCCGTCACTCGACGCTGCTTCTGATTGATCAGGACTGTGAGCGTCCAGTAACAGCGGACCTCCTTGCCCCGATGCGGCGAATGTAGGACCGTGGTCTAGGCAAGTATGCTGCTCAACCGGCGAGCAGCAAGCTCATGTCCCACCACGGACATGTCTCCGGGGAGCTTCAAAGTTGCCTACAGGATAATACGCGCCGTCGCTGCTGGTCTGCGAGGTCAACAGGTGGCTTGGAGACCCTGAAGCCAACATCATGCTTCTGCAACTCAATTCACCAGCCCGTGAAGAATCCTCCACCGCGGACAGAGGAGTGCCTACGCGAGGGTAAGTCAATCGTTTGTGCCTGTGTCATCAGTAGCATACCGGTAAACTTTCCACACCCACCCATCTTCCACAGACCGTGCCCAGTGCAAGATGGAGACACCTTCCCTACTGAAGCTCTTGCCGTGCACCACCCCTCGTTCATGAACCGTCATAAACACTACCGCCCTCTTACCGCCCTTCTGAACCTTCACCGAAACATTGGTCACATCGTGTAGGAAAACCCCTCCACTTTTGGTGTGCGGTTCAATAGCATGGAAAAATTCCTCGCGGTTGCCTACATATGGGAACGGGCAGTCATGCTCTGCGGAATCCGCCATCTTGAAATCCTGATGCAGATGCCGTAGGACGAGCGGCAATGACTTTATGCTTGGATTGTGAAGTTCCGCCGCGATTCGCAAGGTTAGGTCTTCTAAGTATGCTGCTGTCGACTGATGATCTTTCTGCCACTGGGTGTCTACAGAACCGTTGGGCTCCCGGTTCGTAGAGGCTGGTGGGCGGTGGTCTTGCTCCGTCCGCGGGACGCAGGCATTCTGCATCACATCCATTGAATAAACAGGTATATGGCTTGAAGGGTAAAGGGCGCATTTGCTGACTTGTCACGGCGTATGAGCCTCTTTCAAACCGCCTGCCCAAGATATAAGCTTGGAAAGGCAAGTCGCAGCAGTGGATAGTAAAGCTGCTTTAAAAGCTACTCGACTCAGTGCATGCACTCAATGCTGGGATTCAAGAGCCGGATGTCCAGTCAGCGGCAGGCATATCCTGGCTACTCGTGTTACAAGCAATGATCCAATAGTCACCGCCCTGCGGTAGTGGATCATTGCTCAAAAGCAACACGAGTAGTATTGTATGAACAACCAGAGAGCGGATCGATGTACTTCAGAAATATAGTTGACTTGTTACGAGGCGAACTCTGTGGCGCTGGAATGCGACTGACAAAGCTTTCCATGGTGCTTGCAGATGCTATAAAGGTGAAAAGAAGGTGGCCGTGTAGTCAAAGGCTGCTTTCGAGACAAAGGGCGCCAGGATCGGAATGAACGACAGCCTGTATTTGCTCTCGACTTCTCCGGGGAGGATTCATCCCCTGCCAGGACTAAGTACAGCATCGAAGTGCCACGACACTCTGGTGAGGCATTGGTCTATCTCTCTGGCCCGTCTTTCTGAACCATCAGTATTCCACACAATGCTCGCACGTGCAGGCCACATCATCGATATCTTGGCGCCCAGCGCCACTGGCCGATCGAACTCTCGGACAGCTTCGTGTGCCATCATCGTGCGACTGTACGAGGCATCAAACTGCCTCAAAACGCTCATCGCGATGACGAGTGCAGTCCAGAGAGTAAATGCATGTCGTGCATGCAATTGGTCGGTTTATGAATAGCAGAGCGTGCGTAATCCTGCCTCATTTGCGATCAAAACGCCAAGCTGGATTGGGAAGCCACGGCTGATCGGCGTTTGGGAGTTCAACGGCTGCTGACTTCACCCTTTCTCGACTTCACCTCTCTATCGACCATGGTACAAGGCTGGACTTCTAGCATTTGCGGAAGATCTTCAAAGTGAACGCGAATATGAGCTCACTGATTATAATCATTCTCGACGGATGGCTCGCATTGAGTAGAATGCATCCACGCGCCGAAGCATTACCTCCTTTACCCGGCTGAAGGCACGTCGAAGGTTTGCAGCAAAACGTGAGCGTTGAGATATAGCAGCCGTTTACCATGCGGATCTGCACTAAATGTTCGACAACAAGACGGCAGCTCAACTTCTTCGCGGGATGCGGCATGAAACGACCTCCGTACGAATATGAATATACCCCAATCGTCGCCGCGCTCTCAGACCTGTCGGAGGTAGGTCAACTCATCAACCTCGCAATCATTGTCATTGTCGTCGTCCTTCCTTTGACTATCGCTGGTCCTTCGTTCATCCAGTCACAGTCAAAGCGACACAACATCAACCGCCAAAATGCAGACCTTTACATCACTTCTTATCAGCTTTCTTCTGGCCACGGTCACTTTCGCCTCTCCGATTTTCCCGGCAAGGCCTATTCGCAAAGACCTGAAAGATCTTGGACATTCTGTTGGCAGCGTCGTCGAGGACGCTGTTACTTCACCTGAGGAACCTGAGAGTTATAACAAGCCTGCTTCTTCTGGATGGGCTGCACCTTCAACTTGGAAGGGCGACAAGGAATGGCATGCTACTGGCAAGGTGCCAGCTCCTTCTGCACATGTGCCTGAGCACAAGGCATCGCAATGGCACGCCACTGGTTTCGCTGCACCTTCAGCACATGTTCCTGGACAGCACGCCCCCCAGGGAACTGGCGTTCCACACAAGATGCCAGTCGTGAAACCTGAGAATGCCTCTTTCCCCGCCCCTACCGCCCCACAGTCTGCTCACGGGACTGGATATTCTCACAAGGTCGAGCTCTCCACCGGATTTGTTCCACAAGCAACCGGCTTCCCTCACAAGAAACTTCAAGTCAACTCCACCGTCGGCGTTTGGCTATCAGGGGCCGCTCACCCATCTGGTGCATTCAAACCGTCGGGTGCCGCTTGGTCATCCATTAAGACTCTCTCTACCGGCGCTATTTCTGTCCCTTCTGGCAGCAAGCCCGACTTTAAGATCAACGCGACCAGCGTTCGGCCTTTCGCCACCGGCACAGCTTTCTCGACACCGAAGCTGTTCTCGACTGGCACCGCCTTCACTGTTCAGGTTCCCTCGGGAACTGCACCATCGGTCCCGTCCGCCGCCAATGCGACCACTCCAGCGGTAGTGCTTCAAACTGCGCCCACTTCCATCGTCCTCTCCACTGGAAATTTCCCGAGCCTGCCCAGTAATGCGACGACCGCTCCCGAACTTCTGACTGCGACACCATCTTCGATCGCCCTCTCGACCGGCGCAGTTCCTAGCGTGCCTGCTCCGGGTGTGTCCGCAAATACTACCACTGCTGTTCAGCTCTTGACTGCTTCCTCGCCATCTGTCTCTTTGGCGACGGCTCCAACTTCTATTGCACTGGCCAACACGACTCTGTCTTCGTTGGCTTTCCCCACGGCGCCTTCGTCCTCGGTTGTCCTTGCAACCGCACCAACCTCCCAGCTTATTATCCCAACTGCGCCTTCGTCCTCGATTGTGCTCGCAACCGCACCATCTTCTCTAGCAATCGCAAACGCTACCTCAGTCCCCGTCGAATTGGCAACCGCTTCCTCGCCTTCGGTTGCACTGTCGAGCCCTGCCGCTAATTTGACCACACCGACCTTCCCAAGCGCCACCGCGCCTATCTCCAAATCTATGGTGCTCGAGACTGCTCCGGTGGGCGAGTTGTACCCCAGGGTTTCAGCATCATCCATTGCGTTCAGCTCCCCCAGCGCTGAATTGCCCTCTGTCAAGGCGCCAGCCTCGACTGGTGAAGTTCCTCACTTGCAGGCCTCTTTCACCGCACCAAGTGGCATCGCTCCATCTGCTCACTTCGAAGCACCGGCCTCAACCGGCGTCGAAGCTCCTCACAAGACTGTTTCGCCGGCCCCTACTGGCGAGCTCTCACATCCGACGGAGAACGCACCCTCCGTTACGAGCTATTCTCACATGCACATTGCAACGGCACCTGCAGAGGTCATTCGACCCTCTGAAATTTCCTCTTCCACGACATGCACCGAGTCCACTGCCGCCCCGTCCGCAGCGGCTCCATCCTCTCCAGCCTTCCAGCACTCCGCCGAGACGAAGGAAATCGTCCACAAGTCTCCCGGCGCTCCTTGCTCGCCCGACGAGAAGCTTCAATGCAAGGGCGAGTCGATGTACGGTCACTGCCAGTACAACGACGGCCACTGGCGCTGGTACTGGACCGACGTCAAGGATGGTCACTTCTGTAAAGAGGGTGCCATCCACAAGGACTCCAGCAGCTGGAGCTCTTCCTCCTGGTAGAAGCGCACTTTGATATCCGCTTGATATTACTGTTTTGAACTGGATTGCCCAAGCATGGCGTGGCGTAATCACTGGAAAATCACCTTCACGATACTACCTACTTATTGACCTTCACGGATTACGAAAACCCAGACAGATTACTACTTGCTGCTTTTGAGCAAAAGGATTTTGACGACTTTCTGCCCGATCTCGCCCCGGGGGGCTATGAGAACAACATCAATGTATAGACCTTAATGTTTTGACGGGAATTTTTGAGATTACTTTTTGGCAAATCGGATGGAAACGACGAACGGTGCTTGGGCATTTGGGAGTTTTTCTGATTTTGATAGTCTTGCAGATGTTTTTTGGATATTGGAAATGACCGCCTGCAACGATCCAAGACCTTGTGCTTTACTTGCTCTTTTCCCCGTCGTCCTCTCTCTAACATACCCATCCCCCATCGACGTTATACACAGCGCCCGTCACAAAGGAAGCCTCGTCGCTCAACAAGAAAGCAATCACATTCGCGATCTCGATCGGCTCTGCCCTTCGCTTCTGCGCGGTAACCTGGAGGCCTCGTTTCACGTGCTCGGGGTCCTCGCCTCGAGACATCGGGGTATTGACAGATCCTGTTCGAGACAGAAGTTTATCAGACACAATAGGTGAGAGAGTGATAGACGCGGATGAGACAACTAACCAGGCGACACACAATTCACCCTAACATGCTGATTCTCCTTCGCAGCCGTCCTCGTCAATCCAATAACTGCTGCTTTCGAGCCACAGTACGCTGCGTTACCTGGAGCGCCGAATTGGCCGAAGGTGCTGGCTGCTGACACCTACAGCTTTTCCGTCAGCCTCGTCTTTCGTTCTGGGTGTAGAAGATGGGAACGAAGACTCACGATACTCCCCTTCTCCCCAAGCTCCCTCAACTGCGCCCTCAAACAATTAAACACTCCCCGCGCATTCACCGCGAACGTCAAATCCCAATCCTCATCGCTCATCTCAGTGATGTTCTTGGCCGGTCTGATGATCCCGGCCATGTTCACCGCTCCATCCAGTCGACCGAAACTCTCTACAGTCGACTCAATCCAGTAGTCTACGGACGCAGAGGACGTGACATCACAGACGGCGTGCATATGTCTTTCGAGACCTCCCTGGAGGGAGGACGTTGCGGTTTGGAGCGTGGTTTCGTTTATGTCTGCGAGGGAGATGATGGCGCCGCGGCAGGCGAGGAGTTGGGCTGTTGCGAGGCCCATGCCGGAGGCGGCGCCTGTTATAGCGATCTGGGAGGGTTCTGTTCAGTTACTTGTCCTGTCTTTTGATGATTGCTAAGTAAACTTACAACTTTGCCTTCGAATGAGGATGTCATTGTGAGGTTGCCTGTCGCTGATTGTGACTGCAGCGAGGCTATTGGTGCTTGGGCCGACGACGTTGAGTATCAGAAGGTCAGAGATATGGACAGGAGGACCTCCACTTGTCGAGAGCTCTTGAGGACCCACATGATTTTGGGTTTTGTTCAAAGAGGAAGGCTACCCCAGCCTTGTACCAGGATCTTGTTCGCGGTACCGAAGCAGCTCTTCCAGATTGTGCAGGTCAGCTCTTTGCAGCGACAGATTTCTTCGACTTCTGCTGCTCGGTCAAGGTACCGTAACCCCGGTAATCGCACCAGCCTGCTTCTCCATCCACACATCCTTGATACTAGCCAGCTTGGTAGTAAAAAGGGGCAGTCCGCTATCTCGTGCGGCTCTCTCGAACCACTCCAAGAACGATGACTGCATCGTCGGCTCCTCGGCTTCGCATGCCGCTACATGAGCTGGCCAGACAAGTCTCATCGACGCAAAACCTCTCTCTGTGTTCGAACCTTCATACCGCAGCAAGCAATCTCGAACGCTCGAAACTTCGTGCTGGAGCATCGAACGATCGACATCGTGAATCTTGCGATAGAAGAATATGACAAGAGCATGATACGTGGCTTCGATGAGATGGGCCAGACCTGTGTTCGGAGTTGGAGTTGGAGGGCGCTGGAGCAAAACCATCCTTTCGATGGCCTTGGCTCTTTTCATAAACGTCTTGAGATCGAGATTAACTGGAGCGTCTTCCAGCTCTTCGACGTCTCGCTCTCGCGATAGCCTGATGATCAACGAGACGAGGAGTAGATGCACTTCTGGCACGCCAAAGATCTCGGGGTAAAGCGTCTCGAGCCACGTCCCAGGGATCTGCAGATGCAGGTCATTCTCGCCAGACTCGCGATCTTTCAGTACAAGCATGTCCGTTTCCAGATTCTCCCATCTACTCAGCCGGAAGGACAGGCTATCTTTGCTATAGGCACTGGCACCACTGTCCTCGATAACCCGTCGTACATGGTGGTAGTACTGATTCGCAGGATTTCGAACGAGGGTGCTCTCGAAGAAGATCCTCTCATACGCGTAGCAATGATGTAAGAGTCTGACTTTCCTCGATTTCCTGCGATTCAGCCCTCTCATGCGGATGAATTTCTCTGCCTCCAGGAGAAAGTACTCGGTCTGGTCTTGCTGTCCGGCCACGATCGACATCTGTGCCATGGTAAGGAGAGCCATCAGTTTCGTCTTATACTTGGCTTTCTTCGGCCTGTCATATGCAGTCTCCAAAGAAGCCTTTGCGTGTTCGTAAGCCTTTTCCCGGTATGTATCGCTCTTTCGTGCCCAACTGTTGGAGTCCGAGGCACCGCTGAGGCTGGAAGCACTGATCGCTAGAGTTCCGTAGAAGACGCACAAAGTAGCTCGGTCCACCTCATCCTGTAATGCGAGTCCAGCAAGGCAGTTCTTGACCAGTGGGACGAATAATATATGCCATGGAGTCTTGCTATGATGGAACGGCGTCATGGCTTTCAGAACATTATTCAAGTAGTGCTTTAGCAAGACCCACGCACTTTGTGGAATGTCGATTTGGGCGCAGGTCACGGGCGTGATGGATCGGGAGATTGTGAAGTGGCTCTCAGGGCGAGTATCGCTTGAGTTGCACGGCCTGGTATTGTCTGGCGCCAGGAGCGGCATGTGAAAAGGTTCGAAACGCATTGTCGGATCAAAGTTGTCGGGGTCTAGGTTGGTGAACCCATCAAAGCCTGTTGCAGCGTCCCAGAGAGCCAGGTCAAGTTCGTAGGCGGAACTCTCAATCAAAGAGTCCAACGCAGCCTGCGTGTTGGGGGACATCAGGGTGTTGACAGCATGTGGCACTTCCTCATCGACAGCATCAATTGCGCCAGCCACTGCACCATGAGCGACCACACAAGGCGGTGAGTCTGTACCATCCGCGTGGGACTCGCTCAGGACTCTGAATGCTCCGAACGGACCATGATGGATATCAACCTCTTCCAGATCTGGAATGCCTTCGCACTGACTTTCGATCTTCGAGATGTGAAAATGTGCCAAGTGTGAAGGCACGAGCGACACGATCTTTTCGGTCATTTCCACTCTTTGTGCCAAAGACAGCATCGTTCGTCGGTAGCGAGGGGCTTGCCCTCCGGCCACGACATCGTCTGAGTCGAAGGAAAGGCTCGCTTCGTACCCACATACTATACCTGCTTCTCTGCACCTGGAACAAATGGGTCGAGCTTCGTCACACTTGATTCTGCGGCCGCGACACTAGAGTGACGGCTGTTAGCGAGGTGTAGACAGCCTTGCTTGATTTGAGACGTACGGTGGCACATCCACCAAATGAGCGTGTTCGCTTGCCATTGCCTGCGCTGCTGTGTGTAGCGCCCTCCATCTGGAATCAAGCAAGACATCAGCGCTCGATGAGTGCTGTCACTTGCTGCTCGTGCGGAGATGGGAAAGTCATAGCAGATTAGTGCTGATCACACGTTGTGTTTCTAGATCTTGTCGGCGGCAAAGCTCAAGTCTGATAACGAGAAGGAAAGCTCTTTTCATATAGGCAGGCGTCGGCATCTGACGGGCCGAAGTTCTTCCTGGCCGAAAACTGCCTCTTTGAGAAGCGTCACATGACTGCCTCGCTGTCATTGGTCGAATGTCTCTATCAGGAGTCCAGCCTTGCCGACCACTGTCGAAAGCGCTTCTGTTGCTCTCGGGTCCTTATCTTCGATAACTCCCAAGCAGCAGTGCCGCGAGGTCTGGATGACGCCTCCAGGATACTTGATGATAAGCCACGGCTGGGCGGACAGCTTTGGCGCGTAGAAAGGAGACTTCATAATGGACGTGATGCTCCCTCGTAGTCCGTCTCCGTACTGTAGAACCATCGTTTCATCAGTACGTGATACGTGGTCTTTTTCAGAGCTTTACTCTCAACATGGCCTCTTCAACGTCCTCACATGGTCACATATACGCGACATACAGCAAAGAGAAGACAACAGACAATGTCAACGACCTCACACAAGTGGAGAGCTGCAAGGTCGGAGAGACCATAGCCACACACGCCGGCACCAATAGACGTATCAAATCTCGTCATGCTCAAATGATAGCCATTGGAGGCTCTATCGGCACCGGCCTTTTCGTCGGTTCAGGACAAGCTCTCGCAATGGGCGGACCTGGCTTCCTGCTCGTGGCATACTGCTTGACCTCACTCCTCGTGTATGGTGTCGTTACTGCGGTCATCGAAGTAGGCGCATACCTACCTGTTGAAGGGGCGTCCATGGCATACTACTGCGGCCGATATGTTTCGAAATCACTTGGATTTGCTTTGGGCTGGTTGTACTTCTACTCGTTCGGAATCAATGCCTACGAGATCACGGCTGCTAGTATCGTCATAAACTACTGGCCGAATGATGTTCCTGTTGCGGTCTGGATCACAATCATGTTGGTCATTATCGTCGCCTTGAACTTGTCTCCGGTGGCTATCTACGCGGAGACAGAGTTCTGGTTCGCGGGAATCAAGGTGATAATGCTCATCGGCCTCCTCATACTCTCGATCGTCCTAATGTTGGGAGGTGGTCCTAACCACGATCGAATCGGTTTCGTTATTGGAACAACCCTGGTGCCACGAAACCGTACCTCGTGGCTGGATCTGGAGGAGAGTTTACATCCTTCTTGTATGTCTGGGTGTTCGCTGGCTTCAGCTTTTACTTTGGGCCAGAGCTCATGATCTTTATGACTGGCGAGATGTACAACCCGAGGAAGAATCTTCCGACTGCGGCCAGGAGATTCTTCTATCGACTGATTGTAAGGGTTTCATCAAGTCAAAGATATGACCTCAAGACGTGCTAACCAGATTCCTAGTTCTTCTACGTCCTGGGAGCAATAGCCATTGGTGCTATCTGCAACTCCAACGCGAAGAGCCTGACTTCAGGACAAGGCAATGCCAATGCTTCTCCTTGGGTTGTAAGTGCCATGCTCATCGTCCTAGATTACAGACGTAGTTACTGATGAGAGACAGATCGCCATCCAAAACGCCGGCATCTCGGTCCTCCCATCCGTTGTCAATGCCGGCATCCTCACAAGCGCCTGGAGTGCCGGGAACTCATACCTCTTCATGAGCAGCAGAGCCCTCTTCTCCCTCGCAGTCGCTGGAGACGCCCCTCGTATCTTCGCGAGATGCACCAAATACGGCCTGCCGATATACGCCGTTGCAGCAAGCAGCTGCTTTTGCCTGCTTGCCTACCTGAATGTCAGTTCGCAAGCCGGCGAGGTCTTCAACTGGTTCATCTCTTTGACCAATACGGCGGGATATACCTCGTGGGCGGTCTGTTGTGTGATATTTCTACGCTTCCGGAAGGGCTGCCAGGCTCAAGGAGTCGAAGTCGCCTATTCGTCTCGCTTTCAACCATACGCTGCATGGATCTGTCTCCCGACCTTCGTCTTTCTGCTGCTGTGTAACGGATTCACGGTGTTCTATCCAGGGCGCTTTACGGCAAGCTCGTTCTTGACTACGTATTTAGGAATTCCAGTATTCTTGCTCCTATGGATCGGACACAAGTTGCTCTTCAACAGGAAGGAGAAGTGGATGTATGCACCAACGGAGCTAGACCTTCACACCGGGCTTCGCGAAGTGGAAGACAGTGAAGAAATGCAGGTCAATGAGGAAATCGATAATGGAGGCAAGCCAGGAAATAAAGCGATCAAGGCCGTGAAGGCTATTTGGGAGTGAGAGCTATTGTTACTTGTTACGTTACCATGGTGTACTGTACACACACAATAAACGATCACACTTGACCGACCACGCATAAACGAATGCTACTGCCCTTGAAAACACCTATGTCGAGGACGTAAGACCCTCCCGCAAGCAACAAAATGACACCGAGCATTGGCAATAGCTGATTTCCTCGAGAAAATCATAGCTGACTGCTACTATGCAAGAAAATGCAAGAAAAGGGTAGAGAGCGGAGTACTGGATCCCAAAAATGCAATGGAAAAGTGCTAGGACCGCTGAGTATTGATTTCGTCACTGTCGATCTGACAGTTTCGCTAAGAAAATGTCAACCCCTTGTACCCGCTCTCCTTACACTCCTGACATCTTCTCCGATACTCAATCGCACTGCCCGAGTACCTCACCACACTCCTCACAGTCTTCCCCTTGACATTCTTGTTGATCCCCGTCATCCAACTATCCACTTCGTTGATCAACACCGATGCCTTGCCACATTCAATAACATGATCGGTCCATTCATCAACAGCCTCCTCCGTCGGCTCCACGTACGTATAGTCGTGCTCTTCACAATAATCCAGCATGTTGGTGATGACTTCCACGGCATGCTCGATGCTTCTTGTCGCATTGCCGAACGGTTGATGTGGGCCTAACACCATGAACATATTAGGCATGGAAGGGACGGTCAATCCTAAGAATGTTCGTGGTCGTTGATCGACCCAGATTGCGTGCTCCGCTCGTGGACTATCTTCTGTCGATGTGAGAGGCCTGTCTTCTTTAGCGTGCCAGTCGATAGCGTTGAATGCTCCGGTAATGGCGTCGAATCCAGTGGCGAAGATCAAGATGTCAAGTTCATGGTCGACGCCATCGCTCGTGCGGATGCCGCTGGGAGTGACCTGCTCAACTGGCGTCTTCTGCAGATCGACCAGATGGACGTTTGATCGGTTGTAGGCTTCGAAGTAGCCGCTTTCGAGCGGGACTCGTCTCGTGCCAAAGCCGTGGTTCTTGGGAATGAGGCTGTCTGCCACGGCAGCATCGTGGACTCTCTGGCGAATCTTTTCCGCCATGAAGTCAGAGTACAGCTTGTTCGCTTCTCTGTTGGTGTACGTGTCGCTGAAGACACCAAGCCACTTCGCAAAGCCAGGCTCGGAGTACAGCTTCTCCCATAAAGCATGTCTCTCATCTTTGGATATGTCCAACGACTTCCGGGGATCGGCAGCGTGGAGGAAACAAGTGGGCGTCTCAGCACATCTCGCAAACAGGTTGTCATATCCAGCTTTGTGCTTGGTCATTTCCTCAGGAGTGATTTCAGAGTTGTGCAACGGAGCCGACCAATTTGCCGTTCGCTGGAAAACAGTCAAAGATTTGATCGATGGCTCCTTCGATACTGCTGTGATCGTCTGAATTCCCGTTGCTCCAGTGCCAATGACTCCAATGCGCTTGTTGGCGAAGTCTCGGCTGAGATCGAGATGGGCAGGCCAGCGACTGGTGTGAAATGCGTCTCCGGCGAAGTCACGAATGCCAGGGATATCGGGCAATGTGGGAGAGGACAGAAATCCCAAGCACGAAACGAAGAATCTAGTCTTGTGTTGTTCGCCAGCCTCGTCAATGAATGTCCAGTATCGTTGTGCTTGGTCCCAACATGCTGACTTGATGCGTGTGTTGAACTGTATGTCCTTATACAAGTCGTGCTTCTGAGCAACATGCTTCACATAGTTATGAGTTTCGGCTTGAGTCGCAAACTGCTCCTTCCAGTCCCATTCTTCGAGAAGCTCCTTGTCGAAAGAGAAGCAGTACGAAAGTGACTCAGTATCAATGCGGCATCCTGGATATGAATTCCTGTACAGCCATCAGAAATGGCTTTCTAGATTGGCTGAGTTTGCACGCTTACCAGTACCAAGTACCTCCAACGTCGCCTCCTGCTTCAAGAGCTTTGACTCGCCACGACGGAAATCGTTTGCGGATTGAGTAGAGGCTGTAGAGCCCAGAAAGGCCAGCTCCGAGGATGAGCACGTCATGCATGGTGTCAGGTGATTGTTGGGAGGACGACATGCTCGAAATTAATATTCAGCAGAGGTGTTGTAGGACAATAACTTCGATGATTTGGAAGAGCACGGGGACCTCTTATCTGTTGTGAAGCTCGGCAGCGCAAGCTGTGAAGGCAATCGGATCAAACCTTGACAGTTGCAGCGAGTTAGCAAGAGTCGACATGCTGGTCCATACTCAATAACCGCGCCCCTTCTTAGGCTGATAGTTGCTGTTCGAGTGGCGAGCTCTTCTCTGGTAGTGTATCGAGCTTGATACGGGACCGGCCGTGACTTGCCTCTTTGAAAAGCTCCCTTCGAACTGCTCAGGGGCCAAGAACCCGAGTCTTTTCATGGTGGGCCGATGGTTCGAAGATATTGAGAGGTACTTCATCTGGAGAACTGCTTGGTGCCTCAGTCCTGCTATTCAGCTGAAATCACCAATTCGTTCTGTTACTACTCTCCTGGATCTGATTATTTCGTCAAGTGATGGACGTTCCAGGCTTCGCATTGATCACTGGCGCAGCTTCCGGCATTGGCAGAGCCTGTGCTCACGGTTTCGTGAAGGAAGGCAGTTCGGGCGTTGCTCTCCTCGATGTTAGTCTCGAAGCACTGGAGAACGTACGAAGCGAACTACAAGCCTTGCAATCGAAATCGGGAAAAGAAAACGACGCCCCAAATGGCACAAGCCATAGCTCCGAATGCCAGATCGAAATCTACCAGGTCGATGTGACAAGCGAGACTCAAGTCGTGAATGCTGTCAATGATGCAGCCAGCAAGTTTGGTCGCCTCGATTACGTCGTAAATGCAGCCGGAATCGCAATGAAGCATGCCGGCGGTGTGGCTTTCGCAGAGACGAACGACTGGCAGCGCATAATCGATGTGAACTTGACCGGGACTTTCTTCGTACTTCGGGCTGCAGCAAAGATCATGCTTAACCAAGAGCCAATTCGTTCGTCAATCAACGGACGTCCATTGCAACGAGGCTCCATCGTCAACTTTTCATCCATTCAAGGCGTCGTCGGGATAGCACAGTCAGCGGCGTATACTGCCACGAAACACGGCATCATGGGGCTTACTCGATCCGCATCCGAGGACTACGCAAAGGACGGATTAAGGATCAACGCCATTCTGCCGGGATACACCGAGACGCCATTGACGACCAAAAATCCACAGATCCTGGAGGCCATGAAGCAGCGAGTGTCCACAGCTGTACCAATGGAGCGGATGGGCCAGCCAAGTGAGATTGCCGATGGGGTGCTTTACTTGGCTGGAGGAAGAAGTTCATTCGTGACCGGGTCTGCGCTGGCTGTCGATGGAGGCTATACTTCGAGATGAGGTGAACAATGCAGGGCGGTCGAAACAGTCAAGTAGTCGAGTTCTGGGGCCTTGGCAGCATTTCAAGAAGGTGTCTGGTATGGCATAACTACGAATTATATTTAGCACAGAGTCAATGTCTCGTTTGCCCTCGAGAGAAAAACATTAGCTTTTATTTACGTTCCTATGCTTACAACTTGGTTTTGGCGATGATGAACAAACTCTCGGCCTCGGCGTAAATCTTTCCCTCGCCATCCTCCATTGTTCCCTTGATCCAGGCTTTCCTGCCCTCCCACTTCTCGCAATAGCATCGGAGCAGCACCACACCTGTCCAACCATTAGTACTTATGACCACAGAGCACAGGAGTTGACTTACTCGGCGTCGGAACAGCAGCCTTGTACTTGATGAACGAATGTGCTGTCATGAAAGCTTTATCGAGAACTTGCAGTGCTCCAAGAGATAGTCCTTCGTCGAAAAGTGTAGCGATGGTACCGCCGTGTGCCAGTCCAGGATGACCATCCAAGCCGTGACCCATACTTGCCACCAAGAGCGCTTCTTTCTTCTTACCATCGTCGGTGTCAGGATTCTAATACTGAATGTCAGCTTTGAGTGTAGCTTCCCTTAGAACTTCTTCGCTCATACCTCGTTTTCCTTGACAGGTCTCAGTCGCAAAAAAGACTGGCAAGCACGAAGGCTGTGTAGAATAAAAAGTCAGCTGGCCGATTCTCTTGCTCAAATGTGGAAGTGCATACGTATCCAGTGTAGCGAGAGTTCGATTGAACAGCGAGTGCAGGGTGGAATTTCTGGTGATGGTCCTGGATTGGAACGGAATCTCCTTGCACTCGGGGTCATTGACGATGTCTTGGACCCACTGAATCTTGTCGAAGTCGCCCAGACACTCCTTGGGCATCTCAGTGGCGAGCCATGCTCCCGGTGTCGCCATATTTGCTGTTGTTTAGCTCCTTTCAATCTCAGGCGACCCGTTTTCAGGCGTCGGAAGGATCTCTAGCTTGTCCTGATATCTATACGGATAGGTCTTTTAAACAAGAAGAGACACTCACATTGGAGGCTCAACAGTAACGACACTAATTCTGGACCATCAGATCTAACCTCACCGACGCCGTCGAGCATCATACACAGTGCGGAGGCCATTGTTGTTCGCTTGCCTATTTGGACCTATGCCGTAGGATGAGCCCGAGGTCAATGGTTGCTTCTCTCTTGGCGAAAAGCTTTGTGGTTGATGAGAGAAGAAGAGCAGATCTCGATGCAGAGTGACGTGGTAAGATTGCCTCGGATGAGAAGCTGGTCTGTGCCGAGCCAGTCAAAGTGAATGAAACGGGGTAGGCGCTAGCGGATGTTTGCAGGAAACGCAACGGTCGTGCTGCAGCCCATGCCCCGGCCAGCCTCTTTCTCCGAAACGACTTCACCCTGCCCTTTCCTCTTCATGATACGCGACTTGACGGCGCCCCAGCAACTAAATCTTTCCAATCTCGTCATCCCAAATGCCAGAGTTTAACAAGGACGCTGGACTTGTCGTCGTGGCCATAAGACCCACCAGCGGCGGTGGGGAAAGAAGGAAGACGCGTATTTGGAAGAATGTCAAGAGCCGCTTGAGAAGGAGGCAGTTGTCGCGAAGAACTATAACTTCGCCAGCTCGAGCGAATCCCCATGAAATATCTATGACGAGATGACGAGTGGATCTGTTTTTGCGATGAAGAAAATCTTAGATGTAGAGTCCTGCTTCCAGCGTGGACCCCGAACAGTAACCTCTGCGCCCTTCCAGCGACCCAAGTCTTACGGCAAAGGATACGCCGTCTCAGCAGCACGACTTCAAAGTTCAGCATGCACCCTTTACAGCAACCACTGCGTCCGAATTCCCACCAGCAGCAAAATTTCTTGCGAATTGAAACATACATGTAAGACATGAAGCCCCTGCTCCAGAATGCTGGCCGAGTGACACCCCTACGAGCATTTGACAGTATGCGGCCGTTTACTATGTTGCTAGCTTTGCCCTTCTCCACTTCTGTAATGTGTGCTCCCGCATGTACAGAGTTGGCACAGAGACAGGGCCTTCGGCAACTCATCAAAGCACTCACGACCGGCACCGATGCAGACATTAACGCGATTCCACTGGCGAGCAACGTCACTGTGATCATGTACGTACATATTACTACCCCATCGTCCCACTCGTTTGATGAGAGACTAACAAATGTAATGACTCCAGGCAAACCCAAGGCATCCGCGTCACCCTCGCAAAAGATCTCCAAGGGGCCCGAAACGCAGCACGAACGATACATCGCATCGTCACACGCTTCGGTCCAGCACCCAACGACATCGCTTCATATCTCGATAACGGAGTCGACGAGGCATTCGTCAACGGCACCCTGACTTTAGGTCTCACGGCTAGCAACGACGTTCGGTTACCGCTTGTCACGGTGCCGGCCGCTCAAAACCTGGTGTACGATACAACGACTTGCCTGGGCTACTACACCGTTGGGACTCTTGAGCCTGTCGACGGGGTGATAGAGACTGCACTTGATGCGTTTCTGATAGACAACTTCCCGCTCTATGAGGTCCTAGATAATGTTACGGCACCCATGTCATAACGTGGAAAGATGGTTTAGGCGTAGGCCTACCACACCGTGAAATACGGATAAGACGGAGATCATATCATCTCAAGGTCACGTCACAAGCCCTGCTCACTTTCTTTCTGTCTTTAGTATCCTCTCAGGCAACAATCCATGGGAAGTACTCGAACAACAAGTAAGACGTGACTTCTCGATCTCTTGAGACCATGCAAACGCCAAACCCTCGAGCGTTCACTGCAACGCAATGTGGACTCAAAATACTAGAACTTGCCGCCCCACTGCACCAGCTACTGAACATCGATGCCTAGAACGCGCCACGGCATGAGCGCAAGCACAAACGGGTTCTGGCTGCAGCTTATCAGAGCTCCAAAGACCAATACTTGCAAGCTGCGGCTTGCACAATCCTGCCATCTTACCAGGAAAAGGTACTGCAATACGCACTTCTGCAGCTACAACTATCATCTGGCGACTGACAACTCAAATTGCAGCCAAAGAGGCATGCAACGAGGAGGATCTCAAATTGATTGCTCGGCGCAGCCAGTACAAAACGCAGCTCGTGGCCACCTCACAGCACGTATTTGTTTCTCAGCCAGAGCCTTCCATCAAATACAGCGTGCAAGCTTTGAGGATGACCAGGTAACCAATCCCAGACGTATGTGGTGATGTGCACAAAGACTAACAGATATAGCCTAGACAAGCAAACGCTCGAGAGCATTGCAAGTGTTCCAGCTCGCGTTCGCCACGCATCGCTCTATGGCGTCGACGATGTCGAAAAGTCACTCGTTCTCCAATCTCTCAGGACAGCGGCAAGCCTGACCGTGAAGGTCGCCGACAAGATCTACCCGCCGGATGTCCAACAAAGTAGTCAGGCAAAGACTTTCATGCCACTGGTGCCGCCGACTGTTCTTTGCTTTCAACCCGCATCAGCACAATCGGTCAAAACCCTGATATACTTGACCAATTTGCCTCACGAGAATCAAGTTGATTCGGTTGCGGGATGCGTGTCAGATCTCCGTTCTACCGATAGCATACTTTTCTTGACCGACTTTATCATTGGAGAAGTAACAACTCATATGAAGGCGATGCTTCTCCAAGCCGTGACCGAGCAAGTGAAGCCCAGCCTAGTGATCGGTAAAATGAACCAAATGATCGAGGCAGGATATTCCCAAGAAAAGCTGTACCAGACGGTTCTTAAGCTTGTTGACGACTTTAATGCCGCAATCAAGGACGTCGCGGTGGAGGGATCACCAATGGCAGAAGTCAGCCTTCCGACTGCCACTGTGGTCTTCGGCTCCACTGAACACGGCTGGGGCTTCACACTTGAACAGGTCGCGGAGAGAGCCGCGCCTTCATTGGGAATGTCGAGCACGGATCTTCTGAACAAACTATGGGTAAGTCCAACTCACCCTCTTGGTAAGCAGTTGCTTGTCTACCGTACTAACTCAAATACAACTCAAGAGGGCGACTGGTACTATCAGCCCGACAAGAAGCAGTGGTCACAAGAATGTAAGTCTGGCGACAAGAGCAAAGAGTGTGGTTTCAATCGCTTGTACTCGGGCCTATCTTTCGCTTGTACGCCAACCCGTCGCCAACAACCGCCAGCGAGCTAGGTGTTGAACTCACCAAGGAGGAGCAGCAGAGCAGCCGCACAAAGCTCATCCAAGCCGCGATGGGCAAGTACTCGCCTCTGTCATATGGCGTTCTGAAGCTGCTACTCAGGCTTCCGGATCCTGTCACAGCTCAACGCAACCGTGTCCAGACCCTGCTAGAGCCTAGTGGAAACAATGCTACAAGGTCTGCGGCACAAACCCGTGACTATGGCGATAAGGCGCCACTATTGATCTCCGTCACGAAGTCCGTCATTCTGGACGGCAACAAGTCTGTCTTGCTAGGCCGTGTATACTCAGGCCGAGCCGTTGCTGGCGTCAAAGTTCAAATACGCGGCTGGACGTACGGGCCCGACAGCAAGCAAATCGCGATGCAGGTGGCCATCGGCCATGTCTACCACGCATTGGGTCCTTCTGCTTTGGACTGCTCCTCGATGCCAGCAGGTAATCTTGTGTACCTTGCCGATATGGGTACTTGCCCGCCCCTACAATCTGGGACTATCTCGGGGGTTGCAGATGCGCCAACCTTCAAATCTAGCGTTCTCACTAGTATTCCAGTCTTGGACTCCAAGATCTCGCCCTCTTCAGCGGGAAAGTTATCCCAGCTAAAGGACGCCATACAAGCTGTCAAGAAGAGTTATCCAGAGATCACGACCGTCGAATCTAGTCCATCAAGCGACTTCACAATCAGTGGTCCTCGAGACAGATACATCCGGAACGCCCTACAACACCTTGCCAACATTGTCGATCAGCAGTCGCTCACGCTGGGTCGTACCACAGTTCGTTCTCAAGATAAACGAGAGCCATTCTACAGCATCAAAGTGCTCGCCCCTGTGGGGCGGGAATCTGCTCTCCAAAGCATCTTTTCCCCTCAAAGAGGCGAGCTTCAAGAATCCGAACCCATTGCTGAAGACCTTTTTCTGACAAGGTGGAACACCCCCGTGGCCACATTCGCAACGGTCCAAGATGGAATCAAACGGAGCCAAGGAATCATCTTGCGTATGGAATTTGAAGAGTGGCAGGGAGAACCGCACTTTTAACATAGGTGGTCAAGGACGAAACGAGACGTGCGCGCAAAAGGGGCTGAATGTGATTCAAGATCATATTGAGCTTTTGCACTTTTACCCAGAACTACCTTCACATCATTCTCTCACTACAACGCCAAAGACACGACGGCTATTGCGTGATAAACAATCTTACTCTCTCAAATACAGCGTCCTCCTCCCGACCCTTCTGGCCTCCACGTTACCCCCGAACCTGGAACCTACCAATCCTGCACCCCCGCCTCAAACCCATTAACAACCCTCCCCACCTCCCCATCCCTCGCGCCCTCCACACACTCCACCAGCGCCCTGCCACCCTGACTCGGATCCCCGGCCCCCATCTTCTTCAAAAGCTCCGGACGACCCCCAAGGTTCGTAGCCAAAAACCCCGGACTCACAGCCCAGACTTTCACCCCGTCGTTCTTCAGCTGCCGCGCCCACTGCACCATGACCATATTCAGCCCGGTCTTGGAGGACATGTACCCCACTGGGGAGAAAGGTTTCGGCAGGCCTGCGTCGGGGTATTTGACCCAGGGGGAGGTGGGGTCGGAGCAGCGGGCGAGGGAGGACATGCCGGAGGTGTTGAAGATGATGCGCGGGTCGGAGGATTTCAGTAGCAGAGGTAGGAAGGTGTGGGTGGCGAGGTGCGTGCCTGTGACGTTGATGTCCCAGTTCATGTTGAAGGCCTCGCGGACGGTCATTTTGCCTCCCGCGGCGGTGGCATCCATGGAGACGCCGGCGTTGTTCACGAGGGCGTCCATACGGCCGTATTTGGCTTCCACGGTGTCTTTGGCTTTGGTGATGCTCTCATCGCTGGCGAGGTCGATGACGAGGGGTTCGAGGGTGCTGTGGGAGTTTAGGAGTTCCTTCTTAGCCGACTCCACGGCTGCGTTGACCTTCGTCTCATCTCGGCCGCCTAGCAGGATGGCGTATTTCTTCTCAGACTGCAATAGGATCTTGATAGCCTCATAGCCGATCCCTGAATTCGCTCCAGTGACTAGGACAATAGTGCTGTCTGCCATATCTGGAATACTGTCGTGTGCGGGTTTGAGTGGAAACTTTCGTAATATGAAGCCCTATGTTGTCAACTGCAACAAATGAATGGTCTCATATATATGTGCCGCGTTCCTCCAGTTAGCAGCAACCGTGTTCGGGTCCGCGTACATTCGTACCTATTGGGACTCAGCGAGCCCTCATGTTCGGGTATGCAGCGCTAAGGGAGTTACCGTAGCTGTAAACACCGAGCTGCATCTATTCATCTAAACGCAGCGTATTTTGCGAATCCTTCTGGTAGAACTTTCGACCGCAGCCAGTAGGAATGAGAGCACAAACAACAGGAGTCGGAATGAGAACTTGCCGTTGGTTTGATGACGGCACATAGCTTGTACGGCTCCGTTGCGACGTTTGGTCTAGTCAATCAGTAGAACTTCGCCATCACCAATGCCATTGTGCACTCAAGCTCTGCTATGTCCCATGCTTGTTCCACCCAACAAAACACAATCGCTTAAGCTTATTCAGATCGCTCTAATGCAGGTCCTGTCGACCACGTGCGTGAGGACAATGACATGCACGGCTTAGCCCCACTGAAATAGCATCTGCTTCTTGCCCTTATTACCCTTTTTCTTGCCGGTGGCTGCTCCGTCTTCTGCATCAGTCGGTGATATCGGTGTGTTTGTTCCGTTGCTGCCTGGTGCACTCGAACCGCCCCACGCATTAACACCAGCGAAGTTGGAAATAGTTCTAATAACGCCCGACCCGGTGTAACCTGGAGAGAAGACGGTCGATGTAGGCTTCTTTGCTGCGGGTAATGCCGGGAACGCATCTTTGCCGCGAGCAAGGTTCGTGTTGGATTGGTTTCTGCTTGGTGCTGGGGAGGCGCGAGCAGAGGCTGAGGGAGTCAGAGATGGAGATGACGATGATGGAGCTGGGCGGACTGCGAGCCATGTCGGGGTCGGGGCAGGCGGTGCTCGGGACTGTGGTTTTCGTGAAGCGGGTAGTGAAGGGAAAGGGTTCGAGGAACTCGCCGTAGCTGAGCCTGCCCACGAAGCCTGCCTGCTTACCGCTGAGCGGGAGCTTTGCGCAGTGGAGCTCTTCAACTTCAAGACACGAGAAGCTCCCACGCCTTGACCTAGTACACCGGCTGCAGTGGTGTTGGCACCTGCTGGTCCAGGTAATGATGGGTAGTCCTCGTTGATTGCCTTCCAGTCCGACCAGGCTTTGAGTAACGCATCCTTCTTGCCCGGCACTTCGAAGATATCGGCAAGCTCTTTGACAAGCTTGCCCAAATCGTCAGATGCAGTGTCGAACAAGGCAAAGAACGCATCGATCAGATCGCCTGCACTAATGTTGTCTTTCCGGTAGGCTGAGATTCGCTCCCGAAACTCGTCAAGCTTCACTTTGTCGTTGCGAAGCAGGTTCGAGGCACGTTCTGTCACAGCAGCATGGCGAAGTCTTCGTGCTTGTTCTTGTGGTGTCAGAGCTTCGGCAGGGCGTGGTGAAGTCGGCGCAGATGTACCATTCGCGGGCTGGGCGTTAGTGACTGCTGGATTCCGCGGTGCTCGTTGCGTAGCTTGAGCAGGCGTTGGATCCGGCTGGGAAAGTTGACCACCAAATGAGCGGCTGACCACTGATTGGGCGCTGTGAACCTCTCTCTCGCGTTGATGGGCAATTTCTGCTCGACTCATGTGTCCACCAGAAGAGGCTGGCATAGGATCGGCATTGGGATCGCGGCCTCTGCCAGCTCTCCTTCCTCCTCCTCGGCGTGGTTCTACGTATTGCGGTCTATAGTCGAAAGACGACAGATCGACTCTCCTGGCATCTCGGCGAGCATCTTTTGACAGGCCGTTGGGGTGGTTCTCCAACTGGTGAGCCTTGAGATCCATCTCCGAATCGAAAACGACAAACTTCTTCTCCAAGCATTCCGAGTCCAGGCAGGGGAAATGGTCTTTTCCAAAATGCTGTTCGAGTGCTTCATAGTTCATGAAGTATTGTGGGTTGACTCCACCTGTGCGTCGATCACAAAGATGGCATCGCTCGTGGCGCTCTCTGCAGTGAGCGAAAAGCTCGTCGTCTCCGTAGAAGCGCTGTCTACAGAACCCACACTCGGGATGGCCCTTGAATCCGCTCTGATCCACCGCACCCGGGTTGTCATCTCCAAACTTCTCATGCCGCCGGAGTTCCTGGTGAGTGAATAGCTCGTGCTCGTGTGTGAAGACCTTCTTGTTTCTTGTGCACAGATCGCACATGACTTTCTGGTGCACACTCCGCACGTGGCGATGTAGATCTGGCCAGCCCATGCAAGCGATGTCACAGCTCTCATCGGGACAGTTGTACCTGAGCAGCAGAACCGTATCTTCAAAGATCTCCGGCTTTTCATAGCTAATGCCCAAGTTCTGGTCGGTGCGGAAGAAGTCGGTCGTCTCGTAGTCCTCATACCGCTTCTCGGGGTCATCAGTAAAGATGACAGTCGCGGCCTCCGTTCTGCAATGTGCGCAAGCTTTGGTCTTGTACAACGCTCGCAGACGAAGGGCGCAGATGTGGCATGTGCGGTGATTGCAGGGAGCGACGCTGTTGTGTGAAACAGGCGATGCGCAGATGAAGCACACCTCCGCCTCGACATCATCGTCCTCTGCCGCCGGCGCACTGCCGGACTCGCCTTGGGTGTTTCCCTGGGCGTCTTTGGTCAGGCGAGCACCAAAGACGCCCGTTCCTCCCGGCTGCGGTGGGGGCGGTGCTGTCGTTGCATCTTGTTCATTTGAGACTACAGTCGCGCCCTGAAAGTGGTTGTCTTGTCCTCTGCCTCTGCCACGCCCACCTCGTCCTCTGCCTCTGCCGCGGCTTCTACCTCCGCCTTCACCTCTTGACCGATCCTCGCCTCTGTCGCTGTGATGTGCAAAGCCTCCCCGTGGACCGCCTCTGCCACCTCTACCTCTTCCTCTTCCGCCTCTGCTCTGTCCGCCTTGGTCTGCAGTAGCTGCTGAAGATGTGTCCGCTGTCGATGCCATTGCTCCGGTATGTGTGGATGTCGTAAAGCCGAACACCTTGATGGGCCTGTACAGATTGTCTTGGCGACTCGCAAACCGTTCGAAGTCGAGCGAATGATGCGCGAATTAATCGACTGTTTGCAGCTTGTGATTTGCATCTCAGCAGCTCGAGCTGGTGGGGCGCCGTCGATTTTGAGCGTCAGCCAAGGATTTGTCAGGCGCCCCGCCCCCTCGTACCCGATGCAATCACTCACTGTGAGTCAACCTACTTTGTGTCTTCCACAGCCACCGCCACCGCCACTAGCTTGAATCCGGAGTCAATAATGTCACGAAGAAGGCGCATCAGAGGATAGGCATTCAACATATCCAACTATCTACTTCCTACCTTTTGCCATGGCAGGCCCCGACCTGCGGGGAACAAGTCTTAAAGAAGTCTGAATCCAAGTACTCATGAATCCTCGCGATCTTCGTCCCATCCTAGCTGGTCAGCATCGCGAAGTCGGTCGCCTTTTTCTGCTCGACATCAAACGTCGATGAGACCACTCGTCTTCCGGATGCTCATTAGCTAACTTCCGGAAGAATAATAAAGGAGTGACTTGCCTCCAGCTCGGTGAAACCAGGTTTGAGCACCTGATGGAATAGTTGTCTGTGGCCCTCGTTGGAATGTGCTATCATCTGAAAACCCCTCGAGAGGAAAAGAGCAGTAATGCCTACAGGCCACTATCAGAACTGTGAGTGCGTCGACTTCTGCGAAGGCGCTGGACAAGGCTGTGAGCTCTGGGCCCGTGCGTGAAGCTTATGTAACTAGCGCTGAGTCTGGAGTGACACCTCATCTTCTCGTCTTACATCCGCAAACGCGTCTCAACAACAGCATCATCATTGGTCCAGCATCCTTCAGCATCGCTTAGAGGGGGTTTTTGTTCGACACATGTCCCTGGTTGTCAAACTTCCTACTGGCATGGCTTCCAACTTGCTCGGAAAGCGCAAGTCCGCTCACCATGGAAGCGCCGAACGGGGGCTCAAGAGGCAGAATGTCGCGTAAGTACCGCAACCTGAGCATCTTCGTATCGTTCTAACACACCATGCACATAGTGAGCTCTATGCGCCAACGATGGTCACCGTTGAGATATCAAACTCCTCCATGGTCGAAGATGGAGCAGAAGTAGAGGAAGAGCAATTCCAGGTACCTCGTGGACTGATCTGCGCCTACTCGGCGTACTTCGACAGTGTTTTTCGAAAGCAATTCGTAGAGAGTGACACCGGCCGATCAGTCGTTGATGATGTGCGGCCCTGGGCCTTTCGTGTGTTTATTGGCTGGCTGTACTTCCAGCGAATTTCTTACATCGGCGACCGCACAGAGCCCAAGACCTTTCGAGCGGCGAGCCACACTATCGACTTAAGCCACGATACAACTTTAAACGAGAACTCGTCAAGCTTCGGGACTGATTTGGATTGGGAGCATTCAAATGCTACGGAAACATCTGCGTTCGCACCAAACACCTCTACTTCTCATCACAAGGAAGTGACTGGCCCGAGACACAGACCATGCCTCAGAGACAAATGTGATATCTGTGAAATGATAGACGACCAGGACCCACTCACTTGGAACTGGCAGGATCTTTTTGAGCTCTACGTCTTTGGAGAAAAGGTCTGAGCAAACGAGCGAGTAAACCAGATGTTGGCTGATCTATCACAGTACGATGTCCGCAGCTTCCGCATGAATGTCCTCGAGGTCATGCAAAAGAAGCGCTTGGCGAGACAGGCCCATGCCTTTCCAAATCCAACTGCGTTGAGGTACCTATTCGACAACATTCCTGCAGGCTCAGCCGTCTTGGACATGGTCGCAAAGATTTATTACGATGCCACAATGTCATCGACAGTCCTTATGCAAGACATGCAAACTTTCTCTGCAATGCCTGCACCGTTCCTCGCAATTTGTCTCTTGGCGGCCGCGAAGAGAGCCAAAGCCTTGAAATGCAAAGAATGCAATCCGGGCAAGGGCAGACATGGACACTCCGATTCTCATTCCAGAGACGATCTTTTCGGGTTTGAATCTATGGATAACTGCAAGTATCACGAACACGGCAACGATCTTCAGGAGAAAGCACGATGCAGGGCAGCTATGGACGCATGGAATGAAGAGCGTCTTCGAGCCGAGCAAGATGAGGGAGAAGAAGATGCTACTTCGTGACTATAGCACGCATGTGCCGTTGGAACTCCTTGCATGCAATATACATGGGGCCACGACCTGGTTGATTCTAGTAGTCTCTTTTATTGGAAACGCCCATTCTTGGATGAATTTCTGGCATCAGGTCCCAATCGACAAAGTACAACGGACTAGCAAGTAGAAGTACTTTCCTCACTGGAGCAATTGGACTCGTCGGTCTGCGGCCTACCGTCCCACCGCATCCGCAAACACTTCGAACTACCAGATACGATCACGATGGTCTCAGCACAGGGGTTGGCAACAGTGGTGCTCACGCTTGAAGCATGTTTCACACCGGCGCAGTGCGTCGGAGAGTCCTTGCACTAGTCGCGTTGTCGAGAACTAATGTTGTGGAATTTCTGTCTCTCGGTCAAGATCGGCGGCACGAAAGCAGCAATTTCTCGCACAGCAAGTATAATCGCCTCATCAACCAAGCAACCTTGCCGGTGCCTGCATTGGGCTCCTCACTGTGTAAGCTAGTCCCCGAAGCTCCGAGCTGAGGGGCCAGCGCTTATCTGAGCTGTCCGTCATGAAAGGCGGCATTGCATCCCCATGCGTTGACAATCTTTCTGTTCATCACAGCGGGATTGGGCAGAGTTACAGTGAAACCAAAAACGCTACGAAGATGTCTGACTCCAAGCAGGAAGATTTCAGCGTCGCCGTCGTTGGTAGATTCGACGCGAAATCGTACCATTGTCAACTGCGACTGACCTGGATTCAGGCGCTGGAATCGCTGGGCTTGCCCTAGCAATAGGTCTACACAAGCATAACATTCCCTTCACACTCTACGAAGAAGCACCGCAGTACTCGACTGTCGGGTACGCATCACCAACACACGTCTTTCTGGCTTCACACTGACCAAGATCATGTGTTAGCGCTGGCATTGGCTTCGGTCCCAATGGGCTTCTGGCTATGGATCTGATAGGAGAAGGGTTCAGACCAAAGTACGAGTCCATTTGTGTTGGCAATAAGTCAGCAAGAGACCAGGACGTCTTCTTTGAGGGTCTTCTCTGCGAAGAGGGCCTAGGTAAGTGGTGCTGCTGCTTCTGCTAGAGGAATAGTTGACTAATCGATTTTGCAGGACTGGACAAGGATTGGTATGGACGTTCATCTTGGGGGTCGCCGAATTACACTCGCAAGTCTGTTCGTCACTAACGCGCTCCCCGTGAGTCGGTGTAGTGAGGCTGACACTCGTCATCCGACCAGGCACACCGCAAAGAGTTACTGGACATCTTGACGAGTTTCATCCCAATCGAGAATGTCAAATTCAGCAAGCGCCTCTCGAACCTCGAGCAGCATGGCGACAAAGCTGTGCTGCATTTCTCGGACGGGGAAGTTGTTAAAGCAAGCGTTGTGGTAGGCGCAGACGGTATCCAGAGTGTCGTGCGAGACCATGTGCTTCGTCCGCTGAGCCCCGATCAAGTCGAGCCAGTGTATGCCCAGTCGTATGCCTACCGAGCAGTGATACCCATGGAAGCAGCAAATGAAATTCTTGGAGACCTGACCGACACTGCCAAGATCTATGTTGGTCAGGACCGAAACGTCGTCACATATCGAATTACCGGAGGCAAGGTGGGTGATGACGCAGGATTAACTATGCGATGTCTTAGCAGGCTGACAGATCTGGCTTCTCAGGAGTTCAATTTCCTTCACTGCGTCTATACAGATGCTGCATGGCCGACACCGGATTCCATGACGCAAGAGGTCACCCACGAGGAAATGATGGCGGACTTTGAGGGTCATGGCATCGACGAGCGGTTGCTCAGGCTTCTGGGGAAGGCGAAGCCCATACGATGGGGGTTGTTCCATCATCTGAGATCATCGACGTACTTTCGAGGCCGGGCTGTCCTCATGGGAGACAGTGCCCACGCATCACTCCCGTACCAAGCAGCTGGAGCTGGCCAGGGTGTGGAAGACGCCTTGATTCTGTCGACGGTGCTTGGCCATGTATCCAAAGTCTCCAGCAAAGAGAATTTGACCGCAGCATTAGAAGCATATGATGCGGTACGGCGGCCGCGAGCTCAGAGGCAGCTTGAGCAGAGTCTTGAGGCTGGTGAACTCCTCAGCTCCCAAGATCCGAAAGCAGGTTCGGATATGGAGCAAGTTCTCCAAAGGATGCAGGGAGACCGTTTTGATTGGCTATGGTTTCATGATTTGAGGCAGGATGTACAGCTTGCGCGGGAGGAGATGGAGCAGAGACTCTCGACGTCGGTGAATGGTTCCGAGTAACGTTGGCATATGGTTCCCTTTTCTCATACCGCGTAGAACCGATTGGAGGCGTTCAGACTGGGTGTGAACCGCGCTATTCACCATAGAGGCCGGTGAACTCAAGAAGTACACTGTCCGCATGGCTGATGAGGTGTTATACGGTCCCGGCACGACGAGCCAATACTGTGAATGAAACTCTTTAGTGCAGCACCTGAGGAACCCGTCGGCTGTTTGAAGCAACGTCATGTTGCCAAAAGGAGGAACGGGGTACATGTAGGTTTCGGATCCTCGTTTCGTCGCTTTGCTGAGTGAATATCCTCATTCAATCAGACGAATGAAACTACTCGATCGAGTGAGGTCAGTCATCGACGGAGGGAGAAGATGCAAGTCGAGCGTGAAAGGCTCGCGCGTTATGATCCTCCTGAATAAAGTCTTGTGAAGTTATGTATTGAGAAGCCACGGAGCTTCCAGCCTGCGGGCTTCGCACCAACTGACCTTTGGAGGATCGAGCTAGCTGATGACTTACGACGTGTGCTGACGTTAATGGTGGTATATGCGACGTGTACTCGCAAGAGTAGCCCAGATTTTCCACGATAACGGGATCTGCACTTGTCAACAGCAACTTCGAGACCATGACGAGAGGCGTTCTCCGTTTTAGCATTCCGGATGAGTCTATACCGGCGGAGGAAAGGTCCCTGTTCGCGACTCCGCAGAACAAAGATTTCGTGCCCAAGGAGGTGGAGCTTCATGACTTCTGCGAATCATCCGATGTCGTCCAAGGGCCGGAAGGTCTGCATGTCCAGGGGTTTACCTATCTCAGACACAAGTCGAAGATTATTGGCTCCGATCAGCTCTTCGAAGGCCGGAATCTCGACGACATCTACCTGCCGGAGGTTGAGCGGTTGATGAGGGAGGTCACCGGGGCGAAAGAGGTGATCGTGTGGAGCGGAGTGGTTAGGAGGAAGCTGCCCACTCACCAAGAGAACAATCCCACGGTACAGCACAGGAAGGGCGGCGACCTCGACAAAATGATCGATAGCATGCCTCGAGACGTGCCGTTCAGTAAGATTGGCAGTAACCACGTATCACTCCGAGACTGACTTTTACCAAGTTGCGGGCAGGGATATCAATCGCTCAGTCGAGCCACTGAGAAATGTACACATCGATTTCAGCAACAAGGGACTTCGAGACACGGTCCGTTATTGTAGGCACGACTTTAGGAAGGCTGGCAAGGCTGCGCTGGATGCAGAAGATGCTGGTAGTAAGAACGTACCTCGCTACGCCGCATACAGTGTTTGGGTAAGTACATGGAAGAAAACGAATCGGACTTAGACTGACCCGTCACCACCACAGCGTCCACTAGTCACCGTGAAACGCGATCCCCTCGCTGCCTGTGACTGGAGGACCGTGGACCAAGATGGTCTATACGATGCCGATTACAGAAACCCCGCAGACAACGAGAAGGGAGAATTCATGAACAACATTCGGATTTTCTTGCCACCCAAGGATGATCGACAAAGATGGTACTACTTCTCCGATCAGACTCCAGACGATGTGTTGATTCTGAAGGTCGGAGACACGGCCTCGGATGTCGACCCTGAGATTGCGAGTGGATGTCCTCATGGGTCGCCTATGATGCTCGGGACTGAAGGGGTTGAAGACCCGAGACAGAGCATTGAGGTTAGGGTCATTGCGTTCTGGTGATTGAGGCTCTTGGTGTGTTTAGCTCAGCTGCTGGTTCAGTGAATTCTTTCGTCTGTAGTACCCGTTGGCGAGAACAAAGATTTGATGTTGACAATCCCTAAGACATTGTCTTGTGCCATGCATGAGTTGAGACCATCGAGGACTTCGAAACAATTTTTGAGAGGGCCTCGGCTCCTGTCTCAAATTGAGTCGAGGCTAGGACGAAATACAGATCGTACTAAAGAGCTGCTACCCTCGAGCGAATGCCATTCATACCAGCCTGCCCAGACGAAAACATGCCCAGACTAAACGCAGCAGCAAGAGACATGCTCTTTGTACTGCTCATCAAACTCCTCAACGACTTGACGAACGAACGAGCACACTTGAAGAGGGACAATGTCATGACCAGCCCCTTACCGCTCCACTACTACCGCGCCGGCCGCGATACCATTGAAGCTGCCTTGTGTCGGAACTCAGAGGCTTGGACAGAGTTGACAGAATTACTTGAGCTTGACTTTTCTGATGGGCTTGATTGCTGTGATGTGAGGGTCGAGGCAATTTTCGTAGCCTTTCGGTTGTACGATATGAGACTTTATGGGGCACGGCCTAAGGAAGACTATGCATTGGCTGACGTGCAAGACGATATTCCTTGGAGGGCAATTGACTGGCTGGTAGCATTATCGTCAACTGGAACACCTCACATGGAAGGGCCTCGCGGGGAATTCGAGCCTGGAGACTGTTCAGAAGCTGTCGAGGCGTGTTACCGGACGGACTATCCTGTGTGGACTTGCTGCTTTCCTTCATGAATATTATTAATCACGATATCATCTCGCATGTATGGAGATGAAGATCTTCCCGCAAATACTGAGCAGTTTCTCAAGCCTTCTCCTCACGAGCCATCTGAACACTATCGTCCCTCCGAGGCGCATTTCTCCCTTCCCAACTCTCGAACACTTTGAATCGCTTACTCATGCCTCCAACTGTTTCCCAAAGCACAACCCACACAGTCATAGCCATTTCGATGACCAAGAGCGAGGTCGTGCTCATTTCAATTACTGGCTGCGAAATAGCGATCAGGATGATCGCTACCACAAGCCTCATAGACACTCTTGCCTGCTTGAAGAGCACTAACTCCCCGTGGTCGTCCGATCTGTGCAATTGTGCGAATATCCAAAGACAGAACATTCCAACTCCAAGGCCACCGCCCATTAAGCGAGTCTGTCCTTCCTCTAGGTCTTCCTGTGCTACGGAAACGGCACAAATGTGGCCGCCGATCAGGAAGCTCGCCGATAGGGGCAGGTGGATAGTGAAGAAAGCGAACGCCGTCCAAACCGATCTTCGGATAGGATGTGTTGATTTAAGACTGCCATCTCCGGACGTGTACAGCCAGTTGAGGGAGAAGGCAATGACCAGTGTGCACACAGCCCGCCCGTAGCCTGCTGTAACCCCTACTCCAGCCGGGCTTCCCGCTACGATGCCGTAGAGAAATTCACCGAGGATGATGATGAAGAACGCCGCCAGACGATCGATCTCATGAGAAATATCAACGGCAGTAGAGTACGTGAGGTTGAGGGCCTTCTTGATCCAGGGACCAAAAGCGATCAGCCAGGCGATCTCTTGATACGCGATAATGACCGCAACGACGGCAATCTTCCCCCGGATGCTAACCTCCTTGAAGAATAGCGGAATGCAAAGAAAGAGTCCAACAAGGATGAAAGTTGCCGCGATCCTAGACTGCACTCGATGCTGATAGCTGGCGAAGGATGAGACCAGCAGCGCCATAGCGACAGTGAACCGAGCCACCATGTAAGCTCCAGCCGTAGTCCTCAATGCATTGATCTCGGCGATCTCGTTTGCATTGTTCGCGTACAGCACCAGCATGGCCATAACCCAGAGAATCGCACATCGCTGGACAATATCATCCGTGTAGAAACTGTTCATGATCTCACGGAGATCGCTCCAGATGTGCCACGCCGGCCAGAATGTCAGCAAGTACTGGACTAGGTGTTTGCCGTCGGGATGCTCGGCCAGGTGCTCGCTGAAGTTGGCCACTATCGCGACATCTATAGCTCCGAGTCAGTATTGGGTCACTTGCGGCCCATTTACATGCAGGGACGCTCACACAGCAAATCTAGGAAAAGCTCAAAGCGACCAGCCTGACGTTCCTCATCGCTTTCCTTCTGGAGCTGGCCATTGTAGAACCATTGCAATGCTTTCGGTCGCTTGACAAGATACCTTGACGGCGAAGATACACCATCTTCTCCATGATCTAGCTCCATTCCGATAAGTGCGATAGGTGCTTGCCTCTGTCAAGAACAGATGACCTTTGGTTGACGTGGACTAGGACCTCTGAAGCCTTTTCCTCGCTATCGTGCAGTTGAAGGCCAGAGGTCAGTGTTATGGATAGTGTGAGACATCTTTGGGTGAGTGGTACCGTCGATCCTCCCCAAACATTCAATGCAGATCAATGGGCCTTACCGAAAAGGGGCAACGCAGGGAACGATTCAAGAAAGTATCTGCATCCTGCCTGACGAGACGCTATAAATGTCAGCCACAAGGACCGTTCTTTCACAAACGAGGCTTGTTTACTCGAACTCACTTGGGAGAAGAAATGCTGTCCCTTGAAATTCACCATCAAGGAAGGCTAGGATCTCACGAAAATTTGTTCCACGATGGACTTCTCCTTCTGTGTGATAGGCCTAAGCCTTGATGGATGTGGCATTGTATCCTATGCACCCGTACAAGTCTATTGCGGCTAGTCCGTGTATATCGATGCCATCAACGACCGGCCCCCGAGGTGTCGGAACAACGACCTGCGAGTGATTGAGCAACTTGGTCCTGATAAGCATGGGTTGTGCAGAGTCATGACTCCGTTCTAAGCAATCTCCATCACGCTCAGATTACTACCAAATGGCTGCACCGCCCTCTTGACCTTCCATCCCTTGTCAACCTCTGCCAACAGCGCCTTCCACTCCTCCATCTCTCTTTCATGAGCGTTGAACGTCTCCCGCATCGTCAAGTCTCTGACCCTCAGCTGACTCTCTTGGCTGAGACTGATGGTGCCTGGCTCGGGCAGCGCCGTGTCCATGATGACAAGTCGAGCAGTCGGTTTCATAGCCTGGCGGATGTGACCAAGGATGGTCTTAGCTTCATCATTTGGCCAGTCGTGCAAGATCATGCGTAACAGATACAAGTCTGCGTCCTTGACTGGTTGGGGTTCGAAGAAGCTATGCCCCTGGAAGGTCACGCGAGACTTGACCGAGTCTTCCAGGCTTGAAGCTTGGGCGACGGATGTTTCGATGACCTTTGGCAAGTCTTGGACAATGAGACGAAGTTCTGGATAGCTTCGTGCTAGAGCGATACTTGCATGACCGCTTGATCCACCAATCTTTCATCACGTCAGCATTGAACGACGAGACCGGCAAATCCCTTGACTCACATCCACGACGAGACCGTTGCCGACAGAAGCCCAGTCGAAGCCCTCAATCAGATGCTCAATTGCCGTCCCTTGAGTCGAAGTAACACACTGCATGTACCCTGCGAATCGTTTTCTGAAGTCTGGCGTCTTGTTCAGATAGTCGAAGAACGGCAGGTCAGTATCCAAAGCAATATTGAACGCGGTCTCCGTTTTGCTTTTCGTGGCACCCCATCGTTGAGTAGCATCTGCGAATCGGATAGCCATCGGTACGGTGGCATCGGCAAGAAACTCAGCCCAGTCTTGCAGTGCAGCACTCTTGGCAAAGTGTGCAGATAAACGAGTGTGAGCAATGTGTCCCGGCTTCGGCTCATCGAAGAAGTGGGCACAAATGGCCATTCGTACTACGCTCTTAAGCACATCGAGGGGCACGTTGGCGAGGTTCGCTAGCTCTTCGTACGATACCGTGCCAGGGGAGGGGACAAGGCCTGGGATGTGGAAGCGGCAAAGCCATTGGATGCATGCAATGTGTTGGGGCTGGGAAATGTAAGCTTTGGAAACTTGAGCTATCCATTCCAAACTCACATGCACAGCCAGCTCAGGCAGAAATTGGGCGGGATCAGTAGCAATCTGCTGTACTCGCTTGGCGGCGTCGATTAGATCTTGTCTCGCAATCTGCACGTCCAATGGAGCATCGACTGGAAGTATGTCCAGAGCTTTTTCCGTCTCTGAAGGATGCAAAGTTGGTTCAGGATAGCCTCGAGATTTGCAGAAGGCAGCGATGGCACGAGCAGTGTCTGCCACTTGATCTGCGAACTCGACGAGAGTCTGCGATTTGCCCATTGATCCCATGATGGCAGCGTCTCTGGCGTGGACAGTATTGATGCAGCGAGTGATTGCAGAACGAGTGACGTGCAACAGAGATCGGAATTTGGAAGAAGGCCATTCGAATATGGCCGGTGTCTTGTTGTCTCACTCGTATGAGCTGTTGGACGTACCCCTGCCGTCAGGCACAGGACCCTAGATGCGTTCAGATCCCAGTCCTCGCTTTATCCTCGGACCAGGCTGCTTCGGCTACCGAATAGGTTCAGCATATCGAACCTTCACCTATTCTGCCGGCAAGATCGAGCGTTGTTGCACGTGCTCGATCGAGACTCTGATAGATGTTGGACTGAGCTAGCACTTCCAAATCTCTCGGGTTTTCTCCCTGATGTCGACTCTCACAAATTTGTCTTGAAGTCTTTATCCACTTTTGCATCGTGAATACCAACTGAAAACACCATGAAATCGTTCCTTTCTGTCTTCCTCTGGGCGACCATTGGCCACGCTGCGCTACGAAAAGAAGAACTTACATTCACCTGGGAAGCCGGATCACCCAATGGCCAAACCCGCAACATGATCCTCACCAACGGGCAGTTCCCAGGGCCCAACCTCGTTTTCGACGAAGGCGATCAGGTCGAAGTCACGGTCCACAACCGCATGCACCAGAACACAACCGTTCATTGGCATGGCATTCTGATGCAAGATACGCCGTGGTCGGATGGTGTGCCCGGTCTGTCCCAGAAACCGATCGAGCCAGGCGAAAGCTATGTCTATCGATTCACAGCCTTCCCACCTGGCCAGTACTGGTACCACTCGCATTCGCGAGCGACACTTCTCGATGGACTTTACGGTTCAATATTCATTCGAAGGAAACCAGGAACGCTCAATCCTTTCCACATGATCAGCGAGGATCCAGATGATGTTGCAGCCATGGAGCGAGCAGCCAACGATCCTGTCGTGATCGTGGCGTCGGACTGGAGCTATTACAACTCGTCGCAGTACAAGGAGACATTTGCAAAGAGCCAGCTGCAGATCTTTTGCGTGGATAGCATTTTGATCAATGGCAAAGGCAGTGTCTTCTGTCCCGAGCACCAGTGGTTGATCGATATGCAGCTTCCGTTTCATGAGAAGAGTTGGCCGAATAACAGCATCACGGACAAAGGGTAAGTCACATATGCCCATTCGAAATTGCCAGCTAACGATTTCCAGATGCTTCCCCTTCGTTCCTTCAACAGAAGGACCTTGGCTGATCGATGGCGACCCGTCCGTGATCCCCTTTGGAATGCAAGAAGGCTGCGTCAAGTCCTGGGGCTCGGAAGAAATCGTCGAAGTCGACCCCCAAAACAAATGGGTGGGCATCAACTGGATCGGAGCGTCGACTTTCAAGACCCTCCAGCCATCGATCGACGAACATGAAATGTGGATCTATGAAGTCGATGGCCATTACATCGAGCCTGTGAAAGCAACTACAATGCTTCTATGGGCAGGAGAACGATATTCCGCGATGATCAAGTTGGATAGACGACCGATGGATTACTCGATTCGAGTGATTGATGGCGGGTACTCGCAGATGATTGGTTCGTTCGGACGGCTGCGATACAAAGGTGGCGAGAGAGATTTGGTAGAGCCAGATCCCTGGTTCAACGTCACTACGACCAGCATGCCTTGGTTCGGATACAATGCCTGGCCAGTTCTCCAAACCACCATGCTCGACAAGGACAATCTTGTGCCGTGGCCTGCCAAAGTTCCAGCTCGCCATTCAGATGAGATGCATCTTCTCCAGCTTGGCAAGGCCAACTCAACGTGGGAGTTCACCTTGGGCGGAAAGAAGAAATACCCGTCTGATCGATCAGCGTACAAGCCACTGCTGTACAACCTCGGCTCTTCTGAGGCGAACGACGAAGACTTGGTTATTCGTACCAAGAACGAGTCGTGGGTCGACATCGTACTGCAAGTCGGTCAAGACCCCATGTGGCCCGTCGACTTCCCGCACCCAATTCACAAGCACGCCAACAAGTACTGGCGGATCGGATCTGGAGATGGCATCTGGAACTACGAGTCGGTCGATGAAGCTATCGCTACAGAGCCGGCGAACTTCAACCTGGAGAATCCACCCTACCGTGATACATTCTTGACCGACTTTCAAGGTGCCATGTGGGTGGTCTTGCGATATCAGGTCACTACCCCCGGAGCGTGGTTGCTGCATTGCCATATCGAGCTTCACTTGGACAATGGCATGGCCATGGCGATCTTGGACGGTGTTGACGCTTGGCCAGAGGTACCTGAGGAATACTCATCTGGTGCGATGGGTTTTCGAACTGCCAAAGACGATACTCTGGAGCTCAAGACAATCGATGCCCCGGAATGCAGGACAGGGTATTTCTCCAAGATGAAGAAGCTCCTCGGACATCCCTTTTGGCATGCGTTGGGCTGGTCGACGCTCACGATGCTGGCTGCGATTGCGGGTATTTTGGCATGGCGATGGGTGAGATCTGAGAATCACATCGGACGCAGCTCTAAGCCAATGTTGTGCCTTGAACCAGATGCCAAAGAGGGCCCTGAGAGCATGGGGTGGACTTGGAGGAGCTCGCTTGAGAAATCCCGACCTTGAGCATTGGTAAGTGTTGGTGTTCGCAGATTGTGTGCTAGGTTGTTGCAAATATGGTGCTCTCCTCTTCCGATCGATTCGCAGACAAGATTCTTACAATTTTATCCACATCCTCGTATGATCCAAGGCCAGACTCTCAAATGCCGAGAAGTACCCACAATGGCAAGGGTAGGGAGATCGTTCCAGCCGTGGCTGAGCCTATTTCAACTTCACATGTCTCGATAGACAACCTGTAAACCTTCTTCACGTTCGGTCGCCGACAACTTGAGAACCGTGTCTGTCCAGATGCGAAGCAGGATCTGCACGAGCAGATGGTGACGCTCGCTATTGGGATCGATGGAGCTCTTCTTGTATTGCAAGATGAGCAAGTTATCATTCACCGTTCGTTGTCTCTTTGAGCACGTTTGAGCTCCTTTCCGTCGCCTTTTGTGAGGCCATGAAGTTCACGCTATTTTTCTTGTTTTTGCACATTTTGAAGTCGTGTGCCTACCAGCCTGTCGTCCATGACAAGAGCACCGATGTCTCTTACGTTGGATCAGTGAAGGATGGCGTTGAAGAGTTCCTGTCCATTCGTTATGGCTTGGACACAGGTGGCGAGCATCGTTTCAAGCCGCCTCGGAAGCACGAGCACGAACGGGGACAGACGGTAGATACAAGACCAGAGGGACCAGCTTGTCCCCAGCCAGAGCATCCCATGCCTGGGGATCCGTATTCTGTGGTCAAGAACCCATCTGAGGACTGCCTGTTTCTGAGGGTAGCACGGCCAGCTGGGATGAAGAGCCATGAGAAGCTGCCTGTGATGGTATGGATCTATGGCGGTATGTTGAATTCAGGCCGAGAAGTCAGAGAATTTTTGTTGACAGTCTTCAAGGAGGCCATATGGTTGGCAACATCTACGATGTCTCGTATCAGCCCGCTGGCTTGGTCAACAACTCTGTGCACAGTAACAATCCTGTGATTTATGTGGCCATCAATCATCGTGTCAACAGTGAGTTGTCGACACTCGCGTATGGGAACCAGAGAGCTGATATCTTGAAGTCTTCGGCTATCCACTTTCAGACGCAGTCCTGGACGGAGGCGATGGCACTAGAGCGAACCTAGGCCTCCGAGATCAACGACTGGGCTTGCACTGGGTCAAAGACCACATCTCTGCATTTGGCGGCGATCCAGACAACATCACCGTCTTTGGCGAAGATGCTGGCGCTTCAGACATCGGACTGCACATTGCTGCCGGACACACGCCTTTCCGCCGTGCAATCGCTCAAAGCGGGTCATCGCTTTCCCCGTGGGCCACTCGACACGATGCCTCTAGAGCACACTTCGCAGAGGTTGTCGCTCGGATTGGATGTGTTTCTGGAAGTCCGCAGTTCTGGTACAGCTTGAACTGCATGAGGCAATTCAGCATGGAGCAAATCTTGGGAATTACTTTCGATCTGGCTTGGTCGATCGAGCCTTCGAATGGATTCCATGTCTTGTAAGTCAAATGCCAGATTTGACAGACGTTCTCATTGCTGACGATTGGCAGCGGTCCTGCCATTGATAACGACATCGTCTTCGACAAGACAGCGCCTCAGCACCAGGCTGTGCTATCGACTAGCACTGTCGACTACATGACCGGCTGGAATATGGACGAACTTTCCATGGAAGTCCCGTCTTCGATCCAGACAATCTCGCAGGCAGCTGCGTGGATTGGACAACGCTACCCGCAGCTGATCGAGCCGATCGCGTTAATGGTGCTTTACGTCTATACGGAAGTCGACTACGCTCGCAGGTCGATCTGCCCCAAGGAAGTAAGCACCGCATGGTGCACCTTGTCGAGAGCTTTGAGGGATATCGAAGTCGCGTGTCCGTCGCTTAAGCAAGCATCCGAGATGTATGAATCCGGCAAAGGGCAGAGCACAGTCTACCTGTACGAGCTGAACCAGACGGCGTTCGCGCCAACCCTCAGGCAAAATGGAAAGGGTTACCTCGGGGTTACGCACTTCTCAGATGTGCCTTATGTGTTCAATGAGCTGCAGACGGCATATTACATCGGTGATCCGAAGGAAATCCACCTCGCAGAAAGCATCAGTCGAGGCTGGGTTTCGTTCGCGGCCCATGGAGCCCCTGACGAGCAGTGGAAATGGCCACAAGCGGTGGAGGAGGATGTGCGTGCCAACGCGAACATTGAGTCGAAGAGGATCGCGGTCGAAGTGTTGGGTGGTCCTCTCCAGGGTCCCCGTGAGATGGTCTTCAAGGAGAAGAGGAGGTGCCAATACATTGATAGTATGGCCCATTTCTTCACACGAGCTTGATTAGCGGCTTAGCGTTCGTTCGGGCAGACGCTCTGCTCGTAGTGGCACGAAGTTATGCAGAAGTCAATGAAGTGTTTCCTGCTGCTCTTCTCCAAGTCAACAGTAAGTGCCACTGCCGCAGTTCCCCGTTTGCCAGGTCGGTGAATGGGATGACGGACGAAAAGTCGGTGCCATTGTGTGCTCAAGATAGCAGCAACTCCGGTCCTGTTCCTTTCGTTCCACGGGGTCAAAAGGCTGGACCGAAGCCGATACGGCAATGGCCATTTCTCACATATTCCCTCAGCGGCGGCGTCCGTATAGCTAATGGGGCCAATTTCGATATCGAGCAATTCTCCAGCTGGGTACCGAAAGAAGGGGTGCGTGAGACGCTGAGAACACACATATGAAGGCAGCCGGGGGGCATTGAACTAGAATGCGTGAGACTTGTATCGAACGTCAACTGAAGCCAGGAAGTCATCAATACCCACGCTCATTTAGCAAAAGTTGAACGCCAACTATGGGAGTCGTACAGGAACTGGACGCCGTGGTCGTAGGCACTGGCTTTGGCGGCATATACATGACCAAGAGGTAGGGTTCTATTTTGATCTGTCGACTTCGTGCACTAAGATCTTCCAGGTTCAAAGATGCAGGATTCCGTGCGGTATGCCTGGAAAAGGCCCCTCAGCCTGGTGGAGTGTGGCATTGGAACTGCGTGAGTCGTCCCGGTAAGGCTTCCTCTTTGTGACGATTTAATGATGCTTCTCCAGTACCCTGGCGCCCGTGTCGACTCCAGGTACCCAGTGTACCAATACACGGACCCAAAGCTGAACGAGAACTGGACCTGGGAAGAGGCCTTCCCGGGATATGGAGAGATCCGCAAATACCTAAAGCACACCATCCAACACTGGAACCTGGCCGAGCAAATGGTTTGTGGGGCTGAAGTAGTCTGCGCTCGATTTGACGAGACCGCTCACAAGTGGACCATAACATGTGCAGATGGTCGCCAATTCGTTGCCAGGTGGTTCATCAACTCACTCGGGTTTGCGACGCAGCCATACGTCCCAAAGCTACCGGGTCTCGAGACATTTAAAGGGCCTTCTTTCCACTCCGCCAGATGGCCACAAGATGATATCGATGTTAGGGGCAAGCGTGTTGCGGTCATCGGCACAGGAGCCAGTGCTGTGCAGATCATCCAAACGATTGCTAGCGAGGTGAGCCACATGACAGTATACCAACGAACGCCGAGTGTGTGCCTGCCTTTGCGACAGCAGAAATTGTCGAAGGCGTTCCAAGACGATTTCAAGACCAGCGGCGAGATGGCCGCCCTGCAACACGAATGCAAATACAAGAAGTTCGGAGGCCAGAATACTTCATTTGTTGCCAGAAAATGGGCGAATGACACTCCAGAGGAACGGCGACAAGTCTTTGAAGACGCCTGGGCCAAAGGGGGCTTTCACCCGTTGCTCTCGACGTACTTCGATGTCTTTGTCAGCCACGAAGTGAACAGTGAGGCCTGGCGGTTCTGGGCAGAGAAGTCTCGTGAACGCATCAAGAAGCCCGAGTACCGCGATATCCTGGCACCGCTCGAACCTGTCCACACATTTGGTGGGAAACGAACGCCGATGGAGATCGACTATTTCGAAGCTTTCAATCACGATCATGTATCTTTGGTGGATATCAAAGCAGATCCGATAGTCGAGGTTACGCCAACCGGCATCAGGTGTGCGGAGACAGGCTTGCAGGAGTTCGATATCATCGTCCTGGCCACTGGTTTCGATACCAATACTGGTGCATTGACCGCCATCAACATTGTGGACACCAATGGCCAGTCTCTCAAGCAGCGCTGGGAAGATGGAGTTTACACACGCTTTGGGCTGTCGACTTCCGGCTTCCCAAATATGTGGTACACCTATGGGCCTCAGGCTCCAACTGCCTTCTCCAACGGGCCATCATGTGTTGAATTGCAAGGTGAATTCATATTCGACCTCATCAAGGACATGGGCAGCAAAGGCATCACTCGCATCGAGACCTCTGAACAGGCGGAGCAGGCCTGGCGCCAATCGACCTTGGATTTGTGGAGCAAGTTCGTCGTCTCTGCCACGAAGGGGTACTATTGCGGCGTGAACATACCCGGCAAGAAAGAGGAGCCATTGAACTGGTACGATATCCACAGTGTAGAGTTATGAATGATGCTGACCAGGTTGTTCAGGTTTGGAGGACTGCACAACTACCATGCCGCTATGACCAAGTGCCGTGAGGAGGAATATGAAGGTTATGTGATGTCCTCACTGAAGCCATTGGACTTGTTGTCAGAGGCGGAGAAGTCGGCATCGACAGTCGTACGAAGCGTGGCCCTGGGCGTGGCGTGATAGTAAAGTCCATATTGACGAATAAGGGCGCGAAGATTCCTTTGATGGCAATGTTGTCGTTAGATAGAGCAAGACGCGTCCGGTAGAGGGGTTTTGTTTTGGGGGCCAAACAGCGCGTGCCTCAAGATGATCTGTGCGCTGCATTCGATTTAGCATCAATTTTGCCGCCTCCTTCTCTTCCTCTTCCATCAACATATCTGTCCACGTACTGTCACGAGCACACTTATACTACCTTGGGGTGGTGATAACAGTCCAGAAATACCTACATCAGCGTGACTGGCATCAGACAATGGTGAAGATTTCCACTCAATGGCGACGAAGATCAAGAATAATGCTTTGCGATTTGGGCATGTCATTTTCAGGTTTCATCAAAAGCTAACTACATCAATATGTCGCCGGATGTGTGGCAATGTATCCACCGTCAATCAAGACGACCTGACCATTGCAGTACGCGCCAGCCTTGGACGCCAGCCATACGACCGTTCCACCCATCTCATGGAGCTCACCAAATCGCTCTTCAGGAACCAATGTCGGTGGAAGACGACCACCGGTCGCCTTGTACCAGTCACCCATCATGTCGGTGTTGAAGTCTGTTGATAGAATCAGCGGACAATCAATACTGTCAGATCTTGGAACTTACACCCTGGAGCCAGCACATTGACTCTGATGTGCCACGGGATCAGATACGTCGCCAGATTCTTCATCATATGGGTCGTGCCTGCTTTGCTCGCGCCGTAGATGAACGCACTGTTATCTCTGCCGAATCCGCCAACACTGCTCAAGCTCAAGACCTGGCTTCGAGTGTATGTATATGGTCCACGGAATACTTTGCCATTGGACTTCGCCGCCGCTTCCTGCCTTTCGCGGAACTTGTTGCCTTTGTCCAGAAGCTCGAGAAAAGCGAATGTCACTTGGAGTGCCGCCGTCGTGTTTGTCTCGAACACGGCTGCGTAGTCAGAGAACTTTTTCGAGAACCAGAAGTCCCTGACTTTCTTGATGTCCCACTTTGGCTGTGGTCGAGCCTGGTGTGGCTCCAGGTTGGGCGTGGCGATCCCAGCGTTGTTGATCAGCAGGTTTATGCGACCATCTGTCTGGTCTATGAAGTCCACAGCTCGCTGGAGATCTTCGGTCGAGTTCACGCTACACTGCACTGGAACAACGTTGCCTTGCTACGCTTGTTGTCAGCACCGTCTGTACATTTACGAAGAAGAGGATATGCACCATTTCCTTGGCGGCCTTCTCCAGCACCTCCAACCGTCTACCAAGGATATAGACTTTGGCTCCGTTCGCTGCCAGTGACTTGGCTATCATAGAGCCAATACCACTTCCACCTCCGGTGATGACCGCAATGCAGTCGGTGATGTCGAACATCTCTGCAGCTATCGGTCTGATCGCCATGTTTGGAGAAAGTTATTCACGCCAGTGACTGATTCGGAAGAGAACGATTCGACGCAGACGAGTGAAGCAGATGACTTACGAGCAACCACAACGAATACATTTGCTGTTACTAACTTGCAGCTTGAAGTGGTCGTCAGTTCTCAATAGGCATCCGAACTTCGCAGACCGTGTGGCTTCCGTCCGGACGTTCTTGGGAGACCGTTCCAGACACACCTACTTTTGCGCAGTCTCGCCCTCAAAACCAGAGACTCGGAGTGGAAAAAGAGGCTCGACCTCGCCACCCATGCGGTCGGTGTTGGTTCTGTCAAAGAGACGTCGTCTGATACCCGGACATCCTCCGAAGTACGTGCGCTGTCAGGAGGCCAGGACCATCCCTGATCAAACGACTGGACCACACTTTCTGTTGGCTCGGCCGATACACTGTGTTGGCACCCGAGCCACGTCAACGTCCAATTGCCTGCTGGAGTCGGCAGCCGACACTCTGGCGTTAGGACGACAGAAGTTGGAACGAAAAAGAAGCATGCCACGAGAAGAATTAAGCCTGTCGAAGCCCACACCGCTGGGAATGTCTCGGTGTCGGCGGTCCTGTTCCTTGCACCTCGTGCATTTGAAGGTAATGTGGACGCACGATGATCGATTGACTTCTTCCTTTCACTCGCCTCCTTGATCCTTTCATTCACCCACGAGCTTGAGCTAGCATAGCCTTGCAGCACTTGGCAACTCAGCATCCTACCAAACTCAGCAGCACCGCAAACTCGTCTCATTACCATCTATGGCAGAAGAAAAAGCAAAACACGAGTCCCAGACTCTCTCCCCAAGCGACCCTAGACCGAGCGGTGGCTTCGACGAAGTCGCATCAACAGGAGTCAGGACCAGCATCACCACCACCATAACAAGCGAAAAGGCCAGAGACAGTAGCGGGACTAATTCCTCGCCGAAGGAGTTTCGCAACTCTACAGTCCCAATCATAAGGGAACCGACGCCCAAGCAGTTCGAAAAAGCATACCATGAACCAGCTTGTCTCCCTTCGCAGCCTTCAGGTGATGATCCGCCAAACCCTCCTGGACCGCCTGGAGGGGGTGGCCCACCAGGAATGGGCTTTCCAAAGGTCGAATATCCCACTGGATTCAAGCTGTACTCGACGATCTTCGCTCTGTATCTGGCTGGGTTCTTGACAGCATTGGTAAAACCTCTGAAAATGCCCTTGGAATGGGAAGTCAACTAACAGTATTGTGCCTAGGACCGCACAATAATGGTCAACGCAATCCCAACCATAACCGCCAAATTCGACTCGATCCAAGACATCGGTTGGTACGGCAGCGCCTACCTCTTCACCTTCTGCTGCTTTCAGCTCCTCTTCGGCAAGATCTACACGTTCTACAATGCCAAATGGGTCTTCATGATCGCCGTCGTGATCTTTCTCGTCGGCTCCGCAATTTGCGGTGCGGCGTCGAGCTCGATCGTGCTCATCGTCGGGAGAGCGATTGCAGGTCTGGGCTCATCGGGGATCTTTGGTGGGAGCGTGATTATCACGTTCTTTACGGTGCCGCTGCATATGAGGCCGATATATTCGGGCATCGTGGGTGTGGTTTTCGCGGTTGCGTCGATTGTGGGACCGCTCATTGGAGGGGCGTTGACGCAGCATGCTTCCTGGCGGTGGTGTTTCTTCATCAACTTGCCTGTGGGAGCCGTGACTCTCGCCATCACGTTTGTCACGCTAAAACTCCCACCGGCGAAGAAAGCTGGCACGAAACCTCTCGACCAAGTTAAACAGATGGATCCACTTGGAAACTTGTGCCTGATGCCAGCAGTCATCTGCCTGTTGCTCGCTTTGGAATGGGGAGGCTCGAAGTACTCTTGGTCGAACGGAAGAATCGTTGCCCTACTGGTCATTGCTGTCGTCCTCGGTCTAGCCTTCATCGGCATCCAAATCTGGCTCCAGGACAACGCAACCGTCCCACCAAGACTCTTCAAACAACGCAGCATGGCCGCTTCATTCGTCTACACCCTCGGCGTGACAGGATCCATGATGACGTTGACGTACTACCTCCCCGTGTGGTTCCAGGCAATCAAAGCTGCGAGTCCAACACGATCGGGTGTAATGATGCTACCGATGGTCGTTCCTTCGGGCGTAGCAGGACTGCTGTCAGGTTTCGCCATCTCAAAGTTAGTGGGATATTACACGCCTTTCATGCTCGCCTGCGCAGCACTCATGTCCATCGGCGCCGGCCTCCTAACAACGTTCGAGCCATCAACAGGTGAGAGCGCCTGGATCGGCTACCAATTCATATGGGGTTTTGGGGCAGGTCTCGGTAAGTCCCAGAACAACTCCTCTCACAAAGCAACCTCACTGACTCTCTAATCCAGGCATCCAATCCGGCGGCCTCGTAGCCCAAACCGTCCTCTCCCGTATGGACGCCCCTGCCGGTATCTCCCTAAACTTCTTCGCGCAATCCCTCTCTGGCTCCGTCTTCATCGCGATCGACCAGACAACATTCATGAACAGCCTGCACTCCAACCTCGATCCCATCCCCGGGATCAACGTCGACGACCTCGACGCCACGGGAGCCTCTGTGCGGAGCCAGGTCAGTGAAGGGGATTTGCCGAGGGTGCTGGGGGCGTATAATGATGCGGTGACGAATACGTTTGTTGTGGCGACGGCTTGTGCTTGTTTGGCGTTTGTGGCGGCTTGTGTGGTTGAGTGGAGGGACGTGAGGAAGGACAAGGATCAGGTGTCCGGCGGACCCGGGGGTAAGCCGTCTGGTGTGGTGGGAGGGAAGCCGGGGGCATGAAAAAGGGGTTCGGTGGCGATGGCGTTTTGGGTGCACGGGGAAGATACCCAGGTATAGACTTTTACTCTGCATTCAAAGTTATGGTAGATGGCGATATATAGCATGTACAGCATTTCCGCACTTCTCATGCTCTCATTCATGCTGGACCACGTCTCACATGACGCTTGCCAAAGCCTCGCCCTCCGAACTTGCTCAACTTCACAACGAAAGGACCACGGTCAATGGTGTTGATAACGATATACCCACTCGGGAAGGTATAATGCGACCAAGTGCCGAAAGACCTACACATCCAGCATCAGCATCAGATATCCACTTCACATCACGCCACAGAAAGAAATACTCACCAATCAGCCACACCACCACCCTCCTCGTCATCATCGCCCGGATAGACATCAAAGAACGCAATCTCCTCGACGCCCGCACCAGAATCATCCTCAGGAATGGTGCTGACGTCCAAGACACGGAGACCCGCTTGGTAGTTGGACTGGTATGCGAGGCCGTCGCGCACGAATTGGTTGTGGTCGACGGAGCGGACTTTGGACTTGTAGTAGCCCGTGTTGACGGGCTTTTCGAGGGAGGTGATGTCGAATATATAGCTGCAAAGTGTGTCAGTACGGGAAGTCATGAGGCGTGTAATGCACATACGTAGCTGGGAATCCATCGATAGATGGGCCGTTTGGATCTGCTCGGTCGGGATCGATCTCGCCCTCGTCGAGCTCGTCGTCGAGCAGAAGGTGAGTCTGCCAGTTGGGGTCGAGCACCCAGCCTTGGTGAGTATATGAGGCTCCGACGTAGGGGGTGCGAGAGATGATGCTGGCGGCTTGAGGGCCGGTCTTGTTTGTGACGTCGTAGATGGTCAGGGTGTCTTCGTTGTAGCCGTAGCAGATGTCTCGGCCGTTGTACTTCTTGTCGGGACCTCTGTAGACGATGCCTATACAAAAGAGTCAATATACAGTTGAGTGGTATTTTGGTCCAGACTCACACTGAGCATCATGAACGTAGCCATCCTGCGGCGCACAGCCAGGTGAGTATGGCTTCGATGGATCGTCCAGGTTGATGAAGATGAGGCCAGCAGCACAAGAGCTGTTACGAGGCGCCGAGCCAACAGCCACAGCGTAGTTCTTCTCCTCGTTGACAACGACATTGTGCGAGCGACCGATTGGCATATCTGCGCCGTACTGTTAGTCCTGACCATACGTCTCACGCATAATTGAACGAACCAGTGAAAAGCCCAGTAAGATCACTAGTCGTGCTAAAGACCTTCGGCTTCTTGGGATCGACCTTCAAGAGCTTGCGCATATCAAAGATCTGGACTTGATGATCAACGCCTTCCGATCCAACAATAAGGTACGGCCCATTCGCCTTAATCTCGCGCCAGATGACTGGGTTGGCTTGAGCTGGGAGGCGGCCGAGATAGACGAGTTGGCCTTGCTTGGTGACCTCGGCGAAGGCTGCGCCGTCGGTTTGCCCTATGGTGGAGGTCAGTAAGGATTTCTGACTCTAAAGCTTGAAGGGAGTGTTGGTGTACGTACCAATAGCGATGAACTCCCGTCCATTGAGGACGACACCCCAGCTACCACTGCCTTCGCCACCGTTGCTTCCCAGCTCAGCGTGGGTCTTGAAGTCGTGCAGGTCCTACTGTGGCGTCAGCTATTGTCGAGCTCGACAATCCCTCGTGGTACTGACGATGTCTTTGCACTTGTACGTCTGATCAGGATCTCCTTTGACAGCCTCGACTTGGCCGTTTCGGCAACGAATGCGATCGCCACCTGGTCGACGCTTGTGAAAGCCCTTCCACTTGTTGTTGTCGTAGTGGCCTGCTGCTTTGTGCTCCCTCCATGCGGACTATCAACAGGTTAGTTGTATAGTCAAGATGCATCGTGAATTTCTACACACCTCCTTTGCGGCCATCATCTTCGCCATGACGACACCCGAGTCGTACTCGTCCTTCCTGTACATGGCTCCAAGTGCCAAAGGCAGACAAGCTGCCGCAAGAGTGATGAACTTCATCCTGATGGCAAAGAGAGCAGTTCACGGATGGAGGAACGAACGTACGCAGACCTACCTGCACAAACAGCGCAAGATGGCGAGCTTTATAGCCATCTCCAACACGCTTATCCTACATCCACTGTCGTGCGCGGTTGCACAGCAAACGACAAGATGCACTTGTGCAATGATACCTGCCTATCGCAGGTAGTCGGCAGGAGAGTCGAACGACCCAAGCCTCGCTGGAATGCATACAAGCAGCTACCGCAGACGCAGTAGCGGACTTGGAACCTCTGGTAGTGTGTCTTGGAAGTCCTTTGACGATTGTACCTCATTTGTCTGTGGGGTTCTTGGCTGGCATGCGGCTGGAGGCAGGCCAAGAAAGTAAAGGGAATGGAAATTCTTGGGTGTGCCGCCTGGAGACGGCTTGTTCGATTGCGAAGTTTGCTTGAGGCCACATTGTTTCCAGGAAGGAGGTCGCACAGGGGACCGGTGAGCTGGTTTGCTGGCAACTTCCATCGTACAGCAGAGAAGATGTCGAGTTTCAACTGTGAGATACAGAGTCGTCGCGAGTAGTCGTCCGCTCGGCATCTCCACCTCGGCTGCAATGTTCGGCTCAAGAATGTGGAATTCCGGAGATCCACCCGATCAGGCAGGAGTCAAGAAACGACGTCTTCTCGAAGCCCACCTTGCCAAGAAGAGGAATTCGTATCAGCGGTCGCGTGCACAGCATGAAGATAAGGCCTGCGGATGGCGTCAGTGGTTCCCAGCTCTCGTCTGCAGATTGGCAAGTGACCTTTGCGAATGACATTGCAGCGTTCCGTGGTTGTCTCGGTCAAGTCCGAACGACGTAGAATCCTCTGCCTCTCGTTCTTTGTTCAATTCATTCGTCGGTCGCTGATTTGTTCCTTCGGACCACCAATCTGATTTGAGTGCAGGGCTCTTCCACGCATCTGGCTCGTGGTTTGGCGATCGAGGCACCCGCGCAGACGACCTCTCAAGAGTTGCCTCACGGTCCAGTGTACCTGTTCTCCATCGACCTGTCGACAATATGCTCCAAATACTTGGTGAAACTGGGGTAGAAGGTCATAGAAGCAGAGCCACCTGACGACCACTTCGCAAAGCACCAATGCATACTCTCGAAAGCGTCCTTGCTACCAGCGAAAGACTCCATGGCCCGCTTGATGACGTTCTTCTGCTTCTCATCGCCGTTGACATACATCTTGTGGTACTGCTCACGGGCTTGCTCCACCAGTCCAGGATGGACCAACCAAAGGTTATCGATGTCGCGAGTGCCTACCTCGAGCACACGATCGAATATAGGGAAAGCCGTGTCCCAATCAAAATCCCCGTCTGGATGGCTTTGCTTGTGTTCCTGGCCCACGAGGTCCTCGTACTCTCTTGGTAACTCAAGCAAGTCGACTGGCAACTGGAAGTATTCCTCCTCATTCCAGTTCACTGCTGAGGTGTCGTGGAAAGCGGGATCCGGGAAGTATCCATTGAAGATGCCGCTATCGTCGTCTCCAAACCCGTTAGTGATTTTCAAGAACTCTTTGTAATCGTCTGGTAGCACAGTCTTCAGGCGCTCTTCCAAACGCTCGATCTCTTCATCAGTGGCGGCCTGTTTGAACAATGCCTCAGGAACAGAGCCCATGTCGGCTTCTTCGGCCGTGAGGTAGTGTTTCGTGTTCTTCTCACCAATCTCCAGTAGCTCTCTGATCGGCTTGCCAGCAAAACGAGACGGTACGTAACTGCGCTGGAATCGGTCTTTGAAGGCTTCCAAAAAGGCTTGACCCTTTGTTCTGACTTCGTCCTGGCTCATATCCACCGCGTCCGCCATGAGTCCTCTCACCCAAAACGGCCACAACGATTTCGCCTCGCCCAGGTACTTTACCTGATGGTTAGCACGAAGCCGGGCCACTATTTTGTTCAAAATCTGGGCACTTTCTTTATCCAGATTAGACATCTTGAACTGCGCGTCTGATTCGTTTGGTTGTTCCACGGCCTGGCCCTCCTCATCTTTACTCTTCTTCGATGCACGGTCATTTCTAGTGCACTTGGACTTTGGCTGGATGTTGTGTAACTTCACGGATAACTCAAGCGCTCGGATGAGTCTTTGGCCCTTGTACATAGCAGAAGCGCCAGATCTTGCGTCAGCATGGATGTCGTCGTCAACTGCCAGGCAAGCGTCGAGCACCGCACGATTTTCGTCGTTCTTTTCCTTTGGAAGTCCCATCCAGCTCGCGTTCCTGCTCTGCTGATATTCTTCCTCCGGAGGTATATCAGCTCTGTCAGATGGCCACCCTTCCGGCCATTGACCAGATGCTTCCCACGCAAATTTGAGAAACTGGTCGATGATCCAAGTTCCCACGGTGGAGCCATTTTCCAGGAAGAGTTCGACGAGCTCTTTGGCAGTGCCTATTTCCCCAAGAAGTGCGAGGCGGAGGACACAATCAGCCAGCGCCCTTTCCACAAGTGAGATCTCGGGCTCATCCCGAATCTCGTCCGGTGTGATATCAGGTAGCATGTTGACAGTGAGAGCGCAAGCAAGTCGTTGTTTTGAGGACAGAGAAAAAGCCAGGTTGGAAGTGAGTGCCGCTCTTGCTTTATGTAAAGCAGTGCCAATACTGCCTCAAACCACCGGTGAGCTGCAGGTCTAGCGCGAAATGGTGCGTGTGAAGGAATGAGAGCCAGGCATCTCTGCCATTCAGATCACTTGTCGTACAGCTGCGTGAAGCGCTTACCCACTCGGTGCCTTGTTCTGTGTTAGGCACTGTGCTTTCTACCGTCGTTGTTGTTTGGATGATCAAGTGGCCAGTGTGATGTCGGTCTCGGCTCAAGGTGGAGTTTGAAACTGCTCCACTTCCATCAACTTTGACCACATCTTCTCAACCCTCTTCTCTCGCGACAACTCTTTCTCATCCACACTTTCAGCTTGGCCGGCTGTCGACATCATCGAGGAACCGGCTATGGATTGTTGCACGGCCAAACACGTGGCGTTCACTTATATTTGCTTCACACGAGCGTTTCCGGATGTGGCGTTCAGCGCCAACCAGTGGAAAGGGCGATTCGGACTCTTTGTCTTGGCCACGCTCAGGGGCTGACTTCTTCACCTCGCGAAAACACCCTCGCCAGCGCGACCATTCCGACGCAATGTTCCTACGTTTCATTGTTACGATCATTCTCTAACGTCGTCATTCCTTCACTGCGTATTGCTGCACTATGCATTCATTCAGTCGCCTCATTACTTTCTTTCTCGCGGTCGTTACTTTCATTATCTTCACGACAACGCAGACTAGCTATGGACGAGACGCGTTCTGGACTGGCTCCACCACGCGGCTCGATGTCTCAAACAGCAGGACAAACCTATCGCAAGATCCGCTGAAGTTCGACTGGGAAAACAGGAAAGAGCAGTTTCCTGTCGCAAAGTACCAGCATTTACCTGAACCCGCGCTAGAAGGCCTCCCAACCGTGCAGTATGATTTCTCGATGCGCATTGAGAATGGCACAGATAGAGCCACCCGGCGGCAGAGGATGGCGCAGATCAAGGCTGCCATGAAGCGTGCGTGGGATGCTTATCGCCTTAAGGCATGGCTGAACGATGAGTTACGCCCGATTTCTGGTGGCAACAAAACTACCTTTGGAGGGTGGGCGGCGACACTGGTCGATAGGTGAGTGTTGCTTATCCGATGTAAGATGGCGTCCTAGCTGACTTGGAAAGTCTTGACACACTCTACATCATGGACATGAAGCCCGAGTTCGACGAAGCGGTGGATGCCGCTGTCAGCATCGATTTTTCGAAGACCAGCATGCACTTGATCAACGTGTTCGAAACCACCATCAGATACCTTGGAGGCTTTCTGTCCGCCTACGATCTGTCAGGAGATGAACGACTCCTAGCCAAGGCATTGGAAGTCGCACATCTGCTCTACGCAGCCTTCGACACTCCCAATCGATTGCCGATTATGCGCTGGAATCTTCACTGGGCCACCAAGGACCAGGAACAAGGAGGCGCAGGTAGCCCCATTCTGGCCGAGATAGGTTCTCTATCGCTCGAATTCACACGCTTGTCTCAGATCACGGGCGATCCGAAATGGTACGATGCCATCGAAAGGATCATGGCTCTTTTCGACGCACAGCAGCATCTTTCCGATCTACCGGGTATGTGGCCACTCCAAGTCAACGCCGACCAGGCCGACTTCTTCACTGGCTCTACCTTCAGTCTAGCAGCGTGGTCCGACTCAATGTACGAATACTTGCCGAAGATGCATGCTCTGCTCGGTGGCTCTCCACAGTACTCGAAGATGTACCAATTCGCCATGGATACGGCGATCAGACATGTCCTCTACAAGCCCATGATCAAGGAGAACGACACCGTCTTAATGTCAGGCACAGTCCGTGTCCAAGACGGCCAAGTCTCCCTTCAATCCGAGCTGCAACACCTGGTATGCTTTGCTGGTGGCATGTTCGCTTTGGGAGGGCGTCTGGTCAACAACGCCTCGCATGTCAACATCGGACACAAACTCGCAAATGGCTGCGTTTGGGCGTACAATCAGTTCCCGACAGGTGTCATGCCTGAGACGTGCAATCTGATCCCATGCGAAGACGAGACCTGCAAGTGGGACGCGGCGAAATGGCACATGGCTGTATCAGAACATGCCTCATCTATGGACAAACGAAACAACACTCGCGCCAGCGACATCATCCGAGCTGAACGGCTACCAACCGGAATCGCTTCAATCCCAGACAAACGCTACCTGCTCCGTCCCGAAGCCATAGAAAGCGTCTTCATCTTGTACCGCATCACAGGCAACCAAACGCTCCAAGAGAACGCCTGGGATATGTTCAGATCCGTCTACTTCCGAACACAGACGCCTCTAGCCAATGCAGCGATGAAGGACGTCACCAACACAACCACACCTACACCCAAGGAAGACAGCATGGAGAGTTTCTGGACGGCTGAGACTCTGAAGTACTTCTACTTGACGTTCGCAGACCCGGAGTACATTAGTCTTGATGACTATGTCTTCAACACTGAGGCGCATCCTTTCAAGAGGCCTGTTCCGAAGTTCACTAAACAGACTAAGAACAGCGGCTGGCACTGGAAGTGGAAGTAGGTCTCGATCTCGCGCCTCGTACGAAGTCTTCACCTAAAGCTCGCATTTCGGCCAGCTTCGTTTGCGCCCCCAAAGCATGTGTGCTACTCAACACTCATACCTAACGTCAGCCGACCAACCTGCAGTCTCATGCAGACAATCTCCGCAAGCCGTCCACAGTGGCATTAAACGATTGGCTCCAGGTGGCCATGAGGCTGAACAAGGCAAGGATGTATTTGCCGCCGTCGCTATCTGTGTCACATATGATGCCTGTGCAGGAGCATCCATGTCAGGATCTTTGATGATGTACAGACCAATACGCATCTCTGCAGACCTTCACTCACCGGCACGACGCTGAGCCATGTCTCAAGCACGGGAAACCGACTCCATACCAATGGGCAAGGTACCTGAACCCATCACACTCCACAAAGAAGCACCACAAACTAAACCCCCAACGCAGGGCTGCAAGCTGATCTTCAAAACCTCCCCAACCCACCACTGGACCGAAGTAACCTACGACGGCGCCCCAACCTCCTGGGTCCCCTCCATCCCCCCGCACTGGCACAAACACCACGACGAATGGATGCAAGTCCTCTCCGGCCGCGTAGACTTCACCCTCTCCGGCACCACCACAACCCTCACACCCACCTCACCACCCCTGCACATCCCGCGGCTGCACGCACAGTTTCTAGTTCGTGCCGGGGGTGGCGACGGTGTTGAAGGAGCGGACGGAGCCGGAGGGGGGGTTTAAGGAGAGGTTTTTTCGCGTGCTGTTGGGGGAGGGGGATGCGGAGGAGAGGCCGACGGTTTGAAGTGTGGGGAGGGCGTGTTGGGAGGGGGATACGTTTCTTGCTGTGCCTGGGGGTGTGGATGAGTGGGTTACGTGAGTGCTTGGGGTGGTTGTGAGATGGTTGGGTGGTGGTGATGGGACGTCTTCGAAGAGGAAGGCGTGAGAGGTAGATAGATATGATGATGGATTCAATTCATGCTCCCGCTCAACATCACATCTTCACCGCCCCACTCTTCAGCGCCTCCCAATCCCCCTTCCCATACCTCCTATACCTCGACTCCCCCGGCGGCAACCAAAACACCAAATCCTTACTCCCACTCCCCTCAATCAACCCCAGATCCACGCCCTCCCTCTTCGCCTGCCCCTTTTGAATCTTAAACGTCCCCGTGTAACTCAACTGCGGCGCGACCCTCAGAAAATACGGCACCGAATACCGCGGCAATCTCTCCAACACAAACCTGCCTAACCCTTCGCAGTCGAGAGATTCCGGGGAGAGACCTTCCTTCAGCACGACGGTCGCGCACCCGCATCGTCCGTCGGCGTTGGGCACCGCCACGCCGTAGACGTTCGCCTCGGCGATTTGGGGGAATTGTCCTAGGACATCCGCGACTTCGTTCGTGGAGACATTCTCGCTCTTCCAGCGGAACGTATCGCCTAGACGGTCCACGAAGAAGACCCTCCCGTCCAGATCCGTGCGGTGGACGTCCCCGGACCGGAACCATAGATCCCCTTTTTCGAATACATCCCGCATCCACCTCTTCTCCGACGCGGAGGGGTTCTTGTAGTACCCCTTAAAGACCTGCTCTTTGAGAGCCGGGTCGACTTTGTGGATGACTTCGCCGGGTTCGTTGGGGGCGCAGCGGACGACGAAGCCGGTCGTGGGGTCTTTGACGATTTCTTCGGTGTCGGGGTCGATGCGCGCGTGGACTTCGCGGCTGCCGAGCTGGCGGTTCCAGAGCAAGCCCCGGATTCCTATGGCGTTGCGGCTGAAGGGGCCGTGGTTTTTGTTGAAGGTTGCGCCGAGGCCGTCGGTCGCGGCGTAGAGTTCGTTGATTATGGGGATGTTGAAGCGCTGGAGGAAGGGGAGATTAGTTATGCCTTCTGGGTGTGTGGAGATGGATACTCACTTCGCGGAACTTTTCCCACACATCCGGCCGCATGCCATTACCCCACGCCATCTTCAGGTTATGTTTCCTCTCCAGCGGATGAGGCGGTGCGTTGACCAGATATCTACACAGCTCCCCGACATACTGCAAATGCGTGGCTCCGCTCTGAGAAACCTCGGGCCAAAAAGTCTTGTGACTGAACTTCCTTCCTAACCGCATGGATGCACCAGCCCAGATCACCGGTGTTGTGCAAAGTCCCTGTGCAGCGCCGTGGTATAAGGGTAAGCATGTGTAGAATCGATCGGATCGTTTCAGTTGGAGGTATTCGGCCATAGCCTTCGCGGTGTTCACGTATCGACCAGTGAGCATCATGACGCCTTTGGGCAGGCCTGTGGTGCCGGATGTGTAGATGAGGCATCTGGTATCCGTTGCTTGGTAGCCTTCGGTGAGTTTTGGGGAGAGAGGTGTGGTGTCTGTTAGAGGTGCGAGTAGTGATTCATCGTAATAGCTGATCTTGATTCCGTTCTGTTCCAGTTCTGCTCTGCAGGGTTCTAGTCGTTCCAAGGTCTCTTTATCGGCGAGGATGTAGCGAGGCTCACAGAGCTGGTACTTCAATTAGCTCTTTCATCGATCAATGTTCTCTTTTCGATAATCCTCACCTTCACCGAATGACTCAACGCATTCCCAGTCAAGTTATGATTGATAAAGCTCTGACAAGCCCCAACCGCATCCACCGCAAACTGCAGCAGCAAATACTCCGCGCTATTAGGTCCACTAAGTGCAACCATCTCATGCCGTTGTACGCCCAAATCTTTCAAAAGCCAATTGCCCACTCTCTGCACGTCTTGGTAGAATTCCTTGTACGTCCATCTCCTGCCTTGATACTCTAGAAATATATGGTCTGGGATGTCCTGTTTCGCCCAGTACTCTATCACATGGTACATCATCAACTTGTTCGATGCTTGCCGCTCGGCGATGAATTTCTGGGCTGCGGCGGCGGCATTGTCAAGGCTGCCCTTTTTGAGGTCGGCGCGGATGTGGTACTTGGCATCGATATAGGCCGCAACAGCAGCCGTGCCAGCTATCGTTGCGGCGGCGGTGGCTTGGATACGTTGTCAGTGAGTTATTGCCGAATACGTGTGTTGTTGTAGCATACCAGCCATGGTGTGGGCTTTGAAGCTTCGAACAATTTGAAGGCTGCAACAGAAACACAGAGGAAACGTCTCCAACACTCGCAAGAAAAGAAGCGCCAGAAAGCCGAACTGATCTCACTTCACCTACCGTCTTCAAACCTCGGGTGACGCTGCATACATATAAGCGGGGACAAGACGAGGCGGAGAGAGGTCCGGTGCAGTGATCCTCCTCTCGCAAAGTTTCCGGCCTTGCTACGAAGAGGAGCTTGGGCAGAGTTATTGCCGCCTTTGCCGGTCGTGGTGCTGGCAGTCTATTCATGCAGCTCTCGTTTGGAGAAAGAGCAATGCACCAGCGAGGAACGACCTGCAACATCGCACATGCTGTAGGAACGTTTGCCCTAGGTTCCGAATACACCCAGTCGAATTGTATGAACGAACGTCGTTCAATCCTAGATTCGGATGGTCCGGCAGTATGACGATTCACAGAGTACAGCGATTGTCCGACCAGGTTGTCAAGATCCATTCGAGATACCTTCGATCCTGTTGGTCGAATCCAGGATATGCTCATGCGAGATCTCACTCTGCCATGCACATTTCTAGGGCACGAGAAGCTGTCGGTCAGGGCGTCGGCCGATATCCGTTTGCTCGTCTTTGAGAAGGAGTGTTGTCGTTTATGAAAGAGGATGGCTTATTGATGGAGGATGTTGATGGTCCCCACGGGTGCCATCCGTACACATGGCGAGCCATTGCAAGGTTGAGCGGAAGTGCGGATAGGGTATAATCGGTATCTGTTCTCCAATGAGCGGTCTGCTTGTTCGAGTACATCCCATCCTTCATCGCCCGTCCAGACAATACGATGCAGATAGGCCCGCCCTCCTAGGCATCCTGAGCGCACCAAATGCCACAAGATCCGTCAATCCAGGGCACTCATAGCCGTCTTCAACGTCGTCCACCAGGAAGTAAGGATTCGATCCGTGCCGCGAGGCAACTTCGTACGTAGGCGAGACGTACAACAAAAAGCGGAACTTGTGCTGTTATCGCCCAGCAAACGAGTTTCCTCCCTTGTCGACCGCCAAGATGAGATAGATTGGAGTTCGTATCTATTCTTGATGAAGAAAAGAAATGGGGTGCTTGCGCGTTAAGATGATGAGAGAATGGCGAAGATGAAGAGCAAGGGTGAAAAGGAGGTGAGGGCGAGCGGCGAGAAGCGAGAAGCGCAAAAGGCCCCACGCAATCTTCGGTGTACCGCCGGGGGAAGATGCCTCGCTGGGCGACGACGACAACACAACATTATTCGGTGCGCAAGACGTCGAGCTTGGTGGATGGGAATATGGTCGGATGGATGATATTGATTTCACATTTCCAGTATGATTTTCAATTTCTATAGCCATCGCTTCAAATCGAAGCCGACGCTTTCCCCAACGATCGATGCCACCGCCATGATTGATAAACCGGCTCTATGCACACCACACCGTTAAGACATTAATGCCCTTCAACACGCCTGAATCTATCCCAGACATGCCATTCCGAATCCCCAATTGCCCTCTCCAGAACTTGTGGAGGTTTGATATCTCTCTTCAACGACAACAATACAAAGTAGATTCAATCCCATTTAGATAACGCCGATCGCTGATGATTTTTCATGTAGTGTGACCCTTCTATGCCTGATGCCATGCTTTACTGCCCAAATGTTATGTTGTGGAATGATGGAAGGTGTTTAGAGAGCCTAGGAACTATTGTCAGTATCTGTTACCATCAGGAAGACTGTAGATCAACATACCATGGCGATACCGCCAACGACGAGGAGACCCAAGGCGCCGGTGGAGAGGGTGCTGGCAGCGTTCTCGCCTGGCTGGAAGCTGGCCGAAGAGCTTGACGATGATGGAGCGCCAGTGCCACTGGCGACAGCAGTGCCGGCTGGTGCTGGGGTGGTACCGTTGTTGATGGGGTACGATGGGGTGGCAGCGGTGGCAGAGGCGACGAGCGCGAAGGCAGTGGCGAAGATGGCGGCGAACTGCATTGTGGCGGTGGGTGTTGTTGTTGATGTGGTGTTGAGTATTAGAGGTATTTGATATTGATGTTGATAGCGAGTGAATGTGAGATAGTGCTTGTTTGTTGAGAGAGTTCGATAGATGTGAGATACAAAGAGACAAGAAAGGTACAACAATCGGCAATACTTATATCTGGCATGCAAAGAATGGCAAGCCCGACATGCAGCCGTTGCTCGGTCACTCAACTGATCCCTCCCAGCCTAGTCGAGCCACGCAAGCTGTGTTTCACAATCGCGAGAATCGATTCGCGGCTCGAGCCTTGCCACGGCCAGAAAAAGGACATGGTTGGATGCGCCCCGATGCAGCGGGACCGCAGCGATGGGGGCGAGCGAGAGAATTGGTAACATGCAGGCGGGTTGGCGAAGAAACGCGTCAAAGGCTGGGCTGTGGTGACAAAGGCAGGGCCGCTCAAAATAGCCGTTGGCGAGAGAGGTTGTCGCACGAAGTGCATCGGCCCGCTGCGACATGCACGCTGCAACGGTCGGCGCAGGAACAGGAACAGGAATCCGCTCGCCGCGGTGTGGTTGCACTGCCGCGCCTTGCCTCTTTCTTTCTGCTCTTCAGCCACCACACTTCGAGGGCTTGTTGCTTCTCACCTCAGCTCACCAGGGGTCCAGCCTCACATGGCAGAGTCACACCAGCCTCTCGTCTAACATTACATACAACAATGTAATCCTCACCAGCCGTCGTCTTACTGAGGATGACGATGCCCTCGAGCCCTCGGGGCGAATGTTCGGAGTGCTGTTCCTGTTTCAAGACGACGAATCCACTTCTCAGTCTCGACCTGCGATCGGAAACAACCCCCATCGGACGAGTAAGAGCTAGAGTGTGCCAGCTCGATCTGGCTGCGAAAGATGCTCGGTATAGGCGTGAGGATCTGTTATGAGGCCGGCAGTGAACAGGAAAAAGAGCGCGTCTGAGCTGCAATAGCTTGGTGTATATGAAGAGTTGTGTTTGCGATCGTGCCTCATAGTGAGCATCATCGTCGATGGCATCCGCGGTAGATGGTCTCTCGTCGGGGCCGGAGGTACGTACGAACTTCTTATGGAAAGCAAAGCGTCACATACCTCATGCCGGTGGCAACCCGACAGCAACCTCATCATATTACGGCAAGTAATGGTCTATGTCGATACTGTTGGTAGCCATGGGTACCGCATCTGTCTGGTATGACGCTCCTCCAAACTCAGATCACCTATCACCAGGTAGTAATAGGCAAGTATCTCAAAGATCGCACAGCTGTACCTGCAGTCCTCAGCATCGCAAACCCATCGGAAACGGACATCTGCCGCTGCTTTCCACAACTTTAGTCGAGCAACGAGGGTCCTACCTATTGGCATGATACGCTATCACGGCGACAAGCTGGCAGAATGATTTCACTGTTGCCGGGTTAGCTTTTCAGCTTCAACCTTTACGACAGGCTTCCCTGCCAATGTGACGTCTCGTAGGCGTACACCACTGCCTATATGGGTGGACTCACAGTACAGTGCAGAGATGCACCGTTTGCTCCAGAGCCATTGCTTCAACATCATTGCTCACCGTTCACCGTTATCAAGAGCTCCAACACAAATCACTATCAGACGCACACCAGAATGCCCTCAGACGAACACCACAACCCCGAGAATGAAAGCCAACAAAGCCCCATGAGACGTCTGGTCAAGCAACGAAGGCATTCGCACTCGGGAAAGTCGTCGCCTCCATCGTCGCCATCTTCACCCCTGGCCAAGTCGTTCAAGCGGATCCTCACGCCTGTGCATTTCAAGCCCAACATAGAGGCGTGCGAGCTGGATCACAGATATTGTGACCATCGGCATTCATGGCACTCCTGAACGAAGAATTCAGACTATCTTCAGAGAACCGTCTTGATACTGAGACGCTGGCCTTCTCGCGTTGAACAGCAGCATTCGCTTTGGGGGAATTCGAATTGGCGTTCGGGTTGGAACTCGGTCCGTGATCTTTTGGAGCTGTTCGTGTACTTCTTCCGGTGATGGGCAGAACAGCAGTGCATTTCGGTCGGCGTTGTGAAAACCTTATGGTCATGGGGAAGGTACCAGGTGGCTCTTAATGATAACAGTAAACTGCTAGTCAGAGGGAGCGATGGAATCTTGAGACATGTGTACTTTTATTATGGCCGACAAAGGATTCATGTGAATTTTCATGAGTAGAGAATCCCTCGAAACAGGTTTCAATCGTGATGTTGAAACACTTGTAAAATGGGACAACAACAAAATATGAACCATTCGCAGAGAGAGTTTGATGTGCTAAAAGTCAAACAAATTTGGGGGCGTGCCTCCATCCCGCATCACTTCCGCCGCCGCACCTCTTCTTCTCTCGCCCAGTGGGAGGATCAGGTAATCTCACCAAACGCCACGACGCAGCCTCTCTCTTGGATCTTTCTTGTTGGTGTTGTTTTGGTTTTCTGTTTTGACGACCTCATGCGAGCATATCTTGCCCGAACGAACGCCGTATCCTTTCCCACGCTTCTCCCCTCTCCGACGCGCGCGGCGATCATCCTCTGAAAGGGGCCGTCGTGGTCCTTTGCACGCTTTCCCAGTTGCACCCGCCTCTTCCGTTGGACGTACCCGAACCACCAGCATCGCTACACACCATGGCCGGGACCATTTCGAAGCGCCAGCAGGCTCGCAATGAGCGCATGCTGCAAGACCTTCTCCGCTCTGTCCCCGGCAACGACCGCTGCGCAGACTGCGCGGCGAAGAATCCAGGATGGGCGAGTTGGAATCTGGGTGTTTTCTTGTGTATGCGATGCGCGGCGCTGCACAGGAAACTCGGGACACACGTGTCGAAAGTCAAATCGCTGTCTATGGATAGCTGGAGCACTGAGCAGGTGGATAATATGAAAAAGGTGGGAAACGTCGCCAGTAACAAGATCTATAATCCGAGGAACGTCAGGCCGGATATCCCTGTGGACGCCGATGAGGTGGATGCTGCGATTGAGAAGTACATACGGCAGAAGTACGACAGCCGGACGCTGTCAGATGGGAACCGAAGCAATGCGCCGGCGAGACAGAACACGGGCAGTACAGGCACGGATCTGGGATCTTGGAACGAGGAGCCTCCTGATCTTCCGCCGAAGCCTACCAAGAAGTTTGGCTTCACTCTGCGATCTTCGAGCTCGACGTTTCCTAGACAGAAGCCCGAACGTTTCACGCCTCCTCTCTCACCGGCCTATAGCGGAGGCGACAGATCGATAGACTTGCCGAGTCCAAAGAGAGAGAACAAACCGAGTCGGTTGTTTGGGATGAAGATCACGACGGTGGACAACAACTTCAACGCGAAGTTGGCGCATCTACGCGATATGGGCTTTCCAGACAATGCTAAGAACACGGAAATCCTTAAGAGCATGAACGGGAACTTGGACAAGGCGGTGGAAGCTTTGGTCAGGCTGGGAGAGCATACTAAGCCCATCTCGAGATCAGTCACGCCTCAGCCAGCGCGAGTCTTGACACCTGTGTCTATGGGAAGCTCGGGTACGAATGGAATCACGATAGAGAAAAAAGCATCGAACAATCCGTGGGAGATTCGGGAAGAGGCCAAACCAGCTCCACCACCACGAGCAGCATCAGTCCCACCACAAGCGACTGCAGCTAACAACAACTGGAATCCGTTCTTGCAACCACAACCACAGCAGACCCTAGAGAACAGCTTTCAGAACCTCTCCATGTCGACGACTAGCTCCCCTGGACCTCAAGGGTATGCGAATCAGCAGTCGATGTATCAAAGCCCGGCGCAACAGTCGACGAATCCTTGGCAGACGGCGCAACCGCAGCAAAGCTTTCAGCAGGTTCCACAGCAGCAGGCTATATACGCGCAACAACCTGCACCGATCCAGACGTCCAGCGGAAACCCCTTCATGCAACAACAACCGCAGGCGCAGACGCTCTCACCAGCGAATCCTTGGGCCCAGCAAAGCGCGCCAGTCCAGCAGACGAGCAACCCGTTTGGTACGTCGTGGCAACCGCAGCAGCAGCAGAATTTGGCCCAGCAGTCATTCGCTGCATCGCCTCAGCCGATATATGGGCAGCAGCAGGACTTCTTCTCGACCCCTCAGCAACCTGCTCAACAACAGCCGATCCAGCAACAGCAGTACCAGCCTCAGCAATCGCAATATGCTGCTCCAGCAGGCTCGAATCCGTGGGCTCAGAACTTGACTCAGCAACCACAACAAGTTCAGCAGCCTCAGCAGCAGTACCAGCAAATGCAGCCGCAGCAACCGCAACAGGTGCAACAAATGCAACAACCGCAACAGCAGCAGCAGCCGCAGTACGGGCAATTTGGCCAGCAGCAGCAGCAATTCGCGCCTCAACAACAAGCTTCCCGACACGACAAGTCGTCGATCTTAGCTCTGTACAACTACCCCCAATTCGCCCCCGCCCGGCCTCTACAAACCCTCCCCGAAAACGGAGCAATGCCCCAACAACCCGACGTCCCACAACGAAGCGCAACAATGCCCATCTCCGCCATGACAGGTAACATGAACACCTTCGGACAACAGCCCGTCACCCAACCGCAAGGCTTCAACCACGCCAGCAAGGAAAGCGTCGACTTCCAAGGCTTCGCCAACAGCGGCCGACACAGTCCCGACGCGTTCGCTGGGTTGAGCGCGAGGTACATGAGATGAGACGTGTATAGGATGGAAGATGGGGGAGGGTGGGATTTGTTGCTTAGCGTGGCGTTTTGGGTGGGAGGTGGGTTCATGGAAGCATATTGGAGAGAAGTGATGGCTGGTCTCTCTTATGTGTGTACAGGATGGCTTTCGCTTTTCTTCGCGGAATAGAATGAATGAGCGATGGGATGTGGCATGGAGATGGCTTGCTTTGTTCATAGCGTGTCTTTTGTGTTGAGGGTGCATAGCGAGATGAGAAAGCATGGTGTGTCATTAGCGTCATGAAAAGCTGCATATGTAGTCTTCCATCCAGTCCCTCTCGACTATATGATCAACGCACGACGTGTTGGGTCGTTTCTCTATTGCTACGAATAACCAACCCGTCGTGCTTTCCTTCCCTCCACATGCGATCTCGGTCCTTCCCGATACGAACATCGCCGAGGGTGCCCTTGTTGACCTTTAATACATCTCGAGGTTCAGGACTCTGTATTTACGGGGAGTTGAATCCCTGGATTGTCTGTTCGTTCCGTACAAAGTTGTTCTGAGATTCATCGAGACGAAGAGTAGCGTCGAGTGCAGAGAAGACTGACTGCCTGACTGACTGCAGCCGAACAGGCCGAGGTTCGGAATCGGCTGGACAGGAAGACGGGCGACTTCACTTCAACACTGCAAAGGCCACGAGAACGTTAATCAGATCATCCAACGGGACACTATAATAACTGCCTTACATACGGATCCCATAAATCAGGAAGCACACAAGGGATATTGAAAAACTTCACTTACTACGCCCCGGCGGCTTTGACAGCGAGGGAGTAGATACATCCCATTGGCGATAGAGATAGAAAGGGAAACGGAAAGAAACCATGGCATTCGAAGCAGCGACGGCGGTACAGTCAAAAGACTCGCATACGTACACGGCGAACTTCGTGGATGATTGGTGTATTGGGTCAGGTAAGCTGGATCGTTATTATTGAAGGATTTGATGGTTGTTCAGTCGGAAGCATTACTGATCTTGGGGTTTTTCTAGTACCGCATGGGGGGTATGTGACTGCTACGATACTGGTATGTGGCTCTAAATTGTTTGATAGTATCTGGAAGTGCTTATGAGATCACAGAGAGCTGTTGAAACGCATTTCACGACGACTTTGTCCAAACAAAATCAACCGCACACCCTAGCATTACATATCGACTTCCTCCGGCGGACGCAAACTGGGCCTGTGACTATCACTATCAAGGATATCAAACTCGGCCGTCAAACGTCTGTAGTCCACATCACCCTCTCGCAAGACGGCCGCGAGGAAGTCGTCGGGTATGTCACGCAATCGAACCTCCATACTGAGAAAGGCTATTCGTACGACACGACGTGGAAACCGCGTCCCGAAGTCTTACCCCTAACATCGACAACAACGACTCTACTTGAGGGGAAAGACCCCGTCTGGACCGAGAAGCTCCAATGGCCCAATGCAAATTTCCGCAAAGCGACGCGGAACATCCGAGCCTGGTTCCCACGAATGGGCCAACGCGCGCAGAACATCTACGACATGTGGGTATGTCTCCGGGACCCTTCCTCGCGGTGGACGAACGCCTCGCTCGGCTTTCTCGTCGACATGTTCCCGCAAGTCCTCGAGACCTTCTACCTGCGCGGCTTCGACCAGTACGACCCGAAACTCGACGAGTACTTCCCGCCGGACGAGCTGCAGCGGCTGACGAAGGGGAAAGCGCCGTTCTGGTACCCGACGGTGCTGTTGAATTTGGAGGTGAAGAAGGCGCTGCCGGAGGGGGGTGCGAGGTTTTTGTTTTCGAGGTTGCAGACGAAGGTTGTGAGGGAGGGGCGGTATGATTTGGAGGTGGTGGTTATGGATGAGGCGGGGGAGGTGGTGGCGTTGAGTCATCATGTTTGTTTTGCGTTGAGTGCGGAGAGGAATTTGGCGGGGAGGAGGAAGGAGGGGACGAAGTTGTAGTTGTATATTGTGAGACGTAGGGGATGGGTAGATGGAGTTGAAAGTTCGGCTTTGTGATTGGAGATGTTGATGTCGATACATGTCCCACAGAAACTATGGTAGCCCACCCAGATACAGAGTCATGAGCCCCTCAAACGACGTGGATGTAATTCAATCTTGCAAGTAAACGATATATGATCGTTGGACAGCCGGCAAGCTCGCAAGTAGGAGGCATTGCTAGGAGGACTGGCTTGCGTGGAGTGAGGAACATAACTTACCGTCTGATTTGGCTACCTCTCACCGCCTATGCCGTACGTGGCTTGACCCAGGAGCGAAGGTAAGACGGCTGCAGCCTTATTCACTGCTCATGCGTCTCGGCATGGGAATGCAGTGCTCGTGGGAGGGCAAGTAATTTCGGGCAATGTCGCGGTATGCTACCCGGAGCAGCAGCGACCTCGAGACAGGACGCCCAGTCAAGCCAGATATGCCTTCAGCTGCAGACTATGCGCATATGGGATGCAGGTAGAGTCCCCTCGGAAGTTTATGATGAAGAATTTGTCCTCTTTTTCACGCCGCTGGCTGTTCCGGGCAATTTGCTATTGGGAAGATCTGGCGAAGAGATCTGCAGTCATTGCGCTCGTCTGTGGAAGGCAGGGAGTTGTAGGGATTCGTGTGTGCTAATGTAGCTGTCGTGGTGGATAGGATAGGGTGGTGGTGGATTGTGAGGTGAAGTGGAATCGGGAGTGGGATTTCGGCGTGGGAGACATCTCGGCTCAAGCTCTCTTCGACGGCAGGCCGCACCTAACAATATCTTAACCTACATGACCTAGGCAGGTGCTCGATTGACCCTTAATCCTTGTTATTAGATAGACCTCACTTCACTTCTCGCTTCACTTAAACCTCTCCTTTACTAAAAATAATACTATTTAAACGCCTATTATCGCTCTAGTATAACTTTATACGCCGCTACTTTCGTACTCGCTTTAAACTACTCGTACTACTCGTAATCTGAAGATAATAGCGATAATAGCGAGTATAGCGACTTAAATACGGTATATACTCGCCTAAAGTGTTTGTAAAGCCGTTACTAATAATCTATATAGATACCGCCGCCCTACGACTAAAGGCGAGTACTACTCGATTACTAAAGACGACTTTAATATCCTCGTTATATAGTACTCGTAGGCGGCCGCCTAAGTAAAGCGTAACCTTAATTAGAGGCTTAAGAAGTA